GTTATTTGAAGTTTGAGGGAGTTTGAACATTTGCAGTAAAGTTCACCGTAGAAAAAGCAATTTGGAGAGAAAATAAAGCGGATGGCACCGAGAGCACAGCTTCGATTCCATCGAAATCGATCACTGAAAGAGACCCTTGGGACAAGCGATAAAAATCCAAAATGCAATTCTAGTGGTGCCATAAGCGTGGCATTGGCGTTCTTAGCGGGGAAGAGTAAGCACACGACACGAGTTCCCTCAGCCACATGACCGATGGTTAAGAGGGGTGGCGGGTAAATCTGAAACGGCCGACAGAGTCTTTTCTGGTTATGGTAACGGACTTCAATTTTCCACCCTATAATTCTTTTCGAAAAAATATCTTAAAAAAATTTAAATATTAAAAAAATTTAAATTTTATATTTAAGACTAAAATAAAAATTAAATATGATTTCTATTAAAGACAGAGATAATATTAAATTTAAAATTAAAAATCGTATACAGGTGAGATGACAATTTTATTGATTTTTAATTGCATCAAGGCATTGTATGTGAAGAAATTATTGAAGCAGCATATAAAGAGGCAATGAGGTCATGTACAAATAGGCGACGCTCACGTAATTGGGCTTCGCAGTTCAAACGCTTGTTCATCCCCGTCCTGCTCTCGAGCAAGAGCGCTGAATGTCACAGATTAAGCGCTCTGAAGAAACCCTAGCTGTGGAGATGATTACAAGGGGTAAGTTTTTGTCAATCTTCAAGACACGAATAAGACTACCCGATGTCGCGTCATGTTTTTGCCTTTGAATTCTTTGGCCTTGCTCTTAAGCCAAGGTCTTGAATCCACAACATATTCAACAGCTTGATACATTAGGTAAGCGAAAACTAAAACGATGCCCAATTTAACATCATCTTTCACCATTTCTGAATACTCAGAAACCACTGAAGAAAATTCGTGCAAATCCAATACTAGAACCAGCAAGAGTCCGAGGGAGAAAGCTGCGAGAAGACCCACTAAGATGATGAAGACAGCCACGAGAAGGACGCAGGCTATGAGAGAGCCATGGAGAAGCGCAAGAAGGATGAGTTCTATGTTGGGTAACATATCTGGGACATCAATGGAAATGAAAGTAGTTCAGAGAAATGGAAACGGACAATAAGCTACTCTCTTACATTCTGTTCTTCGAATAGCAATTAACCACCTTCGGACTCTTGGCAGTTTGTACAGAGGTAAATCAAACAAACTATGAAGCATTTTATTCGGCAACATACTTCCTGTTTAAAAGTGTTCTGGGCATTAAAAAAATATATCCTCTCCTTGATAAAGTCTAGGAGGGATAGCTTCTAGCGGACTTGTGCTTCCATGCAAGCAAAGCAAATGCCTTGCAAACGAGGGAGCTCATTTAAGAAACCAGCTTGGTGGTAATTCTGTGATCATCTGTAACATTTCCCCCAAAAAAAAAGAAGAACAAAAAAACCAAAGTTCCCAAACGACAAAAAAGCTCTTCTTACGTGGAAAAGGGATTTATGTCCAGAATTTGCATCCATTGATGTGCAGCATCTAACTTTTTTCTTCTTCAAGCAATTTGAAAGAGGGAGATTCGTCTGAGACAGGTTACTTGATAGGAGCAAATATTCCTACGTCCTGTCTTTCTTCAATGAGGAGTAATGTTCAGTAAATTTTACGTATAATCTAAGAAACAAATACCTCCGGGTATAAAACGTCACCAAAATAAATAGCAGCTGTTTTAAGCAAATGGAAATAGCAGGATCATTAGGATTATGAAGGTTTCATAAGCATATATACACCAGTCGCATATAGAATGCCTCCATGTTAGGTCAGAGGAACAATGACATCTAGGTTATTCTCAACAATCCATTTCTGAGGATAGAAGGAAATAGCAGATTCAAGATCAATATGCCAAACCATAATTCTGGAGCAATTGTTCATTAAGCCTTCCATTTGGCTTTCATCTTCCACAACCTGCTCAATGAAAGTGCTAACCTGCATATCACATTCCAAATGGCAATAATATGAGAAACGAAGAGCCATAGCCCATAGTATGAGGGTATCTTTAACAGTTACTAACCAATGACCGTACACTGCTAAATTTTGCAAAAATCTCTGGGATACAAGTTCACTTGAAACGAATATAGTGATATAGTTAATGATGGATCAGGATACTAGAAGATAACCCAGACTATAACAAATACTAACCCGATAAACATCCTTGACCGTCTCGAGCTGCCGGATAGGTTCAAGAGTGGGGCGGTGCCACTTCTTTGGATCCCATAGTATGGTGCTATTAAACGCAAAACCTGACATTTCAGCCTGAAATCTTCGAGGCATTCCTTCTGATTCACTTGTGTGCCACCCGATTACTTGATTTCCATTACAGACGGGCCCTTGCAGTACCATGTTATGTTTGTCTCCTGATAGTTTAGCCACAGCCCACGTTCCAAATCGCCTGCACATCCCATCCTCCATAATGTTTGAGATAGAGATTAAACATGAAGCAAAGCAGCCCAATCTATTAGGAAATCCCAGATCGAGAAACCCCTCAAATATACCGTGATCAGAACATCGTCAAAAGGCATGTTTACCCACATCACCGCCAAGGATATAAGAGCACCTTTAAAACAGGTAGACCATGATGCTGCAAATTAATTACCCAAGGTTTCCATTTTGACCAAAGTATCCTTAAGGTTACATCAGAGAAGTACAGAAATGAGAAATCAGATCTCTCTCTCTCTCTCTCTCTCTCTAACTATCTTTTCTCTGTATCACTTCTTACGGGTTTCCTGAGCTTGAATTTCCTATTTCGTCTGTCATTTAGGAATCAAGAAATTTTGACGGCATTAATGAAAAGAAGAGCTTTTAGAGTTATTTTCTCAGAACCATCAACTTGTGCATGAACACTTCATTCAACTTTCCGGACGTGCACCCAGAGATAACCCACAATGATAGAAAGGGACTAGTACACATATTCAAAATAAATAAAAGGGTGTGAAAACCATGCATAATAGAAACAATGTAGCGAGCACTATACATTCCGTTTATCCAATCAACCAATACCCTGCAACCTAAGGGAGGCATCAATAGAAGTGAAGAAATGAGTATCAAAGCCATGCATTGATCTACCAAGCGTTTGATATGTCCCTTCAAGTTTTCACCTGGACGTCCTGTAACATTATCCCTTATGATTTATTGACAGCCTCCACTAAGTCGCCAGCAAGCACCAAAATTGCGGAACTCGTCTTCCCAACAAAACTTGAGACATTCAAGATTCCAGTGCATCTCAGCACAGGGACTGGTATTCTAAAGTGTCCTCTGAGGTTGTTGGGATATCATCTAGATATTCTTACAGACGGAAGTAAGATTTCGTAGTCTAATTGTAATAAGGTGAGAAAATGGAGAAAACTAAAAAAGAATGCCCTCTTGGTTGTTCTTCTATATTGTATAATCAAACTTCATTTTTATTATTGCATTCATATTTGTGTAGATTAGGAATTAAATCTTTACTTGGAGGTCTTGCCTAAAAAGGGTCAAGACAGACCACTTTGGCAGGTAATTTCGGGCAAAACCGTCCTCCTTTCAGGTCTTATGCCTGAACACGAGGTTTTCAATCAATTAACAGGGTAGTCCAGTCATAAGCATGACAGATTGATGTGTGACTCACCTCTATCAAAATGACTCCGACCATGGTTGGTAATTTGATTGCCAATGGTTGTATTCAAATTAAAGGGGGAAAATCCTGTTTTCTAGGGTTCGGATTGAATATAAGTGAGTAAATAGGTAATCTTTCCCGAACTTCATAAAAGATTCAATGTGACGCTCACTCAATAGAGGCCTAGAATTTCAAACTTGCCGCTGAACACTTAGTAAGCAGTAAGTATAATGTTCCGTAAGTCCTCCCACAAATAACAATTGAATTTATCCAGCTAAACCTACATTGCTATTATTTCGTGATGCCCCGATAAAATAACACAACATATCAGACAACGATAAAAACTAGAACTAGGCTACTTATACCTGGAAAAAAGAATAAGAGCCAATATAAAGATGTGAAGTTGAAAAAACTACATGGAAATACCTTATTTCTCTCATTTGCTGAAACAGTTCCGTTGAGTAGATGTTATAATCATCTGCAAAGTAAACAATTCCATCCAGATGGTGAGTTTCAATATGAGCTAGTGCAACATTTCTTTGAAGAATGCTCCTATCACTTGTGTTGGTTAGATTTGTTTTACAAACAAGATGCCTGTACATGACTCCACCACTCCTCAATATATCAGCTGTTTCTTCAGATTGGGAAGTCATCTCAACAACAATCCACAACAAAGGAGGCGGGACCAATTTTAGTGTGTATGCCAAGCGACTCAAGTAGTATGCTTGAAGTGGCCTATTGTATGTTGTAGTCACAATGATTAGAAGCTTCTGAGACTCCAAATATGGTTTCACATTGAGTAATCGGCTAGTAGATATATTATGTGCTATCCCGTCTATTAGCCCCCGTTCCTTCAAAGTTAAGTCCAAAGTAGCATTAAACTTCACAGCCCCATTGGTTGACGGTGTTGCATTTATCTTCACGTCATCATATGGCTGAAAATTTCCAACAGAAGATACAACCTCAAAGGAGAAGGCTTGATGCTTGGGCATGAAATTCAGGGATAAGTTCATTGAAGCAAGTGGGGTCAATCCAATAGAAACCCCAATCATGAAACATATAAAGAAATGGAAAAGCACCTTCCTCCAAAGTTGGCCCTTTGACTTAGACCTTTCAAAAGCCCTCAAAGATCTTGGTGAAAAAACACCAAGAAGAAATGCACGAGAATCCAATGAGCTGACAGTAGGACTTGACAATCCATTGGATGGTGGGCAGTTCTGAGGACTCGATGAAGATTTAGACAATGGAGAACCTACTGAACAGGCTTCTCCAAGTGCTACAGTTCCAGCTCGAGGCACTGGAGACAGGGTTCTTCTAATGGATGCCATCAAAATAAATCCAAGTCAACGCTTAGTTCATAACTCCAAATGGATCCTTTTTGTAGGAAACCAAAATACAATTAAAGAAGAAAAGTCTCTATTTCGATGTGTTTGCCGAGAATTTCAGGGAAACCATGTTTCGCCCACCACGGTAACAATTAAAGCTGACATGAACATTATAAAAGTCGAACTCAGGGGAAAGCATGTCAGATTAAAAATGCAGTTTATGTAACACTTCCTCCATGTATCATAAGTCAGTCTCCTCAGAAGATTGTTCAGACAGAAATCCGTTCCAATATACTGTGCCCTCTGGATTAAATCGACTTATCTTACCACAATCCCAGACCTGTTGTCATAATGCGGCCACCTGGGCAGACCCCATACATTGATTATCTACACGATTATAATGATTCCCTGATCTAAAATGAAGGAGGAAACAGTGAAGATGCTCGAAAAGAAGCATTCCAGGCATAACAGAAGCCCAACGTTAAGATAGCTATGTCCAAGACAGCATTTTCATCACCATAACATTCACTAAACAAACTACCACACTCACCAAAACCACAGCCAAGCAGAGCAGAATGAAACCAACTTCGAGTGCGATTCTTCGAACTTGGCAGGCAGGTAATACTAGTCTGAGAAAACGCTCTACAGGCTGTATCACAAGCACCAAGCTCTCGGAGGCAGCGGTGAAGTTCTACGGCGACTAGGCTTTGCCGGAGGGACCCATGGCCAGCTTGACGAGCCCAGAGAAAACGCGATGGACGATTTTGAGATCTAAGTTAAAAACTTAAAAACTCGAACCCAGAAAGAAAAAAATAAAAAGGAAACAGACGGTGAAAGCTGACGGGACATTTTTATTCTTTCACCATCACAGCTCGCAAAAGAACCTGATAGGAGAAATAAATTTCCTTTTTCAATCACGTGATGGACGACCCAACGGATTTTGTGATTGCGCGGGAAGAGCACGGTGGGGGTATCGCCCCCAAGAGAGAGAGCAAAATTTATCTCCGACCCCAGCGGGTTAAGTCGCACCATTCACGTAACTTCATTTATAGTTAAATTTATTTTTCATGAAGCTAATGTTATACTTCCTTTTCGTTATCTTGGAAAACTGGGTTGATCGGCCATGTGAATTTCTTTATCTGGAGAAAATAAACCTTTTTTTTTTTAATTTCTTAAGAAGTCCATTGGAAGAACCAAGTGTGGGCATAGTAGCTCCCGTTCAGTCACTATATATTATTAACTAAACAGCTCCGTGTACGAAAAATCTAAAATGCAACTGGTGGTGTAATTAACTATCAAGGTTTGGAGGAATTCTCACCATTTCAATATGCGTGAGGAATTTTTTAAATGACTATTTTCAGAAATATTTTTTGCTCATTTTTTAACTCAAACAAAGACTGTCTTTAATTTAACAACTAAAAATTATTCTAACTGGATTGATCAAATAATAAAGAAAAAAGTCAATAACTAGAATTATATTTTTCTACAATATGTGCATTTAGGAAAAAGGAGTCAAAATATAAGTTATTTTTCCTGGGATTTTGGTTAAGTCTGAAACAACACAAAACAAGTTGAGAGATGATAAATGATTGGTTGAGACAGGACTGGATTATTAATTGACTATGCTGGCGTTACTGTGATTAATTATCAGAACTCCGATTATTAATTGTTCTTGTTACTTCTGTAGCAAGATTTTTTTTTTTTTAATATTTAAAAATGATTCATAACTCATAGATTGAATTAAAGATTGCATTCTAAGTAGCAAGAACTGGAACGAAAGCTCACAGAGCCTTGGGTTCGATCGCACGTCAAGGAATGCAAGAAGATTGCGGAAAATACACGGGTGCAGTGATGATATTTATGCAGCTTGTGAATTTGATCACAATATGAGAAATGCCACGTCACCTAGTAAGAAATTTTACAAGAAACTTCTCACCGTTTATTTTCACACCTCTGATCCGTGGTGGATGATGAAGAAAACAATGTTTCGCTGTCAACTCTCAAGGACTCCTAATATAAAAAGGAGTTGCAGATTAGATCATAAGAAATCAATTCATTTTGTATTCAATTTTATAATTTTTTTAAAAAAATATTCTTATTAATTATAAAAGGTTATTAATGGATAGTTTTAATAAACAAGATTAAATAGTTTATAGAAGTCAATACATATTTGTTATAGTTAATCAACTTAACTAAATTTTTTTAATCTCTTTTAATTATTTATATAATATTAATTAATAATTCATCTATTTCAATTTTTTGTAAAAAAAAAAGAGCCTATTTTATAAATTTTGAACTATATAAGTTATAACAGGCCAGGTACATACGGGAGATATTGAGAAAAGAGAAACAACAAAGGCGGGTAAAAGTAAAACAGCCAGCTGAGCGATCCATTGTACTGCTTGGGACAGAACAAGAGAAATCGGAGGAGAGGACAAACAAGGTCGTACTGTACATGGAGCGCTGGCCGCTCTTCCTTGGCAACCTGTTGCATAACATTACAACAGACGACGGTTGAGTCCACAGCCTCATTTCTTCCTCCTCCTCCTTCTTCCTCCCCACACACACACTTTCAGAAGCAGCAAAGTACACACACTGGAGAAAGAAATCATGAAAACCCATCATCATCCTCAGCCCAAGCTCAAAACTCAACTATTCTCCTGCGGCTTCTTTCGCCACTGCGCTCAAAGTGTCCTCAGCCCCACCGGCACCTCTCTCCCGCTCCCTCACACTCCTTCAACCCCACCGGCTCCTCCGCCGCCGCCTCCACCACCACCACCCCACCTTCATTCAAAACCAGAATGTGAATCCTCCACCACATCCTCCTCCTCTTCTTCCGCAACCTCTCAGAGCTTCACCCAATGGAGGTTCTCTCTTCCCACCTCCACCCCTACTCCGCCTCACCCTCACACCCACCGAACCCGACCGTCTCCCCCGCCCAACCCCATCCTCTGCCCAAACCTCCAAGAACTCTTCCACATCTCCGAGCTCCAACTCAGCTCCGGTTCCGACTCCGATCGCCTCTCCGCCCTCCACCTTCTTGAGCGTTCCCTAGTCCCTAACCCGCCCCAAGATCAGCCTCCATGCCCCCCGGAGTTGATGCGTGGGGTCATCTCCAATTTGAGAAATTCCACCGGGGCAAAACCGGCGACGAAGATACTGTTCGCGCTTTGCTTGTCTGAAGGGAACCGGCGCATCGCGGTGGAGGCTGGGGCGGTGGGTGCCGTGATTGAGTCAGCCCTGGAGCTGGACGGGCCACCGGCGGAGAGGGCATTGGCTGCGCTGGAGCTGATGTGTACGGTGGCGGAGGGGCAAGAGGAGGCTAGAGCCCACGCGCTCTCGGTGCCCGTGATGGTCACAATGATGGGCAAGATGGGGGCACGTGGGAAGGAGTATGCCATTGGCGTTCTGGCTGTTATTTACAGCGGCGTGGTGGGAGATCAGCAGACGGCACCGCCGGAAGAGTTGGCGCGTGCGGTGGAGCTTGCACTACAAGGTGAATGCAGCGCGAGGGGGAGGAGGAAGGCTGCCCAGCTGTTGAAGACACTGCATGATTACGGACAGCCTGAACACACTGAAGAAGAAAGATAGACTCTTTATCTGCGGCTTTAATATGGTCACCGGCGACTTCTCCGGCCAATATGGAGGGCGTTTAGAAATTCATTGGCAATGCTTCATACTAAGGGACCCTCTTGCTAAAAATCATTTTTGACCGCAGCTTAGGGTATATTACAATCTATCGAGTGTGTTAGCCCCAACTTAATTACCTTGTTTGCCTTCACTTTCCCTTGTGAATGTGCTTTACTCTTCCTACTATTGTTGATATGCATATTTTAATTTGTTGTTCGCAACCACAAGTGTGTCTCAGTTGATAATATCAAGAATCTGCAGTTGCTATGCCATTTCTGCGTATGATCGACGACCCTTGTATGTATCAACCGTCAGCATTTGGGTTAATGAAACCATCCATCTATAATGTATAATAGTGTAAATTTTGAAGGGGGGAAAAAAAAAACATGCATATTTATCATTAAAAAATAATGCGACTTATTTCTTTTGCAATCCAAGCCGAGCTGATTACTAATAGAAACAATCTTTTATCTTTACCATTAAAAATGCAGGGATACATGAACCACAACTGTAAGAGAACATTATTAACGGGAAGAATTTGTCACTTGGCAAAGTCGTTTGCCTATATATATGGAGCAGCATAATCGATTTGAGGCTGTCTTCTTGAAGTTGAGAATTTGAAAATTGAAACTGGAAGCTTATCTATTAATTAGGTCTGTCCCTGTAATACGAAGACCGTCTTTAATTATTCTTTTCTTTTGAAAGAGATGGAAAAGTCAGATCAAGAAGCCATATTGTATGCACGTACGTCGCTAGGTATCATGAAATAAAAAAAGGAACCATTTTTAGGTTGAAGAAGGTGTAATTTTTCCCTGTCGAGTGGAGATATGTTATATAATAGCTACCAACTTGCAGTAGCACTGAGCAGAGATTTAGCAGATAACTGTGATAACGTGGTTCTATAGGAACGGAAATCTACCCCTTGAACGAAAAAGAAACTGGATGAAAACAAGAAAGGCAAAGGTAGTCCGAACAAGTTACTTTATATTCATTCTGAAATTGAGGGTGTCAGTTTCACGTGTGGATGAGGATGAGTTTCAGATATTTCTGAAATTTGTGAGTGTGCTTGTCAGGATTCTGAGAATGGCGTTGCAATTTGCAGGGTACAGGGCTCCATTATTTGCTGTGCTGCAACTTTCAGACAACAGCTGGTGAGAATATCTATGTAGGAATGAAGAAAAACTTCTATAATCAAGTAAAAACCTATTTTCATCATAAAGCCTTACACTGTAAATGAGTCTCTATCGTTTGAAGTCGAGTACGTAGTCAACCAATTCCCATATCATTACCCATTCCATATATATATATATATATATATTATACATCCTAATAATAATATGTTCCTTCTCAGCTAGCTAGCTTTGGATCTAATTAGTGACCAAGTCTTGTATATATCTTTTATGAAAAATTTGATGTTAAAGAGACCGAGGCAAATGAGTACATGACAACGGAAGGTGATTTCATTAATTAGAACTAGGGAGTTAATGAGGGGGTGAACACAGATATATTTGAATTCAAAAGAAAGCATGTACACAGGGGCTTCAGGATGGTGGGGAAGTGCCTATCTGTATTGGGGACCACTTGCACAATCAAAAAGGCAGCGATAGTTCTCAAAAGTTTACACGATCTGGTGAAGAGAATCCTGATCCTAGATATTACATTATTACCTTCACACTCACTCACAGTCACAAAAAGTTAAAAACCCTATTACGAACGACGCGTTGGTTGGTTCTTTCCTGCATATACATATGTATCGAGTTTCAAAATATACTTATTCAGGATTACTGTATGACGTATATATATTTATACAGTTCATGTTATTAATTATTCAAATAATTTCGTTATCATCAACTCAATGAGAAAACGCAACCGATTCCATGGTTTATGATAAGGATTATGGGCTTCATTTACGTTATCGCTGTCTCATTGATATATATTAAACAAAACAAATCAAGTAATATATATATATATATATATATATAACTAATTGATATAGCTTTTTGAGAGAAGACAGTGAAATAATGTGTTTGATATCGACCCTAGTTTTTCTTTTCTACTTTCGATCGATATCTCCTTTATAACATAAAACTCTTTATGTATTTCTAGCCGTTAAAAGTTTGAGAATTCGAAATGAATATTTTATATCCTATAGCCAGTAGCCTATACAAAACCAGCCATTTGGGCGATGTTTTGGAAGTTGCTAACCAAATTACTAGTACGTCACAATCGACGCAGAAAACTTTTTGAGATCGGAAGTTTTCATACCCAGCAGTTTTGATTATTCGTAATTATAATTACTTGCGAGGGGTATGTTGAGTGAGAACCAAGGCTTTTGATTAATTAAAAGAAAGAATATATAATGGCCTTGCATGTGTGGGAAGCCAGCTAGAAGGTGGAGGCAAAAATAACGATACAGAGGCATCGATTATGGTAGCTGGATACTGCTCGTATACCTCTTCGGGTATCCTTCCCATACTTTTTTTTTTTTTGAGCAAAAGGGTATCCTTCCCATACTGATACTGCGGGGTTCACATCAAACTGTGTATAGCTGTATGCCACAGGTTCAAGTTAGTGTCATCCTCACTGAGAGAGAGAGAGAGAGAGAGAGAGAGAGATGAAGAAGAAGAAGAAGAAGAAGAAGAAGAAGAAAGGTGGCCCTATGGCTGGGGAGCTTCAGAATCTGAAGGGGAATATGCCTTGATTTTGAGGTCTGGGCAGGGATGCCGTATATATTGTAATTAACTAATCATATATTCATGCATTAATTAGTAAATTGATTGGGACTAATTGATCCGATGAATAGAATTTGAGGGGTGGACTAGAGTTTCTGTCGCTACACCAATTATTCCTTGTTTCAAAGTAAGCGCTTCACATGCGCACTGTTGTTATACGTATACCAATGGGCCATTCACATGCATGATTTTGACGAGTCAACAGACAGTAAATATTGCTTCCCAAAATAATAGCAAATCTCAATTAATTACAAAATCTGACGTGAATGAAATGATTTGATCCTTGTCTCCTTGTGCAACTATATATAGTAGTAGCTAGGGCCTACTATTCTGTCGTTCTTATTTACTTATTTTTGTTGATTTGTTCACTTGCCTGTAAACGATCTTTTTATTACTACTCCTTCCGCTATTTACACAGATCATAATTTAGAAGGTTTTCATGGTCTTGCATTATGTTTTTCCTAACAAATGTCCTTGTATTGAAAATTGCTTTGATGACTATTTGCCTGGGGAGAAAAGTCCATTTCCAGAATTCGGTGAATTTGATTAGGGGTAATCTTAAAAAGTAATGATGACTTTTTATAGAAAGAATTGAGAACATAAACTGCTTTCAATTGCTTTTCCTAGCTTATATATGTGTGACTCTCGCTATTGCTTTCGAGTTTTCCTTTTACTATTTGAGTGTTTAATTTGCCTTTGAGAATCAAAAAACGAATCGCTTATGGTTAATCGACGTATGTGTGGTTGGATCCAAGCCAACAATAATTAATCAATGCAACATCGAAGTATATCAAGGTTCAGCCAGTCAGAGACGTTCAACATAATCTCTGCGGGCTGGACGGCAGTGTTCAAACATCTGTGTAGCAGCAAAAGCATCTTGAGATCAATAAACATAGTTTAACATGTTTGTTTGAGTGGTCAAAATACTACGTCCGATCCTGAAAATAAGATCCAAATAATTAATTTAGAGAGATTAAAAAGGTTAAATAAACCGTGTATTATTAGATTTCAGTTAATAAGTTAGATAAATTAGTTTGAAAAAAAAACGATAAGTATGCATAATTTGAAGTAATTTATTTAGCTTTCTTAATATTTTCAAATTAATCAGTTAGGTCTTATATTAAGAATTATAAATAGTACTAAAAACGAGATATATAATTTTGGAAAAATCTGAGTGGTAAAAAACATGTTTAGCTAAAAAAAGATATTTTATGCATCTCGTTACCCGAGATGGGGCATACAACATGGAACATGCATCCACTAAAAATTTTCAATTATAAAATCTTTCATAATACATGTTTCATTGTGATATTGACGTATAATTTCTTTTTCCCCCTTTAACTCTTGTGAATGTGTCACGTACACACATACAACAATTCGTAATTTTTTTTTTTTTTTGGTTGTGTGAACAATCATCACATCATATAATTTACACATTCGAAACTCACTTGGTCCCATGTCAGAGTATAAAGTATATACAAATCAAAGTTGTTGCATTTAAAGTACACGAGAGAACATGGTATCCATATTATATAATTATATTGAGTCTTAGCACACGTAGTCTAGTCATATATTCGTAATTCATGAAAAATGCAAATTTAATTTATATACTTTACGTGATTGTTTTCACATATATATATATATATATATATTCGGCTTCTAATAAACCCTAACAGCCTCATAGCAGTTGACACTTGACTGATGATTAAATAAAAAAACTAAGATCAAATTCCTAACACAGGCAATATAATAGCCAGCCAACCTCTATCTCTTACTACTATGACTACATATAATCATCCCAAATTTGATGTAAGCAATTATTACGAGCAACAAAAGTATCGTCAGGGCATTATATATATATATATATATATATATATATTGTACGCATTATACCTTTTAATTATTAGGTGCAATATATATATATCGCGCCTCCAGACGGATTAACGGAGACAATTACATGAGAATATATATAGGTGTGTGTGTGTAGCTCATCCGTTAGCTAGAGCATTATGCTAACCCGTCTTTAAAATCAAAATATATATACCTCGCATCCTAGTTATTCTCACACACAGTAATCTCTCTTTTTTCTGCACGAAAGTGAAGGAACATGTCGCCGACAATTTGTGCACAACTGTTCATGTATTCTTAAGATTCTGAGTTTATAGTAGTCTCCTTGTGGCTTTCATTGTTGATGGAAGATCAGGTCATGGACCTGACAGCGATGCAAATAATTAAGAAGCACTATTCTTATCAAGATATAGGTACGCACACCACCACATACGAATATAAAAGTTGTGCAGATTTCGTTTAATCTTGAAAGGGTAATATATGGCTCTGTCTAATAAAACACGGGGATAGAAACTTCATGTGAAGAAGAAAAAGAAAAGAAAAGAAGTTGGTAGTGGCTTTGGAATCCGAAAGAGAAAATGGAAAAGAAAAAAGAAAAAAAAATGAAAACAGAATAACCTCCTTTGCATCGATTGACTACGCATTATTCTACCCAATGGCCATAACCACGAGGTCCATCCATCACCCCTTATCTGCGTGCTTCTATTCTTGCATCTCACCTAATCTAATATAAGAGTTAGTTGACTAATTAAAGTAAATTAAAAAAATTAATTGAGTTAATTATTTTTAATAAATATATATTGTTTTTTCTAAAATACTCTTACTGATTAAGTGTCATTTGATGAAATATTTAACATGTGCAACTACTACAAGGACTACCTTAGAAAAAATAGATAAATATGAAAAATAAAGTGGATTTGGGTCTTATATTTAAAATCAAATTGAAAGTCAAATTAACTCTTATATTAAGGACCGAAAGTAGTAGCTTCCTCTCTATTAGGAGGAGGAAAATATTTGTTCTTTGTTTTTTAAAAAAAAATATCTCGAGAAGAATCCGTGTGTCGTCCCCGTAACCCCTCTTAGTCTGTGTGTATTCAATTTGAAGATTACTTTATAATTCTATGAAACAACGTTAGACTCTTGATGAGTTCAGCAAATGAGATAACCAACATATTCAATAATCTTCTGATATTTTAAAGTTTTGTTGGATGCATGGTATAATTAAACAAAAGTTATCCTATTCAGGCATGCCAAATGTACAGCAAAAGCAATTATATGCTGGAGTATCGGGTCGAAGGGCCTATATCCACTATAAATTTTTTACGCCACTAAATGAAATTGAAGGGAAAGGCAATTTCCCTCACAGGAGAACAAGTAAATATGAGCAATCGCAGTGGCTGATTGAAGATCCCGGAACATGTCTCTCAGCAAATGAATTGAAGTTTGGGTTCGTCTCGTGTGCGAGGAAACAACGCCGAAGACAAAATAAGATCATGGTGCTAGGCTAATATAAGTCTCTTAAGCATGCGAATTAGTGCACCAAATAACTTAATATTATTGAAGTTGTAACAAGAGTTTATAAGGGAGACTTCATACTTCTATAAACAACATAAAAGTTAAAAAGACATGCTGGATAGCCACCGCCTATCAGGTTCTACGAACTTCATTGTCTCTCGTGTTCTTTCTATTTACTTGGCTTCAAGTTTTTCAGCTGTCTGCAACTATGCAAAGCAAGCATGTCGAGCCTGTTTCTGGACGTACTTGCCTCTTCAAATTTTAAGTCTTCACCCTTGATCATATACACATTCCTGGCATCCGGCACAGTAAAATCAGCTGGGTTTCTGTTGATGCTGCATGTGTTCGACCCAGAACTGTTTCTCACGGGCACTGAGGTTCCACAAGCATCATGGATTTTGAATTGACGTTGCAGTGAAGTTTCCTTTTCAAGATATGGCCAGTTAAGCTGCTGAGTATTTCCTCTATTATGCATGGCTGAGTTGGAGCTCTTCATCTTATCTTTCATTCCAGACTTGGAGGGAATTCGACCATTGAAACTAGTAACAACTTTCTCACCCTGTCCAACTGATGAGGATGCACCAAGCGTTGGAAAGCCAAAACAGCCATGTTGTTTATCTGGTAGGTAACTTTTATTAAAATGATCAGATGGTGGCCGTTTCAGGGAACCAACAAGGGAAGCCTTAGATGTCGTACCCATCTCCAACTTGGCATGGGAGTCACCGGGATATAAAGGCCTATTAAGCATTTGAGAATTGACACTTGTATTGAAGGGTGTACGACACTGCTTGCTTGCATCCATAAGGTTAAGTAAATGCATGGCTGGTATCGTCTCGTTGGAATACATGTGCCGGGATTCCCTTAGATTTTGAGGGGGCTCAATCCCAACATGTTTGCAAGAAAATGGGTATTCTGCATTCATCCCGCTCAAGGGTCCGGGAGCCCTTTCCCTATTAAGCTTTTCATAGTCAACAGGATTCAAATTTATACAGTTGATGTCAATATCCCTCTTCACGTTCTGCTTCTGCATATCCTTGGTGCTTGTAGAGTGGGAAATAACACCGTTTTCAAAAATATCATATCTTAGGGACACAGGATTCGGAGTCAAGGATTCCCAAACACGAGAAGCTTTATCATCCTGTTGTAAAATAGTCTGATGCAGGCTACATCCTCCCCGGGACTGTGATGTAGGATTAGAGGACCCACACTCTGCAGTAATCCTATTTAACCTATGATTTCGAGCACTACCAAGTTGGCTGGAACTTAGGGGTGAAAAATGGAATACACCTGATGGCTTCATCTGGGGCTGGGAAGCTTCAATCCCATAGAGGGAAGCTTGAGAGAGACTATTCAAATTCAATGGGTTGCCTTTGGATGAAGAAAAGCCATGAACAGTGTTTCTTTCACGGGACCTCACATTCTTTCCTCTCATGACCATAACATTTTCCCCGCGTCCCCTTGCTATTTCCTTCTGGTCATCTTTCAATAATCTCTGCTCCCCTTTCCCATTGATAGTATTGCCAACTTTTGATCTTCTCTTGGTATTGGACCTTTTCAACCGTTTCTCAATTTTTGTATCAGGAAGACCTCTCAAGTACTGAAACCTGGCCATGAAATCTACAATGTCCATGGGTACATCATCGTCATTATCGTCGTCATAGTCATCGTCATCATCTTCTGACTCCTGCTCAGAACCCGTGTCTGGTGTTCGATCATTGTATCTGCTAAACATACCTACTTGTGCTAGAGCTTCAGCAGTTTCTTCCACGTTTCTCGCACCAGCAATTTCCTGTAAAAAGAAAATTATTATCATGGGCAGTGGTTCATTACTAACAAGTAAATGGAAGAACATCACATGAGGAAATATTGCCACTACCGAGACAATACTAAGCAACTATAATGTGGCTTAATTCTAAATATAGCTTGTTTGCCAATGAATTAGCCTAATATACAATTTAGCTTCATATGTGGCCATCTCATTAAAATCAAAATGGATCAAGCTCACAATGGCAAATTTTTAAGAAAATGCACAGGCACATACCAGAATAAAATACTAAGCTCTGGCTCATGCTCAGCTCACACAACAAAAAACAATTGCCATAAAAATTTAAGGCAGGGGTGCAGCACTGATGGAATGACATGGAAACTATCAAAGTCAATTTTCATTACAATTCCATGATACTCTTGACACAAAAATGACAAAGGAAAAAAATCATGAAATGATAATAGCAATTAGTAGTCATGGAAATGAATCCTTGTTCAAACTGAGACGTATACTTATGCTTTAAAGGGGCTTCTCTTAGCTACTTACTTCAAAACGAGCTCTTTTTCCAGAAACATCATCTGTTATGCACTCGAAAGGAATGATTGGCTTTCCAACATTGGTTTCCCATTCTTTCCTAACAAACTGATGTGTTCTAGAGGTGCCTTCTTGAGAAGACAATGAGAAAGGTAGCCGATTTTCATTCTGATGGATACATATTTTGCTGTAATCCTGTGTTGCCAAATAACTCTTCAGAGAAAGATGCAGTCCCTCTTCCACACATTTTTCTTTCATTAAACCTTCAGCAGAATGATTTGGAATAGTTGCAGCCATATTTGGCGTTACTTTGGCTGTTTGATGTGCAAACGAATTTTCCACTAGCATGCCACCATTTCGGCAACAAGGAGAAGGCAGATTTTGATCAACTTGCAGCATCTTCCCTTTTCCTTTGGAAAATTTGGACTCATTTTCTGTTCTTGGAGCATGCAAAGGAAAATTACTCACCCCTTTCTCTGTGAATGCGGGAGCAGGAGCCAATTTGGAAGTAGTTTTAGAAGCATACCCGTCATTTGCAAAATCCATTTTGTCCTGATTTTGTTTTTCCTTCCCTTTCTGAGACTCAGATATGAAGTGATTGCTGAAAATTTGGATCTTTTTGTTCTTCTTAATCCCTGTCATATGGCTTCTTTCAGTTTCTGGCTTACACCCATTGTTCTTCACAACATCTGGGGTACTTACTCCTGCACATACATCTTCAGAACCATTATTCAAAACAGGGTCAATGGCTTCTGTGTTTTCCTTTAAGCTTTCAGGTTCAATCTCAACCATCTGCTCCTCATCCACAATAAACTTCCGTTTCCTACTCTGAGCCATTTTTGTCAAATCTCCTTGATCATTTGTCTTACCCTGGTGACTTGAAGAACCTTCAGATGGGGATTCTTGTACAGTGATTTGCTCAGTCTTTGTCTCACCATTTCCACTCAATAAGTCAGTTAGCAGGCGCACCTTTCGCGGTTTCTTACGAGGCAAACCAGTTGACTTTCCAAGATGTTGATCCTGAAATTCGTTTTTGACCAAATTATCAATGCTTCCTTGTTTAACTTCATGGCAAGCAACTGAATCTGGTGGAGGCAGTCCTGCTGTGTGATCAACTATTTTGTCTGCCTCAGTAAGTAAGGTGCCTTTCTCCGAATCTTCACAAGCTTTTTCCGTCTCTTTTGGGCATTGATTATCAGCAACGATAGGCTTTCCTCCATTGCAAGTCTCAGCAGAACTCTTATCCTTGCACTTGAGATTGCCCGGATCAAGCTTAACATCAAAAACTTCTTTGCCTTCCCCACCTGTCTCAAAAACGTGTATGAGTTGATGTCTTTGAAATAGTAAATTTTTTAATACATATATAAATATATAAAGTTGTCGCTTCAGATTAAAAGGATCATAAGAATGCTACTGCTTGACTGACTTCGTACTCTTCAACTGAACCTACCTTTGTTATTTGTTTGTTGTTCCTGTCTCATTCCTCCACAAAGTATTGGTGATGAAACACTAGATATCTGATGGTTAAGGCCCTCCAAGGAAATCTCATTGTCTGGGGAAGCAAAAACATGAAATATCAAACAAAGTATACTGGAAAAAGCGATCAAGATACTATATAGAAATGAGGTTTAGTATACTTATTCTGCAGTCTTCAACGTCAGCTTTCTTTTCTTTCTCGTTGCTAATGGCTACATGATCGTTTCCATTACTCAGGTTAGTTGAATTATTAAGATCAATTTCCTTTCCCTCAAAAGTGACAGCAATTGGAGCTTGCTGAGTATCAGAATTGAGAGCTGCAGTACAACAGTTGAGGTCTTTTCCATCATCTTTATGACTGCCTTCAGAAGCAAGCTCTTGCTGAAAGCTTCGACAACTTAATTTTGGTGCATCACATGGTGGAAGCAATGGTGATTGTTCAGACTCATTATGGTTGTCTTGTATTGCAAATGGCCAACACGATTTCCAGTCTTTTTGGCGAATTTCAGATACATATCCACTGCGTTAACAACACATAAAGATGATATGGGAACGAAACATTTTCTGAAAGAGAACCAAAAGTTATCTTTAAAAAATAAACAGTACCGACAGTTCATATTCAATATACATCCCTAATTCACTAGAACGAAATTTGTGCACAGATTTGCTGTAGTACATCTAGAGCTCATAAATTTAGGCATCATTCCATTTGATTCTTTATGATAGTCATCGCCACACAATCAATTCACTTCAGTTTTCGTTGCAACATGGACGTTGTAAATCATTAATTAATACATATATTGATAAAAGAAATATATCAAGATCGTCCGTTTAACAAGGATGATGCAATCCAACTCCAGGCATTAGCAATAAGATATGTATGATTAAACTAAATGAAGGCAGACAAAGACTACCTTATTGCCATGCTCCTAATTCAAACATATTAGACAAAGCTATACATGCAATCTAAGAAATTATTAAACGACCGTGATCTGACAAAATTATAATAATAAGGGATTACCGCATTGAGAAATGTTCACATTTTCCTGGATCACTAGTCTTGTCAAAGTAATCAGTAAGGTCTATATAGAGTGAATCAATCTTGACGTATGATCTCATGAACTCGATCACAGTATAGAATCGCCGTTTAAAGATGATTCTTGACTATGCTTTGCCCGTCTCCAGCTAGAAGCACAAGTGTTCCCCTCTTCACAAACAATTTTAGACATTAGAAATTTAAATTTTCAAATAGAAAAGTAGAGTCCACGAAAAATGAAGCTATCTATCGATGAATAGCAATGATCTATATGATCAAAGACCAAAAGCCAAGAGTATAGTTAAGCGGGATTCTCAGTAAACTTGAGTTTATGAAAAGCTGATAAGAAATGAAAAACGTAAGACAGGCTAATTAGACATTCTCAAGTAAAATAAAGCCAACTAAATCCCCATACCAAGTGATTGGGCACATAAAATGATAAACATCAGCGCCATGAGAGTACATAAACCCTAGCTTTCTCATCAATAGTACCAGTCATTCAGAAGCTCAAAGTTAGTAATCTATCGTTTAAATTATAATACTATAGACCAGGTCGCCAACCCACCCATTTAGGTTCACCCAAGGATAGATCCGGGTAACTAATAAGTCCAACCATATGCTAGGGTTTTCTAAATTCAACGGCAAAAATAATCTGCTTTCAACGCAAATATCATATCATTAGAATCAATAACAAAAAAGCCACCTTAGAAGTTGAATTTTAGATCACAAAACGATGCACACGGACCCCCAATCAAAACCTTAGGGTTCAGTGGCCTGCATAATTCACCTCTTGCCAACTTAGAAATCAGTTGATACCACGAGGACAACAATCCAGATGGCAGTCAAATTGTTAAAAAAGTTGGAAGGGCAGCAATAAAGCAAAACTCAGATAAAAGAAAGAACAAAAACAAAAGTAAAAGCCGAACTGGACCAACCATAAACAGTACACTGATCCCCAAACCAACATCCAAGAATAGTCCCGATCAACGCGAAACCAATCACCAACTACAAAGTCAGAGAGCAAGAAGGAAAAATTCGAAGAAGAAGGACTCACTTGAAGACCCAGCCCCACGATCCAATCCCGGGCAGTATCGATTCTCAACGCCTCTTGCAAGAAACGAAGCCGAAAGACGGAAATTTTGATGGACGCAGCATCAAGCTAGATCAGCAGTCGAATTTATCAGCTCGCCCAGTACAATTTTGGGTGCGACAGACACGAAAACCCTAGAGAGAGAAGGAGAGGGATTTTCGATAGTTTCGGGGGGAAGAGAACGAGGGGGAGAGAGAGTGAGATCTTTAATCCTGAAGGGAAGGCTATGTATTTGTTTGATGTATTAAAAAAACGCCGTATCGTGTCATAATCCATACACATAGAAATTGTTAATCTAGAGAGAGAATGTCAGAACAGCAAAAGTATGGCCCAATTAGGATCCGCCAAGTGTCAGGAATGTGCGGTTCTTATCACCAGCCATTTATAAATGCGATGGTGGACGCGAAAGAAACCCTAGATGGGAAGGGTTGGGGGAAAAGGCAGATACAGTCCCTCGCTCGTTGTTTTCACGCTCTCTGCCCTTTTAGCTTCTTCATTTAATAATGGGTTCCTGTCCTGTCAACCCAAAAGCCTAAAGGTGCTCATGCTCTTTGCACATTGAACGGTCCTCATTGGTGCGTGTTGTACACGGAATGACCCCGAGAGTGGGTGTGCCTCCTGAGCAATTTGAAACCCTAGGTCCCCTTATGGAAGGTAAAACGGAGGTGGAAGGAGGTACGTAACCCTAACATCTGCAACACATCCATTGGAAGAAGATAAGGTTGGCACTCTAATGTAAGAGTTTTGAAAAACTCCGCATTTTAGTATTTTTGGTATGTGATTACGTTGTGTATTTTGAGTTCATACCAAATGTACCTTTTTATTACGCATACATTGTGTGTGCACGTATAGTTTCCAGAATTGGGGATTTTTAAATTGGTAATAATTATATTGTATATTACTGTCTTGACCTGTAGAGAGATGTAACAGTTGAACCTGATCGTTACAGATGGAGCAGGAAATTCAGTGAATTTTCTGGGGGCAGGTGACATAATTATCTTCCTTCTTCACTATATCATGGTACAAAGGATTGAATTTAAAGTTTTCTATGAAGTATTCAAATGGGTGATCATTAATTCCATCATTGTACCCATGTTTTAAGCTAACGATCTAATTTAATCCACTTTAATGAGAACCAAACTTGAATATTTATCTCAATTTTCATGCCCATATTTTAATTATTTGGATATAGAAATTTGTGTATTTGTGGACCTATGCAAAATTAGTCAAAGATAGTTTTGATGATGGAAGGAGTTGTACGAATTAGTTTTGTTCTAGCATTGATATTCATTGAATGGTTTGGCATGTTTATGACAACTATAAAAATTAGAAGTACATTGTTTTATTAACAAACGAGTCAAAATTCAATGCTCTTGTTTTAGTTTTCCCTTCTGGATTTAGCCAATTATATTATTTAAATATAATAATATCAAATATGTATCTTCCACTCCAAGGACCGAACATTTCCGATACCAGAAAATGCTACCCATACGTCTAATCACTCCTCTTGATGCTTGTTTTGGGAATTATAGGGAGAAGAATATTTGCTAATGCAGGAAAAGAACCGAGTCATCAAATCACCATAATAAATTAAACACTTCCTTTTCAGTGATCAAGATAAAATAGTACGATGTGCAACAATTAACTTCCTCCGAAAGTTTCTTTACTATATACGAGGATGAGCAACATTTTGCTTCGAAAGCAGACAAAGGAATAAATCATTGTGGAGCAAGTTTCTTTATGGTGACATTGACACTTATACGGTCTATTTTATTACATATAAAAAATTTTATACAGGCACTTATAGAGAGAGAGAGAGATCTAGAGGGAGGGAGGGAGGGGGAGATATAGAGATAGAGATAACAACGATAATAATATTCAATTTCTTCTGCATAAAGTCTAAAACAGCCCAGAACAGAAATGCTTCACAAATTTGTGTGGACTTTCACCCAAAAATCATACGCGATAATTTCGCTGATTTGCTTTATGGGTACTTGATTTTCTTTACGGAGATTATCATTTGATATTTGTCCATTTCCTATAGATCGAAAGATAATTAGCGTTGATAATTTCTCCCCTATATATTTGCTTTTTTCTGTAGCAGTACAGCTTTTGAGATTTGGGTTGAATTTGTGACGAAAATGGCGCATATAAATCTATAGCAGTGGCACTAAGAGAGGGCCCTATGTATTCCATCATTATGCGTATGAATCCCTGTGTACTAAAAAGACTGCAGTAAAATTACAGTACTTGTCCGAACAACCTGCTCTCCAATAAAATGACCCATAATTAACCCCAAACGTTTCATTTTTTTAATGATTATTTATCGTGCAATTAATCGAAAGGCTTCGCTTCGACGAAACTTTAATGATTATTTGCGTACATACGTGTCAAATGATTCTGTTTCAAGTCCCCTTCGATAGATAGCTATCCACCATATAATAATTATAAGATCGGTCTATCACTTTTGTCGACATTTCACTAAACGAAAAGATTTAATAAATTTATATATACTTGTCCGAAACCTAGGTGAAAAGTAGGCCAATAATTAAATTCATGTGATGAATATTATAATTGTTGGCCTCTTGGAACCGTAACAGATACAATGAACATTTGATCTTTGAAATATAATTTGTATGTATTTGAACAGTTGCGTATGTCTAGCTCAAAATTCACCTCTGGGTTCCCTTTTAATATCGATTAGCGAATTAAGATATTACGCTCTGAGAAAGAAAGTATCATTCACTTTTTCGTGCAGCGTCTATGTTATGTACGTATGTTTACCAAGTTAAGCAATTGTGGAACAATCTTTCACTTTAATCTCTGTTGATTCGCTTAACAATTTTTCTGGAAACGAGTGAATCAAAGGCGAGAAAGTGTGAAGCAGTGATATAGAAGCAAGAGTTGTGTTGTTTACTCTTTTAGCACTTGATTTAAGATCTAGCTAGATTTCCCATGAATATATGGTCCTTTATAAAATTAGGGCTTCTTAATTTGTTCAAAACTGTGAAGTAATTTTTTATTTGTTTTTGGAGACGAAGAGGGTAAATTGTTTGGTTTACCGGACAGAGAGACAGGCTTTGTCCCCCACCCACATTTCTTTAAACCTTCCACTCAATGTCTTCTTTTTCTTCTTTTGGTTAGTACGAACTTTCTTTAAATTTACTAGTTCGGTTATATCTTTTTTTTATTTTTTAAATTATAGTCGGTCTCTGACTAACTTAATTAAGATATAAGCCATTATTTAATTACAAGGTTGCCAACCACTCCACTATTTGGCTGATAATAAAGTTGCGGAAGGCAAAACTTTCAAGTTTCAACTTAGTTACGAGCTCCGATCGGGCACACACATTCATATTATATTATTTTTATTTCTATCATTTTATATACTGTTCGTCGGATTTATAAATTGATTGTTGTGAGAGTTATAAATTCATATGGTTTAAATACTTATATTTTGTACCTGACATGTATGATGATAGTAAATTCAACCAATGAATGATACTTCTTGTTGCTTTTGTTGTCTTAACGTGTATGAGTTAATTAGATTATTTATTTTTATGTTTTTTTATTTTTATTATTTTTCTCAAGCTATTCTTACAGCAAGATTTTTGTATTAATGCATAAACTATATTGATAACACTCCAAAATGATTAAAATGAGGCCGGATATTGTAGTAAAATCAGCACACATTTATTACAAATAAGTTTGTGACTTATTTAATTAGCTCTTGTATATCATGTTTGAATATGGTAATCCAAAAGTAGACAAGGCGACCTGCAACTAGTAATTTTTTAGGGATGTCTGCAATTGGTCCCGTTCCATGGATCGATTATAGCGAAGAATGAGTAGGTATTGTCAATTATGGAACCTCGGTCATGTAAAGAATGACAAGGTATTTCCCAGCAACGATGTAAAGAACGTCGATCATGTCTCTGGTCAAATTTGAACGATGTTTCCCATGCGCGATCGAGAAGAGTAAGGATATATTATTTAGGATGATGAGGTTGATTAGATACGCATCAATATAATATAATCAAGTTGGTTATAACACATAACTGTGATCCTTAATTATGCAGTTTGTTTTTTGAGAAATCATGGAAATATCCTCTGATATATATATTTATATATTCCTCCGGTTCTAAATAATAAGACTCATTTTGTAGCGCGTAATATAAGACTCATTTTGTAGTGTGTAATATAAGACCCATTTTGTAGTGTAAATTAGATTACAAAATGGGTCTTATATTTAGGATCGGATGGAGTATATTCTTTCGTGAATGAATCATGAAGTAGAAAGACGCAGAAATTAAGATTCACTTAATTCATTAGTATCTGTAATCTGGGGGCGTTTGTAAGTTTAATTTCTGATGCTGTCCTGTTCTTCTCATTGTCTCATCTATGGGTGATTATTAATTTGTATGAGATTAATCACAATGATAACATCATATGAACTACTTAAGCATACAAAAATAATTAGCTGATGACATCATATAATTAAAGGACAAATAGAGACTAAAACACCTTTTTTTTTGTGGCGGCTGGATTTAATTCGCAACCTGTGTTGTTGTCCTCGCCGTCTCTTTCTATGGACGACACTGATCGTAGAAAGTGGACTTAATTATTATCATAGTTGGCAATACACCTGTTGACAACAGACAAGTCAATAGGTGTCAATTTTTCCCAGCTGTGTTTCAATTTAAGCTGTACGTCATTATTATATATAATTATATGAAATTTATTTATCTTCTTACATGGCATTAGTTTACAATTTTTGTAAATATGTTACGTACTAGGTTTAGTTAGCAAGAACTTCAACTCAATTGAACTTTTTGTTATTGGAGAGAGAAAAAGGTTCAAACCCAAGACCAGCTTCTCGTGTGGTTAAACCTCAACTCCATCTACAGTAAAAAGCGTAGCGCGGGGAAGACCAAAAGTGATTGATGAGCCAGAGGTTTGTGGAAGTGGAACAATGAGTTTCGTTGAACTCATTTAATTCATCATTTGAATCTATATAGAGTATTTTTTTATCGCAAAAATTAATAGTGTCTATATATATACAATACACAAATTAGCTCCTTGCAAATACACCGATATACCAGATTTACGCACTTACCTAAAAGAGTGCTAAAAATAGAATCTTACAATGGTGTGTATGAACAGGATAAGGTTTATAGCTCTTTTTTTTTTTTTTTTCTCTCCAAATCTTTGTAACTCAAACATGAGAGAAAATTATGTTATTGACAAACCAAAAACAATGTTAACGGACGAGCTGAGTTTCAGTTGAGCCCGGATCTAAAACTGAAAACTTTCTTTCCTTTTGGTCTGACCCCTCAGGATTCCCCACATCGGATTGCGACAATTTCTTGTAGCACGACCACGTGGACCCTTGCACGTGCTGCAACAGTTGCCCATAGACGTAAATCCTGCTCTTCTTCACCCGCCAATAACTCCCATAGAAGTTATCCATATCGCCCTCTGAATCCATCTTTGCTTGCCTAGGTACGTGAGAGCAGAATCGGATCCCCTTTATTGGATATTCAAGTTTCTAACTTTGCGAGTCAATAATTTTGAAACCCCAATATATCTTCGCCTCATTCTTTCTTAGTTATATGATCGAATTATTACAGGTCGTTAAATTGAATAATGTAAAGTAAATTGGCCAAGTTTGGTGGCGGCGGAACTTGGATTTGTTTTGGGTAAAGCATATTCAGAAGGTAAAAATTGTTAATCTTGAGGAAAACCCCATTATTCGCATGCTTTTTCTTTGATCCCTTTTTGTAGTAGCCAAACATGCCTCATTGACCCTAAAAATCACTTCTTTAGTTCCATGAATAACTCCGATGTTTTATGATGCTTTTCTTTCCAGAATGTCTCATTTACTAATAGCGAAATAAAGTGCATAAACACCCATATATTCAAGGATTTTATACTATTAAACTCTCCGGATCAGACTTATTAAATATTATCAAATGAAGTCGGACTTAATCAAATATTATCAAATGAAGTGAGATGCTATATTTTTGCGAGATCAGGAAACAGCATTAAGAAAAGTAATACTTCTCCGATCCTAAATATAATATCCATTTTGTAATAATCATAACGCACGGAACCAGATGATTGGACTGTTTCGCAGCCTAACGTGTAAAGCAGAGTTATTATGGATAGATATAGTCATATATATAGACATACAAATGATATCCGTACTGCCCAATATGCATGTGATCTAAGTTTGCCAGCGCTAGCTTGAGGCAGTCAAATATTATAACTTCACGCACGTACATGCGAGCTTTTGTCAAGCAAGGAAGTGAAGGTTATGGAGATGGGGCAGGATCACTCTGCAATTTGGATCAATGTGTATAACGACATTAGAAAAGAGTTATATATTTTCAGTGTCAACTTTATATATTATTTTAATCCATTTGAGAATCATGTATAGAAGTGAGCTTCTTGCCCATTTTCAATGTATCTCTGCTTACCAGGAGTTTGCCTCTTGCAGCTCTTTCTGCCAAATAATTTGATGGTTTGAAAAAGCCACCATACATCTTTTCCCACTTGGTTAGACTTTCATGAATGTACTTAGGTCCTATCATGTCGCCCCAGAAAATTATTCCTCCCCTGCGAACACAAAATAGACATAGGCTCGCTCACAACCTTATATAAATACATCAATATGGATATCGACTATTATCATTATATATAGTTGTTTCTCACAGGTGAGATGGAAACTTCATTCCTAGAACAGAAGCAACATCAAGGTCTGAAGCTTTAGCAACAACCCCTTCGTCTATGACACGGCATGCCTCATTCACCACAGGAAAGAAAACCATTTCCACAATTTCTTGGTCACTCAGCGTCATCACACACTGTCAATATCAATCATAGCCCACAAAACATGATGCGATCACTTTGTTATGTAAAATATCATCTCCTTTTGGGAAATGGAAACTGAATGGTGAAACACATGAAACAAAGAAAGATAAAAATGAAAGTTCACTTTATGTTAGAGGTTGAAGAACCTGTCCTTGGGGGATGATGTTCATCTTTCTTCTGGATTCCTCAACTATTGGCAGCACAGATAGGTCAGGAATCGGCGGGTTGCCCCTCTTCTCGTATAGATAATAACCTTTTCCATTGCTTTTGCCTTTGAAAGCATATGATACAACACAATAATTTCATTTCATCATTTAACTCCAAAGCTATCACTTATCAGAAAGACTTGATACGGTGATCAAACGGCGTTCTATCTATTATTAACTGCTTATATAAGTGATTATTTATGCATGTCATTATTATCAGGTTGACTGACAATATTAATACTTGAATTTGGGTGCTACAAGAAATCCATGACATGATATATTGTATGAGCACCTGTTCGGCCACTGCTGACTATAAGATCAAGTAGAGGAGATATGTATGTACGATCTGAGAAGGCTTTGTCAATCTCTTTGTTAGCAGCTAGGGCTATTCCATATCCAGTTATGTCATGAAACCTGCAAAAAAATAAATCAAAAAGAAGAGAGGGAAAGAGTCGATTCAAAGACAAATTCCTTCAAGTGGCTCTCTGAGTTGATTCAGTTATAATAATTGGAATGAGAATCACACATAGAAATTAAACATAACTGGAAAGGCCCCATTGGCATGCCAAATGTGGTGATTACTTTGTCAATCCTGAAGATATCAATCCCCAAATCTGCCAAGAAATAGGCGGCTTGCGTATATGGGAAGAAAGTGCGATTAACAGCAAAAGCAGGGCAGTTCTTGACAACCAAAGGTACTTTCTTCAGCTCCTTCCCAACTGTTATAAGATCAACAACCACTTGTGCGCTAGTTTTCTCGGTCGGTATGATTTCCAAGAGAGGCATGATATGAGCAGGACTAGGTTGTAAAGAGATAAAATGTCAGATTTATGGCCCTTTTACTTTCGCGCGCGCGTGTGTGTGTGAGAAAATGCTTCTGACCTGAAGAAGTGTGCTCCTACTATTCGATCCTGCGATTTGGTCTTATTTCCAATTATATTTAAATCAATGGAAGATGTGGTTGACGCCAAGATACAGTGATCAGGACAGTTCTTCTCGACTTCTTCAAATACTGATTGCTTTAGGGACACTTCCTCATAAACAGCCTACAAATAATCAATTTGCCATAGTCATGAAGCTAAACTACCTTAATAACCGCCGTATTTCCACTCCATCTTGACAGATGTATTAGCTGTTCTGTAAGTTAACGATGGCTTGCAAATCGCAACGCAACAATTTGATTTATGAGGAACCAGGTCAGATGAGAGAGGGGGATGATATACCTCAATAGTCATATCCAATTCTTTGAAATCCGAGTAATCCGACACGCCTTTAAGCATCGAAAGGGACTTCACTACCTCATCGTGTCCAAGCTTCCCTTTCCTTAATAGTCCTTCCAGATTTGCTAGCACACAACAATCCCCATTACTAATATAAAGTGACAAATGTAATAGTCGTTTTGTCTTTATGCAATCATTAGCACGGAATTTTGACATGCTTATAGCTGCAAGCAGAAAATATGTCTGTTGCAACTCGACTGATGGATTAATGAATGAAACACTAACCTTGTATTTTTGTTATAGCTTTTTGTAGATACTCGGTATTGATTTCTTTGAGTATAACATTGATGTTCGCTAAGATAAGAGCAGTGGCAATACAAGAACCCATCAATCCACCACCAATCACCCCAACCCTCTTCATTTTGCGTGGCGTCAGTCCCACGTCCGTAATGCCAGCTACCTGCATCGCGTTTATGCAAAATTAATAACTACTGTTATATATATAGATAGAACTTCATTTTTCAAATTAAAGATTATATCTTATCATATCAATTATATATTTTGAGAATACGAAAATAAAAGAATGAAGGTAGTAAATATAGGAGACTTTAGTTCGGAATTGGAACTTTTCAGCGTGGAATTCAATCACAAAAACAAGCTCAACCTCTGAGGTCGCCCGTTGAGCAAAATGTAAGTGAACAGATGCTTTCGCAGTATTTGAGAGCACCAGTTCTTCGAATAACTTCTGCTCCTGCAAAGTTCATGAACGCTCACGAGTCATATATTTATATTTTTAAACTACTACCTCCGATATATAAATCTAGTTTGTAGCGCAACACTGGAGGTAGTATTTTTCATTTGCCTTGTTAGCACACATCAATAATAAACCCGAAAGCTGAAAGCTCTGAAATTTGAATCCCATAACGGGAAAAAAACACTTGAAATGGAAATTGGGTGATACGTGTAAGTTATGTATACCTTTGAGAGACCACAATAACCTCCAGAAACAATACCATATCTGACGACGTCAAGGCAAGCCTTGTGATGGGGCATGGCAGTTTCTGTGTTGAAGAGGGCATGTAGATCAGACATTGAAGCAAGTCTATCAGTTTTGGAGAGTGAATTGGTGCGGCTTTTACGTCCCTCGACTATGTCCAAAGCCCACGCAAGCGAAACTCGTAGTAACTCTTGCGCTGACACAACTTCATCAATCAGCCCTATTTCCTTCCCCTCTTCCGACATTATACTCTCCGAGGACTGCATGCACAGCACAACATATACACATCTATGTCTCTACATGCGCACACACGCACGCACGGATATATATGGGTACGTGTATCAGATTTTAAGTGTGGAGAGTTCTTTGGTTCACAAGATCCCATCGTTGCCAGAAAGATTAGACACGAGAGGACCTATTTGTGAAAGCTATGTATCATATTTTTGAACTCCTCATTCGTAATCACATGCCAATATCTTTTTTTTTTTTTACAATAAGACTATAGTATGCGTTTAATATTTTAACTTTATATATACCATTTCTCAATTTAGTCTCTTAACTTTAAAAATTGTATTTTTAGTTTTTTAACCCTAAAATTGTTAAAAGGAATAATAACATTCAAATCTTAGATATTTATAGAACACTATCAGATATTAAAATATATTGAGTTTAATTTTTAAAACAATTATTATTGTTATAAAAAAACATATCATTTAAACCTAATGATTTTAGGATTAAATAACCAGAAATAAACTTTTTAAAATTAATAGATTAAATCGAAACATTATATATATAAAGTTAAAAGACCAAATATATATTTTAGCCTTTCAATAATATATATACGTCTCTCTCCTTTCTCGATTAAGCATTTCTTCAGGTCAATATAATGGAATTTGGCAGACTGAGTTTACGGGACGGTGTTTGTAAAAGGCTTCCTCCAAAGGAGCTACTTTAAGCTCGCTAGAAGGAAAGAGTTCCTTTAAAGCCACATCTATATTAATTTTAAGAAATTTAAAGACCCAATTTAGCTAGTCCTATTACTGTGAGGTGCTGGGCTCACTCTAAAGGGTTAATTAAGCCTGTGCCATAAATGAAGTTATTGACCAAATTAAATCTCTAGCCTCCAAATAAAGGGCATGTGGATTACCATCAACATGTTGACGGCTTTGGAAACTCCAACAAGCCTTGGAAGACGCTGTGTGCCTGAGCAAAATAAAATAAAATAAAATAAAGTGAGCTAATTAATTAATTAATTATGAATATCTGGCACATATACGTACAGTGGTCAGAAAGCTACAAGGATAAGGGTTTTATATAGGCAGGAGGTGCTACAGATACTACCTCCACATCCTGGAATGACCCCAAAAGTCAGCTCAGGCAAGCCAAGTTTTGCTTCCGGCGTAGCAAGACGTGCACTGCATGCCTGCTCATCACTTCCTTAATTAATTAGGATCTCAAAATATATTTAATATATATACACACATTAAAATTTATAATAGATTATACTACCTCCGGTTCTTAATATAAGAGCTAGTTTGACTAATTTGAGTAGATTAAGAAAATTAATTAAATTAGTTATTTGAAATAAATAGGTGTTGTTCTTCTTAAAATACTTTTGCTAATCATATGTAACACCTAGAACAATCGAAACCTTTAAAATGTGCAACTAGTATATGGATTACTTTAGAAAAATATATATATAAGAGATAAAGTAAATTGAGGTCTTATATTTAAAATCAAATTAAAACTACTAGCTTTTATATTAAGGACATGAAGTAGTACTATTTATAATATACGATCATGTAAGTAGTTTTTAAACAATATGCATAATTTTCTGTGTAGGTAACTACAACCATTACTTATGAGGAAAATAATTAAGATTCATTGAGACACAGTGTGCGTTTGGTTGTGCATATATGTGCTTAATTGCGGCTGAGCGTGTGTGTGGGTTCACACGCTCTTTTTGAATTTATGTCATATATGATTGGGAAAAAAAAATAAAAATGGTCCACTTTATTTGGTTATTGATTTATAACATAGAGAAATGGATCGAGAATGGTTTGGTTGAGAGGGGAAACGAAAACAGCTTACCATGGCCAACTCAAGACCACCTCCAAGGGCATATCCTTGTACGGCAGCGACTGAAGGCTTTTTGCCATCTGAAGTTACCATTCAAGGAAAATTTATGCATATATATTAAGGCCACTTTTAACGTACGTAATTAATTAATAAATAACATTTAGACCTTCAATAACATTAATCACGAGATCACGAGACATGTTTGTCACAACCGAGACGTCACCTGCAAGGCCACTTTAAAATTACAAGTGGGAAAAAAACATTATGCAATCATGCTGCGCAATATTGTTGTCAGATATATATTATAAATAGTTTTTACTTCTAATTTTTAATTACGTATATCCTTAAAATTCTGTATGCAATTTTGGGACTTGAAACAAATTCGTATAGAATATTACCAGTTTCCTGCATAGTCCGCATCACATTTATGTCCAAACCTCCAGAGAATTTCCCACCGTCACCTTTTAAGAAGAAATAATATATATGGATTGGAAGACCATCAGTTCAAATATGGTAAGATTATTGAACTGTTCATATGATTCAAAATTTTTACTTACGAACGATGCATGACAAAGGAACGCGGAAAGAAAAGGGTTTGCCTGCCTTTTCGAACTTAGATGCTAAAAGTGAAAGCATATTTCAGTGTTCCATTTTTCTGCCTCTATATATCATGTATCAGACTTATGTGTGTGGGATAACTGAACCTAATTAAACTAGCAATTAACTTGAGAAATCAGGAGAAGCAAGCGATGAAAATAATTAGTAATAGAAAAGTGAAGACATAGTTTTACCCATCAAGATAATGGCCTTCACATCATCTCTTTCCATTGCTTCCATGTATTTGTTCTTCAGTTCTGCAAGACCTGCAAGTCATCACAGAGACAGTAATTACCCATTAATTATTACACAGTATATCTCGATATATAGTCGTTTGGCTCGCTTCAATTCGTTTTCATTTAAACAGAGGAGGATTCATATATCATTTTGCTAATTGATCTTCTTAAACATATCTATATAGAACGCTGTTTTGTTTCACAAAGTTGATGAGTAAAGGAGAAGTAAAACTATATAGACAGTGCATTCTGGAACAACCTTATTACAACGTTTTTGAAAACGTAGGACTAGGTACCTGCATGACAACAAGAAGGAGAAAACTTATATGACGATTATAGACATACCTTGAAGAGTTAATGCATTAACGGGTGGATTACACATAGAAATAACAGCAACACCCTCACTCTCAACTTGCATCTTCACCATCATCATGATGCTCCTCGCCAGTCCTGTAGCTTTATGATTCAGAAATCAGAATGAAATGAGACTTAACTTGTTTGATTACTAGGGATTATGGAAGCTAGTTATCGCAACGTGTGTGTGTGTGTGTGTGTAAGCGATTTGGATCCGATACGACATAAAATTTATACACAAGTGGCCTTGTCCCTATTGTCGTTTGGAATTCCGTACAATGTTGGCCTTGCCCATGCATCTTTCTTTTACTCTTCATAGCAGATCATTATTAGCGTCCATTCATCAAATAATAAAACGATATAACAATAATTCATGTTGAGATGTTATAGCCCAAATATGACCAAACACTTTCTTTGAGACTTTTTAAACGTACGAGTTTAAACCCTTGTGAGAATCATGACCAAAAAAAAAAAAAAAGACCCCCTCCCCAAAGTACTGTTCATGCCTGTTTTCTGATAATTTGTTGAAGTCGGTAATCAGAACTCACTGATTGCCCTACAAACGTACAAGCTTCAGTCATGAATCTAATTAATGTTTTGTGTTTCTTTATTTATGTGACGAGATGTTAATAAGAGCAAAAGGAAAGAAAGAATCCCCTCTCCCCTGATCTCTTGGTTGTGAAACTTCTCTTGTGAAATGGTTGTGAAACTTCCGTTTCCTCACAAACTTTGCATAGCTTGGGCCATGGCTATTTTCTCCACCTGCATTGATCCTGACAGCCAAACTACTGCATTTATAACAACATAATTGTACCTCAACAAAAAGTCATTACATAATTTTCACTTCGTCGTCACCCTTTACTACTTATAACTTGGTCGGTTGTAGCTAGGGTCTGAATTACTGGGAAAGGGGTCTGAATTACTAGTATCATTCTTGGATGGACACATCACACACCTACTCTAATTAGAATCTAGTTGAATGGAGTCGTTGGGAATTATGTATAAGAGGGATACTTCAAGTTTTAAATTAAGATATGAAATGCATCCTGCAACATATATATATATATATATATATATATATATATCGTTATGCGTGTGGATCCTTTGCCCATCCATGCATAAACTGGTCAGTACTATGAAGAGGGGGAACTAATCGTCGTTGTTGTTAAAAGAAATAGGAAAAAAAAAACTCAGGGTATTAATGAAGTAGCTACATATATATTACCCAATATCCTTAATATAAGAACTATACAATTAATTTAAAGAAATTAAAAAAATTAATTAAGTTGTTTAGTTATAACAAATGTGTTACTTCCTTAAATTACCTTCTTTATGGGTATATTTTAGTAAAACATTATAAATTTGAGAAACAAAATAAATTAAGATATTATATTTAGAATCAAATTCAATCTCCAACTAATCTTTATACTCCTCTGGTTCTTAATATAACACCCATTTAACTAATTTGATTAGATTAAAAAGTTAGGTAAGTTAGTTAATTATAAGAAATGTGACACATTTTTCGTAAAATACATATAATCATCTTTCTTAATACCTCCTCTCTCTCTTTTACTTGATTATGGTTGAAGGAATATCATATGGGTAATTTAGAGAAAATTGATAAATATGAGAAATAGGTTTATATTTAGGATCAAAACCAACTCAATAATTGAGTCTTATATTAAGGACTGGATGAGTATATATGAAGCCCTTGAGAAAACACGTGTGGGCATTCTTGCGGGAAGCTCTGATTTGAAATAAGTAAACAGTGATAGTTTTATCTTCGATCTTAATTACAAAAGCTCGGGTCGGAGCTGGTACTATACATATTAATATTCGCTTGGCGGACGTCACGTGGGGGTGAAAGCTCGACAATTAACTAACCCAGTTACGTGTGAGAAGAGGGCTGCTAGAGTAAGCAAGCCCATTTCATTATCTAATAATGCATCCGCGGGGTCCATAATATTAATGATCATTCAATGGTTCGTTGGCCGCCCTACACACACACTCACTCGGCGAGAGATGGTATTTATTGCGATCACAAGGATAACTACATCAACTAACATATAATAATTACTCCTTCCATTTTTTATTATAAGAGACAAATAATCAAATTATGTTGATAAAAAAACAATTAAAATTAGTTAAGAACAATTAATGTATAAAAAATATAATTTTTTTTCAAAAATGCCCTCATTAATAAGGAGAGAGAGCATGAGAAAGAACAATTAAATTATTGAAAGAAAGAGAAGTGGGAGGGAGAAAGAGTGTGAGTTGGAGACAATAAATATGGGTAAAATAGAAAATCAATACAAAAAGTAGAGACAACTTTTAAGTGTCTCTTATATATAGGAACATGTCATAAGCATCAAATGTCTCTTATAATAATGAACAGAGGGAGTACCACTCTATTCTAGCTCTATTAGTATAAAGCGCTTTTAACGGACAATGATAATTAACTCATTAAATGTGTTTAAAATTAATAATTTTTTTCATTTTTGATGAGGTTTGGAATTTAGATCAAAACAGAAATATATTTCACTTAAATTAAAATTAAAGGTTTTGAATAAAATTTTCCTTCAGCGTTTTGAGCGAAGCATCATAAAAAATTATTTATTTACCCCAACAATATTCATGCATACTTATTTGCGCATATATATTGTATTTAAAATATCTTGTAAATAGTTTATATGGGGTAATAGCACACTTCTAATACTCAAATTCTACGCAAATTTTTAATATGACCTTTTAATTTTATATAATACTACCTCCGGTCCTTAATATAAAACCTTGTTTGACTTTTATTTTAGTCCTAAATATAAGACCTTAATCCACTTTCTCTCTCATATTTATACTTTTTTTTTTTTAAATGTTCCTTCTAATAATAGTAGTTCTAGCCAACATACTTGATTAGCAAGGATATTCTAGGAAAGAAAATATCTACTAAAAATAACTAACTTAACTTATTTATCTAATCTCTTCAAATTAGTTAACTGGCTCTTATATTTAGGACGAGAGGTAGTATTTTTTTTTAGTTATTAGTTTTGCAGTGCTAAAACCTTTAATTTCATTAATAAAACATCACTGACACAACAATTTTAAATACTAACAAAGAATTTTTAAGTGGTGATAAATAATTCTTTTTTTTTTTAAATTAACCTTAATATATCATTGCTTAAATTACCTAACCCGAACACTATTATTAATAGAAGATATTGACATTAAATGCATATAAAATATTTATATTGTTTAAATTAATCAAACGCATTAAGAATAAATCATATCTTATATTTTTTAAAAATATATTCAGTGCGTGTTTTGCACTTCCTCCTGATTATACCGCTTTGCTTGTAAGTCGGGCTCTTTTTGAAACTTGAAATTGCAGAAGTCATGTTTATACTTTATACAAGCTAACTTTTAGAAATTCAAATGTTAAGGTAAATATTTTCAACCGATACAGGATCTTAATCATTTTTTCTTTTTATATCCCCAACTAGCGCAGGCTTGGGGCACAGAATGCTTCCCATGCACACTGACAAATTCAGCTTGCTTCAACTCTTCAGGATTTATAGAATTACCTTTCTCACATATCATCGTATGCTTCAATTTAAACATTTTTTTTTATAATTCTAATTCAATGTAATGCAGTGATTCATAATTATGGAAATAGTCTCTCTTATGATAATAATCACTCTTTAAAATCTCAGTATTCCCGCATCTAAATGACTTCATTACTATTCTCTTACAAAAATCTATCTATAGTCGTTATTATTTGAGTCTATTTTGTTATGTACCACCTCAAATTCATTTCAATATTCCCTGTCATCTTCAACAACAAAACCAGAATATCGGTCCTGTTTGGTACGAAGTATTAAAAATATAGGATAAGGATTAGGATTAAAAAAATATTAAAAAGTTTTAGTACAAGTATTTTCTTGTTATATGGAATTAAACAATCTCATATACGTAGGATTGGAGAATGCTACCTCCTCCCGTGGTATTCCCCAAACCCATAAATATAGATTTGTTCGATCTCATATAAAAAGTAATAACTTAAACTAAACACTCTTTTAACTTTTTTAATCCCAATTCCCATCCTTGCTCTTCATTTTCAATACTTCATATCAAATGAGATGATGGTATTTGACCCGCCAAAAAAGACCAGACTATATTATTTTATTAGAAAATTCTCTTTCCTCCCTCCAGTAATTTCTAATCTCAAAATAATAGCTGGCCGAAATGAAAAAATCTCAACATAATATAAGAAGTGACAACATGCATAATGAAATTTCCTTAAAATTCTTCAGGAACTGGTCATGTGTGGAACGTATATGGAACATTAGAATAATTAAAAAAATTATTTGGAAGAAAGAAAGAGAAATAATCCGGCTTCCCTGTGCAGCAGGTGATCGTGAAACCTCGCATTCAGTTAACTAACCCGCAATAACATTGTCAATTCCGTACATAGTTAAATATCGCACTTGCATTTAGAATTGATTGTTGTAAACTGGAAAGATAGATCAACTACTCTCATTACGATAATCCAAACTCAATTAAAGAAATCCATTTTGTATTGGACCAATTTCATTTCTAGGAACATCTTATCAAAAATCAACAGAGTTAACTAAAAAGTTAGTTCCTCACAATATAGAAAATTAATATTCAATTTTTTTTAAAAAAATACTTATATTTAGTACTCGACAATATCTTGATTAAAAAAACTATTTGTGAGGATAAAAAAAATAAAAAACTATTCGAAAGGATAGCTATGAGAACAGAAAATAACCAGTTCCAGCTATCGCTATAAGAATCTTCTTGATAAATGACAGCACATGTCAATAAGAAAATACTAGAAACAATTAGAGCAGCAGAAGTTATAGCTTCGGAAGTGCAACCACCGTATCAAATAATAGACGACCAAAGTAAAATGCTTCAATCTAACTACTTTATCAATGCCTCTGCCATCTTCAAACAGCAAGTCATGCTGATTAATTTCTCGACGTCTCAGTTGCTGATTATGGCACACGCTCTTCACCCACATAAGCTCCCATGAAGGCAAAGGAAAAAATGTCTCAAAAACTAATCAGAACCGCAGGGTGCTGTAGCTAATTTTTCTTCTTTATTTTTTGTGTTTTCTCAAGAATGAATGTACATGATCAAAATGCCAGGCAAGCGATATAATAGGAGGCACTAACCAAAAAATATATATATAACACGAAGGTAAAGAATAAAGAAAGAAATTAAGAAAAAGAAGAAAAAAGGGGGGGAGTAGGAGAATGGGCAGACACAAACAAGTATCAGGTGAAAAATGCAAAAGCAATCCAAAGTTTTTACATGCTACCCGCTCGACCTGGCGTGGGCTTTGGCTTCACCTTTGCCATGTCAACAAGGTCCCCAAATAACTTATCCTCAGGCTTGGAAGGCTTGCCAGATGACGGATAAGATGACGTAGAAACCTGGTAGGACGAATTTCTCATACCACCATCGTCTCTAACAGATAGGCCATACATTTGCTGGTCAAGATATGGAACCTGTTGCTGGCCATAGCCATATCCTGTGTATTGGTTGCCATACATCTGTGGAGGATACATGGAAGCCAGGGGACTAGCTTGCAGATTTGGAACCATACCCATAAAGGGAACCACACCTCCCTGGATTTGCTGCGGATAAAAGCCAAACTGATTGCTCTGGCCACCGTGGGGGTTAATTGCTGGCATGTGGCCATTAGCATTTGGCGGCATATACATGCCAGCAACCTGGTCATTCCCCATCGCCTGAGGACTCTGAGGATGTGCAGAACTCTGTACATGGGTCATGATCACTTGAGTAACTTGCAGTGGCTGTGGATATTGGGAGCCAGCTAAAGAACTACCATTATCTGTTGGCTGAGCTTCCCATGGGGGTGGCGGCAATGATCCACTGCTTTGCGAACCTATTGACCACAAAGGAAAAATGTCAGTGATGCAAGTAGTAATGTCAAAAATTGGACAGCACAGATCCTATACTTTAGTATTCTCCACAATATATGCAATCAACGCAGCTTGGAAAATACACAGCAGAATAGGGAATGCCATCAAGCAATGATCAGGATTCATCATTGCATTGGCTAAAAACAAGTACGTAATAGCAAAGGATTGTGCCAAACAAGAATATATTTTAGTGCACAAAAATGAAGCATCAGGTTGACCATAAACTGGTGAAGGTGGCCGTTGCTGCTGCGCAACCTGACCATTCCATGGAGGACTGGCGCTTTGGGAATATGGTGACTGCTGGTAGTGAGAGGACCCCACATTTGCCACACTTCCATTAGGGTAAAATCCACCATGAGGAGATAAGGTTTGTTGCTGTTGAACTTGGGGAGCTAACGGACTAACAGGGCCGCTAACATTAGTTGACTGTACTGGGTGGGTATTAACAGGAGTTGGTACGTTATTGCTACTAGAAAACATGTCAAAAAGCACAAGGGCGTTCTGCTGTGACAAAGGACTGGTTGGCTGCTGATCTCCAACAGGCACAAGGGCAAGTGAAGTGTCTGCTTTCGGTGAGTTATAATCATCACCACTGAGCAAGTCGATACTGGGAGCAGCCTTTGCAGGGAGAACTGACCCATTTGATGAAGGGGGTGCAGGAAGCAATAACTGGTTCAATGTTTGTGACCCTGCTTCAGCACTAGAAGCAGACCTGCAAATGTGAAACATACAAACAAACTGTCAAATAAACAGAAGGCAACTAATAGCTCAGATTCTTGTCAAGTCAACTTGGAATGCATTTGAAATTAATCTTATTTCAGACCAAGGAAAAAAAACAAAGAAAGAAGAAACTAGTCTTATTTCACATTTGCATGGAGAAGGTTCAGGCTATTCATATCCCTAAATCAATATCAATATTAAGTCCATAGCCAAAAACTAAACCTACAACCTGATTCATCAAAGATGAGATCCAATCAACTGAATACAATTGTATAATGTCAACGCAGAACTGGTAGTTTATGCTAGTTGCATTAAACTCCCTAATGTCATATCTTACATAAACAGCTGTGACTTCTCTGGTAAAACTAAAAATCGGACTATCCAAATGAAATGGCAACTGACCAAAAAAAAAAAAACAACGGAAAAAAAGACTGGCAAAGAACCCCTGGTCACCCAAAATTATTGTAACAACTAGTACTAGTATTCAATTCACTATTGTCCCCAAGAATCTCTTCCTAGCAGCAAAAGGCAAATATATCCAGTAGAAAATTTTCTTTGAAAAATAATAAAAATATTTCTAGGACCCCCTTGACTCACTATACAAAGTTATTTGGGATGGTACAATAAACTGCTGCCTGAAATATCAAAATATAATGGATTACACGTATTCTTCTACGGTAAAAAAAATAATAAAAATGATACACATGCAGAGGAATGCAGTGATATGAAATGGAAATTAGTGCAGCATAATCATGGATAATGGATTACTTCACATCAGTTTGTTTGCTAGTATTTCCCGTGTCAACCAAAGGCCCGTCTAAATCAACTAGTGCTCCAGCAGGAGCAGCCTTTGATTTCTCTGGTTGATTTTGATTCGATTTCTGTGGTTGATTTTCAAAAGAAATTCCAGAAGCAATGGCTTCATGCTTGGCCAATAAACGCTGCAAATCATCATTCAGAGCTAGTCCTTGGCACAGCAGTGATTCGTCACTGAAATGAAAGAATAAATCATCATAATAGCTCTATTGATCTTTGAATAGAGATAAATACATATAACCATTTAAACATGTACAGTATATTACAAGAAAATGATTATGACCGTCATTATATCATAGTATCCCAAAAATATATATCTGGCCTTACAAAGTTGAGTTGACCAGTTGAACCACCCTCTGTTTATATGTTCGACATTGTTCCACCAAATCAACAATAACCTCCTGCCTAAGCCCCTGAAATAGAAACAATAATCATGAATAAAAAAGTCTCTTGAATCCTATTTTAAATGTTCATGGAGAAACACAGTCAGAGCATGTTTACCACTGGGTTCAAGAGGGCCAAATAAACTATAAAACATCTCATTCTGTTTACCAGCTAGACCTATGGTGGTTTTGAAAGGGGAAAAAAACAGAGTTTGGAAATTATAAGAAAATACCAATCTGGTTAGGCCAGATAAAAATCATATTTCGAATTTTTTATATTTTAATAAAGGATTTTCTCCTTTCTTTCTGCTTATCTTGGATCCTATCAGTCAACTTCTCAGACATTTTGTGCCATAACAGTGTTCATATATTAGCATATAACTAATAACAATAAGAATCTATATCTATGCCATCCCATTTTTTGTAAAAAAAAAAATTCAAATCCCTGTAACTAGACTAGCTGTGCCTGTCACACACATAAATAGGATTTTCAGTATTTATACCTATATGACTATGAGGGAAATGACACATCTAAATAAAGTCAGATATCTTTTGTAGATAATTAGGCAAATTTGAACAGTTCAAATCATTTAGGGAAGAAAAAGAAACCGCACAAATCCATAACAAAAACTGTAATCAAGCAATCTCTTCACTATTTTTTTTTTTTTTGGCCAACAATCTCTTCACTAGTATTTAAATGCACAAATAATAAAACCAACAGCACAGCGACAAAAACCTTGATCCCTGCTTAAAAAAATTATTGTCATCTATGTATTTCATCAATTTTCAGGCTCATATCAAGCAACTTACTTCTTTGTTACCCGGGTCTAAAGCATTCAGCATTTCTGCAAGTACATCCATAATACCACGTGCATTCTGAATTTCTGTCAAACTGCCAGTATAAACTTCTATTAAAAATGATAACAATAATCATAAGTGGTAACCAGTACGGAGCATTTTGATCTTCTTCCAGATAACAGTTATTAATGATAAAAATACCGAAGAAATACATAAAGTACCATGGACACTGTACAAGAAAGTATAAATAAAACCACATATATCCAAACCTATAGAAATTAATGCTCAATTTTTTAGATAATAGAAGCTCTAGAAATAAAAGGGATGCATCAAAGCTTAAATTCTCATTCATACCATATATGGAAGCCTCAAAATAAAACAGCCAATCGCCTTTTTTTTTTTTTTAAATTGTTTACTTTTCTATCCTTAAAACTTTGCTTTTGCCAGACCCAGAGACAGCTCAACTTTATTAAATTCCAGTAAAGGAATAAAAAGAATGAAACAACCATCACAAGCTTGAAGTAGTGTATAAAATGGCTAGGCCATCTCTGCTTCCCTAGAAAAGCTGCTATGGAGGATAAGTGTGAGAATGCTACTTAACTACAATAAATGCATGTACAGTAACAACTATTCCAACCCTCTTAGGTCATAGGCCATCAGGTTAAAATCTAAACATCGCATGAAAGTTAGAGATAATATGTATATAAATTAATGGATCATATCAAAGGAGCCAGACATGGTACCTTAGGGTTGGAAACTCAGGTTCTGCAGAAGACTCAGCTGTGTCCTGCCGAAAATCAGAATTGCGAAGATTTTGAGGGTATGATGCCAATGGCTGTGTTTGTGCGGGTGTAAATACAGGCACTGATTGCTCAGATCTTTGAGGGAATACTGCCCCTGCGCGCTGAAAGGACAAATGTAATCATTTTTCCAAGGTCAATTTGAACATCAATTGTAATCAGTGGCATTTTGAACACACTTGTAAACATTCAGATGAGAAAATTCTGTAGCGGAAAAAAAAATTATAATGAACTTTTTTCTTCCCTTCTAAGTAGATTTATAGTCAACATACCAGTAGTTCTTGGTATGCAGCATAATACTGAGGATATCTCGCCCTTGGTCCACCAAATGCCTCTTGCCAAGTATCTACGAGAATGAGTATCTTGTCTCTGACATGAATATCAGGCTTCAATTGACACCATATAACAGCATTAACATATTGTACTAATGATAAACCTGCTATAACTCAGAGCAGAACAGTAATGTCTTAAGACACATACCCTTTTTTTGGCTATTCTCACCATCTCATGAAGAACATCTCTCTCCGCAACATGCATGTGAACTATGTCCCCACAATTTTTTATGATCGTCTCCAGTAGCTAGAATATAGAAGACCAATACAAAACGAAATGAGCTTTTCTGATTGTTATAATTGTACATCCAGACAAGAGAGAATCCTTCCTATATGAAAAAACATCATTTAGACTGCTAAGCTACCCTCAAAGAACCATTGTTACAGAAGGCCTAGGTAAAATTTCATGTCAAAAGAATTTGCAACACGTATTTGGAAAACGATACGAAGATAACAAGATCTGCTGACTTTTACATCCTTCATCAGAGCAATGCTCAGGGATTTGCTACTTACAGTCATATGAAAAATGTTATTTAGTCAAAAAGTGAAATCTAATACAGAAATTGATGAAAAGATGCGTAATTTAAAAACACCTTGACCAATATTAAAATCTGAATGATATACGAACTGAGCTGATGCTTACTGTTAGTGCAAGAAGTTGAACTTTTGAATTCTTACTTCCAATCTTCTTCTTTATACCTTTAACGACATCCTTTGCTTGCCTGATAAATCATAGCCAAACTGAGTTCTCAAATTCTGGAAATATAAACCAGGAGAAAACTCAAAATCAAATATAACATTCTACTTAGATATCTATATCCCTAAAACAAAGCAACTGGCTGGGCTTCTGGACCGTTTGACAGTCAGTTTGCAGGGCTAACGACTACTGAGTGTTATTTCATTTATAAAACAATATAACTTGCAGAAATTGCCCACAGTCAAATTCAAGGCAACAGACATCATGATCACATATACATTTACATGTGTCATCTATCAAAGGTCCAAAATTTTTAAAACCTTGATAGAAAATGATATGAAGGCTTAACATGCAGAAGAGAGTCACTCTTCAATCAATTTAACCAGTACTGAATTCAAACTACACATTCAAAACATAGGCGCAAAATTGCATTTAAAAGGAAAGTAGTAGATTATTTCTTTGTACAAGTAGCCCTTCATTCCATACAAGGAAACTAGCAACTTATAGAGAGTACCGGGAAGAAGCATGATAGACAGCACGCATGTGCATGATCATGTTATCATGGACAAACTGCAGAACGCAGCGAAACCATAAAGGCATCAACCATCAGCGCATAGCTTAACTGATCAAGTTCATGAAATTTATGAAGTAATGAAAACTTATTATTAAACCCATCATAGAAGTATGTAACAACAGATGCAATCAATTCCAAAGAAAGGGAAGGGAAGTCTTTTGGTAACGCATGACACTTCTGGTTCAAATCCCAGATTTGATAAATTTTGTTGACCAATCACCATCATGGCAGCGCAGAAGTTAATTAGCAACAATAAAAAATAAGCAGAGAAGATAGCCCCACGCATTGGAACTAAATTCCGCTCTGAAGCTTAGCTCACGCGTCAATCCGAAATACCAGTACCAAAAAGAGATTTTGATCACAATTTTCTATTCGGTAATACAGCAAGTTTTCAGTCAAAATACCAAAGTCGTATTACAGAGGATGAGAAGACAACGGCTACCCATAAGCTCATGTATTTGGATTGAATAAGAAAGCGAAGGGAGTGAGGATTCGGTGTTGCGCTTACGTAGGGTCACGATTAAGCATGTCACAGATCTCGAGGTTCATAGCCCAATCAGGGCCGATGAGCCTGTCACTCGTGGCTCGTTCAACCATGGAATTCACCATCTCCCTTCACCAAAGATGCTCCCGATCAAGAGACGGATGCGCTACCGATGACCATAAACAACGATCGAAGACTATTCCGGCCGTATCACGGAATAAACCGGCCTGACACTTTCTCTCTCTAAAACAATATGCGTCCCTATCCCGTGATATTTGCTCGTTAGTTTCTTAATTTCAGTTGAGGAAATTTCTCAGCGGAACATAGGCAGAATTGGAAGTGAAGAAATTACCCTTCCTACCCAAACATGCCACGTGTCCGGCTTCTCGGCGTGCTTCTCCCTGATGCCGTTTCTTTTGCCGACCACTTTGATCTGACGGTGCTGACCAAGTTGAATCCTTGGGTTTACTGAAGCCACGTTTGCAGGCCTCAACTATAAGTGGCAACCTGGGCCTGATGATTTCCTACATCTAGTCAACTGATTTTTGCCAATTGCCACTTAAGAATTCAAAATCTCATGAGAGAAAGTGATGCATAATTTAGTATTTTTATAAATATAGTTAAATAATTAAAACTCTCTTGTATCACATTAAAAAAAAAAGTTATTAAGTTTGTCATTACTAATATATTTCTTGTTATTAGCTCTTTAATATTTGTCATGACTAATTTACAACTTATTAATAAATAACTTATAATTACCAATATATTTCTAATTATATGCTATTTAATACTTGTTATTACCGATTCATAATTTATTAAGAAAATTTGTAATGTAACGATATTTTTGTCATTTAACTACATTTATAAAATATTTGAGCACCACTTTCTTTCTTATTTTTTTGAAATGTTAGGTGCCGAATTAAAATATTGTAATTATAACCTTTTTTCTCTTTTTCCTAAAAAAAAATAAAAATTTGTAAGAGATAATTGTTGTATATTGAGGTTTGCAAAGGTCCTGAAAACAACATAAACACTACTATATATTAGCAAATTATTTTGACTTCTCTGATTCTCTTAGAGTTTACACAGACTGTATTTGATTTTTTTAAATATTTCCAGTAATTATATTTCGCTAATTCATGACATGAGTTATGTTAAAAATCTACTGCGGTTATCTGGTTTCTTCGGGAATTTATTTTCCACTTATAATGAGATATATAAAATAATAAACAGGATATTTTAAATGGTTAAGAGGCAATTTTAACCCCCATTTTATTTTTCAGGTATAATTTTATCCTCGACCTTTTTAGCGATGCAATTTTACCTTGATTTTTTTTTTTGAAACTGCACCAACAAGCAAAAGTAAAATTGCTTTTTAAAAAAAAATCAAGAAAAAAATAGCACCTAAAAAATAAGAATTATGAGTAGAATTGCACCACTAAGATTAAGGCGAAATTGTATCGTAAAATAAAATTGAGGTTAAAATTGCACCTTAACTCTGTTTTATACGAAGTATCGTGTATCGTGTGTTGCCTGGTTTAAAAATTAATAATAAAATATTATCATCCTTATTAACTAATTTATATTTTCATTGACTTGGTGTTTTAAAGTTGTGTGATGGAAATTTCAGCTTATATTTTGTAAAGAGCTAGTTGGCTAATTTTGAGTAATTAAGAAAATAAATTAAGTTAGTTATTTGTAACGAATAAGTATTTGTTTTTCCCAAAATAATCTTTACAATCAAGTTTTTATTAGAACTATCATTGTTAGAAGGACTTTTTAAAAATGGTAAATATGAGAGACAGATTGATTAGGTCTTATATTTAGGATCAAAATAAATCAAATAAGGTGTTATATTAAGGAGCGGAGTAGTAGTTTGGATGTGAATATATCTTTTCACTTGCCACGACTTATTTCGTAACCTGAGTAATTATTAGAAATTACATAGCGTGTATCATGATTCGAGTTGAAATTTCGACTTTGAGAAAAAAATCTGTTGTAACTTTGAGACACCCATGCAATTAATATTATAATATTACTAACTATACTCCTCCGTTTTAATATAGGACCCATTCCTGTGTTTATTTGGTCCTAAATATAAGACCCTTTTTTTATTTATCAATTTTCTCTAAATTACCCCTATAGATAGGTCCTCAACCAATAATCAAGGTAGAAGAAGGAGAGGGGATATTAAAAAAGATGATTATGATGTTTTTAGGAAAATATGTCACTTTTTATTATAATTAAACGGTATCTTGACCTAACTTCCTTGAATCTAAAAAATTAGTTAAATGGGTCTTATTTAAGGCCGGAGATATATCATAAAAAGCCTCATATAGACTCCTACTGCAGAATGACGCGGACAATATGAACCCGTGCGCAGTCATCATGAATTGTGGGGGATGCCAGCGTGAAGTCAAATGTTGTTTCATCTTCATGTGTTTTATCATCAAAATCTCAGTCATGGCTCAGGTGACAAGAGAACATCAGGGAGGGAGAGACGATAAGGTGTATTTATTTGTTTGTTTATTATATGGGGTTAAGAAGGCCGCTTTTAATTAATTGACATTGCAAAGCCAACGCAATTTGTCCAAAGAACAAGACCAACGCAATTGGATGCTGCCGTTCTGGAACCCAAAAAGGTAAGGAGAAAACAAATACTGACTCCTCCCGTCCAAGAGTTGGATAATCTGTTTGTAAAAATTTAAAAATAAATTAAATTAATTATTTTTAATAAATAATTGGTCTTAAAATACTTTTGTTTATTCATACCCATTGAAAATAGATTTTGATGAAAACACTCTGACATATACAAAGACTACTTTATTTAGAATAAATAAATAAATATAAAAATAAATTAAATTAATTTTTTATATTTATGATTAGATTAAATCTCTAAATAACTTTTTGAAACACCAAGTAACATAGCATGACATAACCAAAAAGCACTAGGATTCACCAGTATGGTATCGTCGTTTTGCTGTACACGCATGCCGCATGCCCATAGGTTGGTTTATAAGCTGGCTGCTTGGCTCATGTCGTTGTCAATGGCAAGGAGTTCAAATTTTTGTAATTTATAAATTCAGTTCTCATGTTACATAAAATTTATAAAAGCTTCCATTACTTTTTGCCGCGAAGAATATCATTTGCCCCAGTCTTTCTCGCTTTAATTTTTTATTTTATTTTAATGATTACAATGGACCTTGTGAGTGAATATAGGCATGTGTTACCACGACCTAGTTTGTAGGTTGTGCAAGTTTATTTTAATAAGGTGTTTTCTTTCGAAAACAAACTTGTCACCGACGATTATTACGTGTTAATATGATTCGCTGATTTATGTGGACAATAATCTTGTTTTGTGAGTGATTTCTTTTGACCATAGATGGATAGCCGGGTGAGTATCATGCATTATGTGTGAATTCATACAAGAGTTGAACTAATGGAAATATGGAATAGACATACTTAAGTCTATTAATAGTAGTTAATTGAATGATTAGATTTGATATTAAATATAAGATTTTTGTCTGCTCTGTTTTGTAAGTTCATAATATTTTTCTCTAAATATTCTTATTCATAGTAAGGGGTTTCTGCTAAGGGATAGTTCCATATATATGATCAAAAGAATAGTTTAGAAAAGTCAATGCGTATTTATCATAATTAATTAAATTGACTATTTTTTTAATTTTCTTTGATTAATCATTTAACTCCGGCTAGTATACACATCGACATGCTTAAAAAACATATTAAAGTCAACTTGTCTAGATTAGGTCATTAGATGAAATTTTAAGACGTTGTCCCCCAAGCTATGCTTGGAATATTTACATGCTTCACAATTAGAAATTATAATAATCAACATTCACTCTGTTTTTATTTATAAATTTTTATTAACTGATCCCTAATGCAAAAGCAAAACCATTTGCAAAGAGTAATAAAGCACGTTTACCTAAAATTGCGCCCATATCTTTATAATGGCCTTTTCATTACCTGTCTCACTAATGGGTCATACCAGCTAAGCAGTAGTTTTAGGAAGTTGTACAACTTTTTAACATGTTTATTTAATGTTAAAAAATTAGTAGTCTTATAAAAATGATGAGTAGAATTACTCATTAAGCAGTCTCTAAAATAAAATGGCCAAAAGTTTAACCTGGACATTATCAAAGAATCCGCACATTACTAACTAGGACATTAGAGAGTGATATAGCTTTTAGCAGGGATTCTCATTTTGCAAGCTAGTCGTCAATGAGCAATAACTTGTTTTGACTTTTGATGAAGTCGAAGCACATGAAGTGACTGTTTAGCATCAATTATTTTGGGCTTATAAGCAGTTTATAAACACTACAAGGATTGGAAAATTTAAAGTGTTTGGTTGGGCCTAAATAAAAAAAGAGCTTTTGTATTTTAAGCTGGAAAAACGTACGTTGCGCTCAAGCTTCATTTTCTGGCTTATTGATCACTTTAAGAGCTTATTTTACACATGGCATGACAGAGGAGTAAAAGACGTGGATAGAATTAAATTCAAAGTGACATGCTCCATTTGACGGAGGAGTAAAATAATTCTATCAAAAGCTCTATTTTTTGTTTAAACCCGCCTTTATAAAAGTGACTAGTTCTCTACTGTCACTTTCTTATATGAAGCTCTATTTTTTCATTTCTATGATGTTTTCAAATTTAATTCACTCAATCAATTTCATTTTTTCATATTAAATTAATTTAAATTTATTGTATTATGTCAATTCATTTTTTATCATGTTTCACTTTATATTTTAAATATTTTTTATGATTTTTTTAAAGTTTTTAATTTTCACTCACTCTATAAATTTCACTTCTCCATTATGTTATCTCAATTTATTTTTTTTCATCTTTCACTTTATATTTAAAATATTTTTTTCATGATTTTACTAAAATTTTAAAATTTAATTCACTTATTAATTTTGATTTATTCATATTAAATTATTTTAATTTCATTATATTATGTGAAATCATTTTTGTTATCATTTTTTATTATTTATTATAACTCATACCCATTTTAGTTATTTTACAACCAAACTTACTTTTACTCAACTATAATCCAAACAATTTTTTACCAATCTCACTTTTACAAACTAGTTTTTCTGAACTCCAATCAAAACACAATTCAACTTATCCAATTTAATTTTTACCTAATTTCACTTATCCATAAACTACTTTTTCACTAATCCAAATGGAGCCGAAAACGTGACAAAATGGCAGCGACAAATATATGCTGTGTACGGCGATGAAAATATCTAAACAGCACGAATAGGGGCTAGTGTACTATTGTCAAACAAGACATGGGCAGAACATTGTTCTGGAAGAAAATAAAACCGAACGATAGGAACATTTAATAGAGTATTATGTCATTACAAGCACAATCAAACCATGATCATTCACGTTTAGGAAAGTTTTAATGTTATTGAGTTTTACGGTTATTATCGAATTCTATTTTCTCTACATTTTTCTTCGTCACTTCGTCACGGAGAAGCATTTGCGCAAGCTTGGGAACCAAAAAACTGTTTCGTACATAATGGATCAGAGCGAAACTAAAATGTTATTCGATTTTATATTATTTGATCTTATTCTCCCAAGCCAGGGAAAAAAAAACTGGTGATATTTGCTTGTTTTTATTTTTGATTAAATATTTGCTTGTTTTACTCTTTTGCAGTATTGCTTCTTACTGGCATACCAAATTTCGAAAGCAACAGGCCAGCGTCGTATTGATGTTGTGCTATACCTATTCTCTTCACTCTCCTGGTTGCCGACTTCCCGCTGGGCTAAAATAAAACTGCTTTCTGGATTTTGCACTTCCTCGATGTGATTCCATGATTAAACCCCTACCCGCAATTGTAATTGTAATTGTCAATTAGAGTTCCTGTAAGCGTTAAAGAATCAAGTTCCAGACTTCCCTCCGAAATCCGAATCCTTCTTTTGAATTGATCTTCCAACCCGTCGATAACTGGAGTTCCATTTGGCACTTGCACATTTTAGGGTTTGGAAAAGGCTTCATGGATGAATTTTAGAAACCTGGAGTTCAACTCTAAACTTTGTGGCTATATTTCCTGTAACATGTCAACCCAACGCGATTCGCTGACAACCAATTATCATCGAGTTGATTTTTGAGTCCGAATTTCACTGAGCAGGGACTCTCTGCATCTCAATCCGATGGCGATCATCGGCGACGCGCTCCGCCAGGCTTTTATGCCTAAGCGCGAGTACGAGAGCCTCAGAGAAGAAGAAAAAGCATGGGGCAAGCTTCAGAGACCTTTAATGACGGCTTTTATTGTTGTCATTTGGCTTGCAATCATAGCATGCACGATTATCAGTTTGAATATTATGTTTCCAAGCAATGAAGGGAGGAGACCGTTCTGCTCTGATCGGAGGCTTCAGCCGATACCGATGGGTATGAAGGGTGGATCGGATTCCGATCTGTTTCCGGGCGCCGCCTTTTATTTGACGGATCAAGAGATTGCGGATTATTTCTGGATGGTTGTGTTCATTCCTTCCATGATCATCTTCTTGGTATCGGTTGTGTATCTCATTGCTGGTAAGGAATTATTTTAAAATTTGCTTTATTTTACTTCTGTCTGATTTATGTGAAAAGGGAGCAACATAAGAATTGATACGCCGCGTTTTTTATGGAGACCATCTTTCGTCAGTCACGAATTGCTTCCGAATTTAATAGTAAGGCATCTATAATTATAGTGGAGAGGATAGCATGTTTAGCAGCATGTTTGGGAGTATTTAGGAACTCACAATGGAGAACTTCTTATAAATAAATAATTTATGGAGCGGCTGCTGGATATTTCTTGTGAACAAGGAGGAAACAGTTGGCAACATCGTTGGAAGAATTACACAATAGGGCAGGGATTGGTTTTTTAGTGGAAGGACCTATCACTTGCCATCAATCTGAAATCTTTTTAGGGTAATAAAGGAATAGTCTCTTTTCTTCCGTGCTAAACTTTTTAGGAACAAAAAGCTGAAAAAATTAATTTGAAATATGTTTGATATCAGTGATAGAAAATAGCTATGAAAATTTGCAAGGCTTTTTAATCTGCTCTGGAGGATTATCAGAGTTTGATTGACCAGTGAATTTTCAAAAAGCTTTCTACATCTTACTATTTTGCACTGATTGATGGATTTCTAATATGAGAATCAGGATGGAGGGGTTTCTATTCCATGTGTGTATATTAATCTCTCAAGCAGAACTGTTGGATTCTTAGCCTACAACAACTGTACCGGTGGTTCATCGAAGTTGAGTCAGTCTACCAGGGTTATCTCCTTTTAAACTCTAAACAGAGCCAAACCACCTACATAGCTGTTCATATCTGTGATTCCAAGAGCTATGCTAGCGGCATCACCTTAAGAATTAGTCGGAGTAATGCTTACTGGTAGTTTCAAGAGAAGACTCTGAACTTCTTGTTGGAAATTAAGAATATTCTGGAATGCATTAGGAGCTATTTTAAAAGTTCTGCTAAATAATGCGGGTCTGTAGTGGTCACGCTCAGTCGCTCACAATTTTGCTGAGGTTTATTTTATTTCTGGAGCTTAGGTTTTTGCTTTTCTTCTAGTCACTTTTGTTATGATTTGAAATTACATATAAACGCTCAATTTGCAGAGTGACTCCTTTCCGTACAATTATGCCTGCATTTGTGATGTTGATTTTCCCCCCCTTTTTTTGATGTCCTGTTTTTGGTTGCAGCTTTCAGGAGAATGCTCTTTATTATCTGTTATTATTATTACTCAAAATTTGTTTTTAGATGTACGTTATAACCTTTTCAATAAAACACCTGTTCTTTGGTAATGTAATAATATTCAGTGGAGCTTTGTTTGTAAACTTTTGGCTGTTCAACTTCAAGGTGTAGTTTCATGGTTTCATTCTATCCTATTGAGCAAGATTTTTTTTGGGTCTTTTTTTGGGGTTGAAATAACTTTTGATCTACTACTTCCGACCCGGGGTCTTTTCATAATAATGGTGAACATCTTTTTATGTTTTTTTTTTCCTTTTAAATTTTGGTACCATATGGCAAAACATCTTTTTAGTTATGCCAGATGATTTGATTTTTCACATGATAATTATCTTGCAGGCATTGCCGTCGCTTATTCTGCTCCAGCTAGGCATGGATGCTTGAAGGTGGTTGAAAATAACTACTGTGCTTCAAGAAGAGGTATGCTCTTTTCTTCATCAGCTTATGATAAGAAGCCTACAGTTAAAGATCATGCCATGAGTGTGGTTCTCTTTGCAATATTGTGGCATCACTAATTATCTTTTGCTTAACGTTAGAGTACTGATTATTGTGGGATAATGGCGATGTGGACTGGGGGGGGGGTAAGAAAAATATCAGAACTAAATATTAAGTTATCTTAGATACGTTCTTTAAATAATAAGATTTAGCTTATTTTTCTTTTTTGTTGAGTGGTCCTCACGTTTAGGAGAAGTGGGTCGTGGTACTGGCGGACTCTGTCAGTAATTTTATTTATGTACTTTTCAGATAGTTATTCTCCTTTAAGTTATGGGTTAATGGGGGTCTTTTTAGTAGTTATTTTTCTGTCCATAAATATTGGGCTTCACAGCGTGAAGAAATCATTTGGAAATAAAATTAGTATTTGTTTTTTTGAGTGAAGATTCTCCTTAGGCTTTATTAGCTGTATGAGTTTTAAGATTCTTGTTCATATTGTGATGAAGATTTCCAATTCATTAGATTCTGATTTCGTGTTTTAATAAAAACTTTTCCTTCTTAGTTCTCTCTGTCTATCTATCTTGGATCCTATCAACATATGCATTGACCTGTGCTTTGTTTGGACAACCTACAGGAGGTGTTCGCTGCCTATCTATCTTGAATCTCATATTTGCTATCGTTTTTGGTCTTCTTGCATTGTTTCTTGGATCAAGCCTGCTGACATTTGTGAGCAACTGCTCTGTACCCCTGTTTTGGTGTTATGAAGTTTCGTCATGGGGATTGGTTATTCTATACGGTGGTACTGCCTTCTTCCTAAGGAGAAAGGCAGCCGTGATTCTTGATGAGGGAGACTTCAGTGGTAGAAATCTCGGGCTAGAAATGCTGGAAGCGAATCCCGCGGAGGTCACACCAGATGTTGAAAGGCGTGTTCATGAAGGTTTTAAAGCGTGGATGGGATCATCCCTTCTATCCTCTGATGACGAAGACGAACCTGACAATTACAACGAGGCACCTCGTGCTCATACCAATTTGAATGGGGGGCGACTCTGACAAATTCAGTGGTAGCAAGGAACTGTGCTTCGTGAGGGGTACCTAATGTAACTCGAACTGACACAAACAGTTGCTAATTAAGAGTAAAGATGGAATTTTTTGTTGTTAGAGCTGTAGATTAATATGTTGTTAGGGAATCAGAGTAATTTCCGAGCGGTTAACTTGTGAATGATCTGACTCTTGCTTCGGGTTTATGTTATGTAGTCAAGGGAGTGTATTTAACCAACTTTTTCCCTGATCTTTTCCATCCATGTTTACTTTTGCGCATGCCAGACAATCAAGTTGTGGCTTTTTATCCCATCCAACATTCTGAATGTCGTGTGGTTGATTCTTGGATTTTAAGAGGGATAATGCACCAGAATAACGTTGAAACTCTCTAGGCGAGGATGGCATGGACAATGGACAGCTATTTCTTTTTCCAAATTTATACGCTTAAGGGCTCTTACTGCAAGATCATGTTTTTCATGACGTTCCAACAATTCTTTAATTATGTTTAAAAAAATAATATTCTTTTTTAATCTCAACATTCCTGATTATCTTTTTAATATTTTGAAAATAAATTTTATTCCCTCATATTAACATATGAAATTATATATTTCATATGTTCATACATTGTATCTATTCTACATATTCATATATTTCAATGTAGATAATACTACCTCCGGTTCTTAATATAAGACTCCGTTTGACTTTTATGTTGGTCCTAAATATAAGACCCCAATCCATTTTGTCTCTTACATTTACTCAATTTTTTTTCAAGATAGTCCTTCTAATAATTATAGTTTTAGCCAATATACTTGATTAGTAAGGATATTTTAGGAAAGACAAAACTTATTTATTACAAATAACTAACTTAACTTCTTTTCTTAATTTTTTTAAATTAGTCAACTGGTTCTTATAAGTAGGACTGGAGGTAGTATAAAGTTTATAAGGATTTACCTAAAAGGGCTCTGTTTTTTTTTTGGGAGAAAATTAGAGATAAATCCTTCATTACAATTTTAATTAGCAAATGGTCCTTAAGATGATTGATTGTATAAAGAAGATTAGTTGTACACAAAAGAAGCTAAGTTGCATAAAAAGAATATGGTTTTCACAAAACATTATTTAGATATAAGGGATTAGTTTGCATATAAAGAAAATGACTTGTATATAAGAGAATTTCATTTGCATAAAGAGAAATTGAGTTGCACATCATACAAAAGAAGATTATTGCATAAAAAAAGATAAATTACACACAAAAGAAGTTAAGTTACACACAATAGAAGTTAAGTTGTACAAAATCTTCAGATCCCATTTGTCAATTAATTTTTTAATGGGGGATTTATTCTCAATTTTTTTTCCTTTCAAATTGTGTGTTTGTGCAGCATTGTGCATATACTACATAGGATGGAAGTGGTTCAGTGTGAGCTAAAGTAGGTAATAGTCCTAAGTATAGGATCAGTAATAAAAAGAATCCCCTACTCTGGAGAGGATCATCCAATTTTATACGGACTCGAATTCAAAACTTTCGGCCATAGTACGATCGAATTTTACGTTCAAACTACAGTAATCTGAGGAACTTCTTTATGCGCAAATAAAGCCGCAGGGCTATTCACATTGACATAACCCGGCACTCTGGATGGATTATGCATCTAAATAGGCCTCGTCAATTGTTAAGCCCAAAAAGAGATCCCGACCCGAGTTTAGCTTAATCGGATCGTCAATCGGATTACGGTGAACCCTAAACAGATTATCACAGCAGCGCAGACGGCTCCCTCGTCGTCACTACTCACCGGCGCTCTGGAGGCTGCAGTCCTTACATTTTAGCAACCATGACTGCCAATGAGTACGAAGATTCACGTGCCGGCTACGACGACCACCGCCAGCTGCCACCTTCACAATCTCAGGACATTGGATATGATCCGAACTTCGTACCCGACTCTGTGAAGTCATTCGTTGTTCACCTCTACCGTCACATCCGAGAGAAGAATGTGTACGAGATTCACCAGATGTACGAGAACTCCTTCCAGACCCTCTCGGAGCGTCTCTTCAAGGACACTCCCTGGCCCTCTGTCGACGCCGTCTCTATCTACGTCGACAATGACCATGTCTTCTGCCTCCTATACCGTGAGATGTGGTTTCGTCACCTCTACGCTAGGCTCACTCCAACTCTCAAGCAGAGGATAGATTCCTGGGACAATTATTGTAGCCTTTTTCAGGTTGTGTTGCATGGTGTTGTCAATATGCAGCTACCCAACCAATGGTTGTGGGACATGGTGGATGAGTTTGTGTACCAGTTTCAGAGCTTCTGTCAGTACAGAGCAAAGATGAAGAATAAAACCGAACATGAAATTGCGATCTTGAAGCAGTATGATCAGGTAGTTTTTCAAGTGGCTGAGTGTAGTTTTTCTATGGTGATTTCTTGGCTTGTTATTTGTGGGCAAGAGGAAAGTATCAGATAGGCAGATGACGAAAGCTCTTTTTTCTGGTTTTGATGAAAGTAACTATCCATTTGGTTTAAACTCAAAGAATAATCAATTCGGGTTATTTAAGATGCATGCTCTGTGTGTCTAGCTGTAGGGTTTGTTTCTTTTCACGTTATAAGCTGAATGTTATAATTCCATTTCAAAGGCTTGGAACGTGTATGGCCTTCTCAACTTCTTGCAAGCCCTTGTTGAGAAGTCTTCGATCACTCAAATTCTTGAGCGTGAGAAGGAAGGCCTAGAACAGTTTACGGCTACTGATGGGTATAGCTACGACGGAGGAAGTAATGTCTTGAAGGTTTTGGGGTATTTCAGCATGATTGCTCTACTGCGAGTTCATTGTCTTTTGGGAGATTATCAAACTGGTCTAAAGTGCCTCCTTCCTGTTGATATTAGTCAACAAGGAGTTTACACCAGTGTTATTGGAAGCCACATTGCCACCATCTATCATTATGGTTTTGCCAATCTTATGTTGCGGAGGTGAGATGCTCAATAGCCTTTTCAAACTTTGGTGTAGCTTAATATTTTCAGTATTTTTGATAGTAGAGCTCGGTGTCACATAATTCAGAAATCAGAATATATTGCTGTTTTCTTGTTCTTGTATTATAGTACTTTTTCAACTGTTTATATAGCCTAATGTGTAATCTTTTCTACAGATATGTGGAAGCAATTTATGAATTTAACAAAATTCTCTTGTACATCTACAAGACAAAGCAATATCATCAGAAATCTCCACAGTATGAGCAAATACTAAAGAAGAATGAGCAAATGTATGCCTTGCTGGCAATCTGCCTTTCACTCTGCCCGCAAAACCAGTTGGTTGATGAAACAGTGAGCTCTCAGTTACGGGAAAAGTACGGTGAAAAAATGATTAGAATGCAAAGATATGATGATGAGGCATTTGCTATCTATGATGAGCTCTTCTCATATGCTTGTCCCAAGTTCATTACCCCTTCAGCACCTAGTTTTGAGGAGCCTCTAGTAAATTACAACCAGGTACCACTTTTGTTCCATCTTGCCACTACAAAAGTATAGCATTTAAGTGTTCAGCACCAAGATATATCAAGTATGGAATTTGAAGTCATTGTTCTCCTTTGCCCTCCACGGTAGAATGGGTGAACCATGCACTTCCCTGTCTCTATCTTGAAGGGAAAATAAACCTGGGATAGTTATAAATGTCTATTTTCCACCTTGCCAAAAAGGGAAAAAATGAGAAAATAATAAATAGAAGGGAATTATTGAAAAATTCTTGGTGGTGCAGCTGTTTGACCATAATTAAGGGAATTTGACAAAGTTCTGTGCCTATTTCTCTTGCATTTATGTTGCTGGGGGGTATTTGGTTTTATTTTTCAAGATCTTCATTCTTTTATTGAAACATCTGTCCATATTGATCTCCATCATCTTATATAATATATATTTATGGAATGATTTGGTAGACGTTTATCTACCCTTTTTATTTTGGCTAAACGCTGGCTGGCTAGTTGAGACTCTTCTGGCATAATTGCTTAACTTCAAACATAATGGTTTGGACATTTACTCTGCTTCCTCATTTCATCTATGTTTTTTGTGGTAAATTGTTGGATGGTATGGCAGGATGCCTATAGACTTCAGTTGAAATTGTTCCTTTATGAAGTGAAGCAGCAACAATTGTTATCAGGTGTCCGGACTTTTTTGAAAGTGTATTCATCAATCTCTCTAGCGAAATTAGCAAGTTACATGGAAGTGGATGAAGCCACTTTAAGGTTAGAACGCCTCCCTTTTTATGAACATTCCCCCAACATGTTTTGTTTTTTGTAGATAATTTTGTGAATGAGATATTTGATCTGAGTTTATTGTGGTGTTTGACAGGTCAATTTTGTTGACGTACAAGCATAAGACGCATGCCGTTGATAGTGACAAGAAAATTGTATCTAATGCTGATATAGATTTCTACATTGATGACGTAAGCTTATTGAATTTTTCTTCTGTCATGTTTACTTTGTCTTTTAAGGGGGCTTTATATTTCAAATAATGCATATTCCAGCTAGCTAATTGCTTTTATGTTCTTGTTAAATTAATCGTCAAGCCCCCTAAACTGCTCATAACTGAGTGTCAGTTTTGATATCTTTTCTAATTTTCTTGTTTTAACTAGCTTGATGCTTTTTATCGATTTATGCATGATAATGAACTTGAATAAAGATGTTGGCGGAAGTTTATATTAGCCTTGCTACTATGTGAAAGTTAGACTTTCGAATTGAGCATGTTGCCATTTTCTTCTTGAATGGTTTTGCAAACTTGGAGTGACTGACGGTCATTTGCTGCAGGACTATATTCATGTTGTAGAGCCCAAGTTACCCAAGCGATATAGTGATTATTTCTTGCGGCAGATTGTCAAGGTATGCTGCTTATTCCTGCACAGCAATCTGTATACTCTGTTTATTCGAATCTCTCTTGATCATTTTGTTTGTTCCTGTTCGCAGCTTGAGGGGGTTATCAATGAGATGGACGATATAAAACTTGACTAAGTTGCGTTTTGTTCTATTCCAATGACTTGTTTTCCTGATTGATTCGTTCTCCTTTCTATTTGCTTTATAGATGGTTAGTCTGGAGTTGTTCGTCTTTTTGACGTAGAGGATTTAGTTAGCTTTTCCCTGTAACGCTGTTTTCCCCGCCTGATTTTATTTAGGAAGTAACATAAAATTCTTATTGTTTCTAGAAGGGATGAACTGATGAAGTATATAATCCTTCAAATGCACTGCCAGTGTTTATGCTCATGATTCATAACACCACCTAAGTGCATGATTTATTTACAGAAAGAACGTTGTTTTTCAATTTGATCATAAATAATCTTTTTAATTTAGCCCCCCAGATTTTGTTCTAATCAGAATGATTCCTTCAGGTAAAATCGCAGCCATTTTATAGACTTGTTGATTAATTTAATGAGAACTTACATGGCTGGTTGACTTATGATTTGGAGCTTTTGGAGAGTCATTTTAATCTAAAGCTGCATTGCTTGGGCACATAAGATTCTTTTTTCTGTTTTTGTGGGATCGGTTCACTCGATATTGTGAGATTTGCTTAAATTACTCTTCTTTATCAAATATCGATATCAATGTAAATATAAAATATATAATGAACTATATTATTCATTAATGATGAATAATGTAATGTCATTTATGTTTTTAGATTTGGTGAAAACTTGGAAGCTTACGGGCTAATGGCTGTGTGGGTTGCGGTTTATACCTGATGCCTGATAGTCAAATCCCCCGTACGGGATTAGAAAAGTTCTCGAGCAATTGTGCTCACTCCTCAGGTGTTTAATATGTTCAGGGCCGAATGGATAGGTGAGTTATTTTTCAACGGACTAAATAATTCATTTTAGAGTTAAGGTATATTTAGCACTCAAAATGTTTTTTTTCAGGTATATTCAGTGTTTTAAAGTATTTTTTAGCATACTCAGCATCATAAAATATTTTTTAAAATCTTAAAATATTTTTAGATGCATGCAGTACTAAGTTGGATATATTTAAAAAAATGTTTCAAAAATACTAGATTTATTATAAAATATTTTAAAATACTAGATATATTTGAAAAATATTTAGAGGGTTGGATGTGTTTTAGCCCTTCATTTTATCATAATTATAAATCTTTTTATCATTATCAATGGCTATAATTCATTAGGCACCCCCAAAAAAAAAAAAATCTGAACGGAGAAACCGGATTTCGACCTGACAGTGTTAACAGCTGAGCAATCTGATATGCTTGACACTTTTAAGTGATCCCAGCATCTTTTCAATTAAAGTCGTCTCTCTCTCTCTCTCTCTCTCTCTCTATATATATATATATATATATATATAATGGGGTAGAGGTTGTGTCTGTAAATTTTTGTAACCTACATTGGTGTTCAATACTTCTGAAGTTTTCATAGTATCGTTATGTTCCTATATATAAGTTATTTATAGAATAATTAATGATTTTTTTTAATTTCATTCCTTTTTTTTAAATAAGTGTGAAAAACATTATTAATTTAATGTATTTTTTGATTTGTAGGTTTAAAATATAAGTGACTTGTGAATAAAGATAGAGTAGCATGTAATATCTTTAAATTAAAGAATAATGTCCAATTTTACCCAGAAAGTTTCTGCTTATACCTATGGGTATTTGAAAAGAAGTACTTTTCCGATCCTTAATATAGAATTTATTTAACTAATTTAATTAGATTAAGAAAGTTAGGTAAGTTAGTTAATTATAAGAAATATGATATATTTTTTTTAAAATATTATAATCATCTTTCTTAATATCTTTTTTTTTTATTTGGTTATGGTTGGGAGAGATTCATAAGAATAATTTTAAAAAGTTAATAAATATAAAAAATAAATTTTATATTTAAAGTTAGAATTAAATTAATAATAATTAGGTTCTATTTCAACCACAAGATAATATAAAATATAGCAATGTCATCTCATATTAACACCTCAAAAAGTTGACTATAACATGACTGCCAGATGATTTGGCATGGGGGCAGGACAGTGTCTAGATGTGGCAATTGCTCTTGGCTAGGGAAGCTACATGTGGCGCCTATCTGACAGTTTAATTATAAAAAAAAAATCCCCTCATCTCCTTCGATCCCCCGCCCCAAAGGCAACGCACAGCCATGAAGAGGACCCCATTCCCGGATCCCGGGCCCTCCTGTCGATGTGGCTCTTTCCCTCATCCGTCCAAGCTCCTTGCCTTTGCTCCTGCGCGACCCCTCTACTGCAAAACACTGCGTGACAACGTGAGTTGTTCTCCCAATCCAGGTCGTGTTCCTTTACTCCTTCACTATCATCTCTGTTGAGCTGAAGAACGACGCCTCCCCTTGGTCTCTTGATTGTTAAAAAGCAAGACAGGGTGCGTGGGTGACGTTTGCCCGGTCCAGATCAAGGCCTCCCTCTCCTCCTTCACTGCCCTCCCTATCCTACTCTGAAACCCACCTCCACAATAGCGCCGACAAGCCGCTATAGTCGCCATGTGAGTGAGGTGTTCTCCCAGTCTAAATCACAACGAGGCCACACCACCTTGCTTAACGGTCGTTATCTGACCAAGGAATCTGTTTATGCCGCTATAGCTGCTAAACTTGACCCATCTTTCGGCATCACTGTCAGTTCAAAAAGGGTGCTTCTTTAATCTAACGATTTTGGTTGAGGAAAATATCGTCTTTGTAGTTTGACATGGATATTATTGGAATCTTTTGTGTTAAATTTTTTCCCTTTTCTGCGATTGTTTTGAATGCGTTTTTTTTCCCTCCCCTTTTTAGTTTTTATTGCTTCTGTTTGTCATGCCCAAGAAATATTGGATCTGATGTGAAAACTTGGTATTTGTTTCCATATCGATCAAATATGATGGTGGTGGAGGGGTCGCCGGAGAAAAAGAGGGCTTTGGAGTGGAACTGTGGAAGAGGAAAGGCAGAGAAGGCCACATCTGTAGAAGGAGAAGACGGAGTTGATTTTTTTTTTGGGGGGGGGGGAGAGAAAGTGACCTGAATGATGAGAGGTAGTTGGATGATGAGGTGGCTATGCTGAGTGTGCTATGTGAGTCAAACTAACAGTCATACTTAATTTTTTTTTAAATGGTTGGAATGACATTACGACGTTTTTAATACTTTCAAAGTGATGTTAACCTCAAAAAAAAAAAATTTTTTTGAATATTTAGTGTCCCTTCGCCAATATATAAAATTGGACATTATTCCTTAAACTAAATTGAAAGGTCCTAAGGAATTGTGGACCTAATGAACTTGAAAAGATTTTTTTTAAAAAAATTACACATTTGGAGAGGAGAATTAAACTTGCCTGCGTTTATGCAATGGCCGCTGTCAAGTTTTTTCTTGGACTGCGCGAAGCTTTTGACTGGCTTTTCGCTCACCGGATAGGCCTAAACGGATTCTTAAAGGAAAAGTCTACTGAGTACTGAGCATGTTTGAAAGGTGGTTAGATGAGGCTCGCCTTGTCGCAATCATCGAACTTAACAGTCAACTTGGAAACCAACCAAAATGAGAATATTCCTCATGCCCCCCGACGTTCGATGCTCCATGTGGAAACCATTCAGCGTATTTAAATTCGTGAGATTAACAGCTAAATCTCTTCATACCAAACACAAGTAGATTCCCAAATCATGCATTATAGCGAAACCAAAAGCGTTTCGCACATTTTCAATGCTTTTAGGAATGAGAAATTCGAGCTTTTGCTTCTGATAAAGTGATCGTCGTTGCCCCGCGACAGATCGTTTCTCAGCCCAGATATGTTAAATTGCGACAGACTTTTCTGGGTGAAATTGAGCAGGGTAGTATGCTCAATTGTAACGCTCTTCGGGGTTGGAATTATTCTCTATTGTCTTTGGTTTCAGAAAACATGGCAAGAAAAAACAGCTGGATTGCCTTTCTCAACCACACCACTGTAAGTTTCGTTTTTGTATTTCAGTCGTTTATCGAACACTGTTCCAAACCCCAACCTGGATGTTCCTGGTTTCACTGGCGTTTTTATGTGTTTTGGACATAATTAGGCGGCTGCTCCGAGTACTGATTTTACTTGGTTCTATCACTCTTATGATACTTGATTTATTTGCTGTCAAATGAGTCATTTTTACCAGTGAACAGCTGAAGTTCTGTTAAATCATAGAATGAAAGATTTCTCTCCAAATAGACCATTCATTTCCATGCTATTTTGGTGGGGTGATTCTTCTTAGCTGTGACAAATTGACGCTTCTGCTTCTGCTTCTGGTGAACAGGTTTATACATATATGTCTGGTCATAGGAATTGCTCTCTGCTTAGGCACGGCGAGTGGTTATGTCGTCGCTAACTGTTTCAGCGATTGCATGCTTTCGATAGTATCCTCTTCTTTGAACATTTTTCTGTTATTTTTCACAGAAATTTTACAGTTATAAATTTGGTTTGATCCTTCACAAATTTCAGTATATTGCGGTGGTCTGTCTTCTTCTTGTACTGGAGATTGTTGTGGTTATCGTCATATTCATCTCCACGGACTGGGTACCGGTAGGCTTTCACAAATTTGTCATGTTAACCTTCCATAGCATAATCATGGGCTTGAGGCTTCCGAGCGAAACCCAGCATACATACAAGATTCAGGCTTCAGAATATAACTAGTTAATTTTCATTTTTTGGGTCACTACTTGCTAATGATTTCCTATCAGAGAGGCTTGATTGAATTTCACGTTCTTCTATGGAACTTTTATTGTTATTAATAATAACTGAGCAAAGAAGATAAAGGCATATGAAGGCATAGCTTGGGAAGAGTCTCACAGTATTCTAAGAATGGATAACATGTTAGCCTGATGCTCTCCCCATTGTTGTTAGATGGACATAACTATAACCGGTCTCATTTAACTAATGGATATGTGCGTTCTTGCATATACCTGTTTTGTGGCAGAAAGTAAACGAGTGGATTAGCGGGAAATACTCAGAGTTTAGGACTTTTATCCTCTTCCACTTGTGCATGAGTCGCATTATTCTTCTGGTATCATTAATACCTCAGGTAATAATTTCTCGAACTCTAGCAGTTAATGTTGTTTTCTAGGATGCTAGGCTAGTTCATTCAAATGGTGATACAGACATTTAGCACTCCAAACCAAAAAAATAAAATAATAGAGATTGTCGAAGCTTTTGTTAGAAACTAAATCTGATTGTTGCCCGGGATTATGCAGATAGCTGCAATTGCATTGGCTATTAGTTTGCTGGCTCTGGGTACTCAAGCCGCGAGGTCTGGCCATGGCAGCCCTTCTGTAACACCTGATTTCCTTGACTCCTTTCTGGATTTGCGCAGCTCACCAGTACACGAGGACTCAACACATTAACTTTACCTCTCACATTGATGTCCAGGTCTGGGGCAGAAAAGAACCAGAAAGAGAAAAGAAAGTGAAGGAAACCATCAAACCAGAATAACTTTGTGATTGTGTCCTGAGTTGTTAAACTACATGCCAGACCAAATTGATCACAGTTGTGCCTGTATACTCTTGACATTGAGCATAAACCGAATGCGTCCTAAATTATCTGTACAAGAATATGTTGAGAAAGATGTCCACGTGGTCTCATTGCTGTTGGTGAGACAAATGCAAATTTTGGTGCCAAATGTGATTGGAGTGCTTCCCATTGGCTTAGAGGCTCACGTGTTGCTCATGTTTGGTAACAATTTTTTGATTCTGCTGCTACTGCATTGGTTTCCCAACGTTGAAAATCTGAACAATACGTAAAGAGAGATCATGGCTTAAAATTTATGATTTGAAAGGCGTGAGTTCCCATATTATATTTTATCATCAATATATCATATAAATTCTGTATCTAGCCACATTATTTATAATCCATAAATGAAACTCCTCATTTCTATACTGTGCATACACTGCAGTAATTCATATATTATTGACTTGTAAAGATAACAAAATAACCAAATTCCTCGTGTAACTTCGTCTCAACAGTGTCATGAAAGACCGTCGAGGATCTAAAAAATTATCAGTTTCAAGTAACTATTCATGACTTAAAATGCATTTATAAAAGTGTTAGCAAATTATTCTTCACGAAGTCCTTGTATCAATGTTAGATATGAATTCACCTAGTTATAAGATATGCACGTGCCATATAAATTAGACTAGCATTTATTGGGAAAGAATTATAGAGAAAATGGACTAATTGCCCATCATTAATAATAATTTGTTTGCTAAAGGTGACCCTCAAAATTGAGTGAAGGCATGCAAGCGCATAATCTTGAACCATAAAACGTTAATGTAATTTATATTTATACTCTAAATTATAGAAATTCCATAAAGTTTTGTATTGCAAGAGTTGTCATAAGTCATGACATAAATCTACTCACGTACAAATATTAACAGTATACCAAAAAATACACAGATATTATCTCCGATCTTTAATATAAGAGTTAGTAATAAGAGCTAGTTAACGAATTTGAATAGATTAAAAAAACAGTTAAGTTAGATATTTATAATAAATATGTGTTTGTTTTCTTAAAATATCCTTATTAATCAAGTGTATTAACTAGAATTACCATTATTATAAGGACTACTTTAAAAAAAATGAGAGACAGGGTGAATTGAGATGTTATATTTAACTAGCATTTACTCTCCTGCACAATGCACGGGATGTATACATTATAGTGACTTAGATTAAAGCATCAAATATCAATCAACAACAATCTTATAATAATTTGAGAGAATTACCAAGAAGCCAAGAAAAAAAAAACTACAAAAAGGTTTTAAAACAAATAAGAAATTGTTATGCACTGTTCTAAAATTTGTTATTATAAGATATTCTATTATTATTAAAACTTCTTAATAATTATGTTAATTAAAACTTTATAGCAATTCTTCCTTACAATTTTCCAATTTTTACCAGCAAGAAATGATTCAATTCAATGGAACATAAAAGAAAAGAAAAGATTATAAAAAGTAGTACATATAAGAATCACACAGACTAAACAAAAGAACAAACTCATGTATGCAAATTTCGAAAGACCTTTTTATACACAGTATTAGTTGTTCTAAATACAGGGACTTGTGTTTTAAATGCAGTATTTTCGATTAGCTTGATGTGTACCAATTTTGAAACACATCTCTATAAATAAAATTGTAGTTTTTCTTACATATGTTCATTCTCATTATCATGGAAAAAAATCTTCAATCCTTCAACACTTTTCATCCTTAAAATAGAAATATATAATTAGTCATTTGCAAAAACATATTTTAATAGATATAAACTCGCATGAAGTAATAATTACTCTTCACTTTTGTTATTTGTTAATAATCATTGCAAATAAGAGTGATCTTCTACAAAAAGAAAAACAAAACTCCTAATAACTGGTACACTTTCTTTCGAAAGGTTTTCTAAGATGACGTCTTATTAAAATATAAGATTATTGATAAATAGAATTAAAACATACTCTTCCAGTCCTTATTATAAGACCCATTTAACTAATTTGATTAGATTAAGAAAGTTAGGTAAGTTAGTTAATTATAAGAAATGTGACATTTTTTTCTAAAATACCATAATCATCTTTCTTAATACTTCCTCTTTCTCTTTTACTTGATTATAGTTGAGGGAGTATCTATAAGGGTAATTTAGAAAAAATTGATAAATATGAAAAATAAGTCTTATATTTAGGATCAAAATCAATTCAATAATTGGGTTCTATATTAAGGACCGAAAGAATATTTATTTTTTAAATAGACGTTCCACCAAATGATAACTCCGGTTAAGATGATATAGAATTGCCGCGTTCATTATTCTTTGCTACTAACTTCACAATTTTCTCTTCATTGGAATAATAATTTGGGAAAATTGCACTCAGGTCTCACAGAACACAATTAATATCAAAAAGGTCTCTCGAAATCGTGAAATGATTCTGAAGTCCCCAAGGACCTGTGTGTAATTAATTCTAATTGTGAAATTACCTACTTACCCCTGTTAATTTTATTGCAGCAATTCGTTTACAATCTTAACAGTGGCTGTTAACAACCCGAGAAGACGTGATTGACAATCTCGGCAGTGCTCATGACAACTCACTCTGTGGAATGCCAGGGGCGTTGTTGAGGTTGTTAACCACCTCTTCTCGGGTTGTTAACAGCCACTGTTGAGGTTGTAAATAGATTCTAATTTTATTGCAGCAATTCGTTTACAATCTCAACAGTGGCTGTTAACAACCCGAAAAGATGTGATTGACAACCTCGGCAATATTCATGACAACTCACTCTGTGGAATGCCAGGGGCATTGTTGAGGTTGTTAACCACCTCTTCTCGGATTGTTAACAGTCACTGTTGAGGTTGTAAATAGGTTCAAATTAACAGGGGTAAATAGATAATTTCACAATTAGAATTAATTACACACAAGTCCCTGGGACTTTAAAATCATTTTGTGATTTTGATGGACCTTTTTGATATTAATTGTGCTCTGTGGGACCTGAGTGTAATTTTCCCTAATAATTTTGTGCACGTACACGTTTTACTAACTGTGTTCAGAGAGTAAAAGGGTTAGATTAATATTTGATATATTTTTAAACAATGTCAAGCAGCATATTCATGAAATTCTGAGTTGGTTGCTGCGCATAAAGTGCGTCTTATGCATATTTCGGACAGTAAAAGCAACATGCAGAAATTAAGAACGGGATATGTGGAAGCTTGATAACCGACTGAAATTTGTGACCTCCTTATCACTTGTGACCAGTAATAGACAAAAATCATTTTACTGTTCACCCGGGGAACTCCGGATAAACATTTCATCTCAAAAGAAGGCATGATTACAGATTAGCTGAACCTTGAAGAAACTGAATCCGAAAAAGTATGTGTGAATAACATGCAATTATGGAATTGGTCTGTTGTAACAGTTGAATTCCCAACCAATAATAAGGATGTTCTGCAAAAAATCTACAATCTGATAGATATCTCTATTCTTAAAAAGTTAGGAACTGGAAAATGTTAGTTTTAGAAATCAGTATAACAAATAATCCAACAATTTTAGCAAGAAAAAATGGACTGGAAATACGGCCAATCTGCAAACCATATCACTGCACAAGTTTACAATACTTCAAGATGCTGGAAAACAGGATACATGTTGACATGTTCAGCTACCATCCTAGGTGATAAGAGTTGTGTGCTGGTTCTTTTCGCTTACGAATGACAGGTTACATTTTTTTAAAAGCTGCTCCTGCCTCCGCTTTTATGCAAATCATATCACTTAACATGTTGAGTGAAATTTCTTTCTGTGAACCAACTGTATGATAACAAGTGCACCAACAGTGTGAAAAGCTGCAGAATACATGCATGGTAGCTAATATTTTCTTAAAGGGGGGTTATGTGCTGGTTCTTTTCGCTTGTGAATGACAGGTTACATTTTTTAAAAAAGCTGCTCCTGCCTCGGCCTTTATGCAAATCATATCACTTCACATGTTGAGTGAAATTTCTTTCTGTGAACCAACTGTATGATAACAAGTGCACCAACAGTGTGAAAGCTGCAGAATACATGCATAGTAGCTAATATTTTCTTAAAGTGGGGTTAGGAAGCTGAAAATTACCAACTACTGCACACGTAACCAAGAATAAATTACCAAAAAATATAATCTTGATTTCATAATATACAAATATAAATCTGAATGAAACAAAAAATAATCACCAACTAACAGGATCCAAAAGGTAACCACATGTACGGTCATTTAAACAAAACTTTGAGCACATCATGCAGGTGGTAAAAGGTGATCTGCATATACAAGCATGAAAGTGCAACCACTATTATCAAGGTTAAACTATTATGAAGGAGCAAAAATCAAAGTTGAAACTTCGACGGAATCTTTCAGTTCCCATATTCAAAATCAAACCATTGCTGAAAGTACACTTTGGTAGCAACAACAACCACAGTCAGCATTCTTTCACCTAATCCAATGACCATAGCTGATCACCCTATTGCTCTTGCAGAGCGAAGAGTGACTTTCACATCCAGAACAAAGAAAAAATTTCACAGTATTAGAAAGAACAACAAAAAAAACATACGCATCCAGAGCAATATGCGCCTTTAAGTTAAAAAAGAAATAACATGTAAAGAGAAGGTACCCGCTCATACTCCTACTCAAATTCTTCTCTCAGGCTTTGGACGACAAACTCTATCATTTCACCTGTAAATGAAAAACCAACGATTGTGGAAGAAAAATTAAAAAAAAAGATAAATAAGAATATTAAATCATAGCCAATAGGACTCCCCGAATGAGTTGACTGCACACTATCCTGCTTCGAAGAAGAGGACCCGCTGAACCTATCGATGAATAAAGAGTAAATATATTAGTGAGAAGAACTCTTGAGAAAATAAATTAGCATTTCACGACAATATAAACAGAACACTTACAAAATATGAACTGATAATGGATTAGCATTTGTCCTCAAGAATCAAATGTTGTGTCTGACAGCTCTGCAAGAGATTGATTGGCCACAAATTTAAGAAACCATTCCATTAAATACAGCCAAACATTTGATACTCCATGCCTTTGGAAGAGAAAGAAAGAGAAAGAGCAGAGAACAAAGAATGATGAGGATACTGTTCGCCGACGACCTCTCCTGTGACTTGTTGTTTGTATTTGATCTATTCATATGGATGACTTGAATGTTCCCGAAGTCAGAAAAAAAAAAAAGAAGAGAGAGAATAATGAAGTATAAAATAGATTAAGTGATGGAAAATAATTAGAGGAAGAAGAATAGAGTAGAAAAAGGACGAATGAAATTGGAGAAAAAAGCATGAGAAAAACGAAGAGGAACACGGAGAAATCTTACCTTTAAACCACCAGTAGTGATATTGGAGGTGAGATTGATCAGAAAAAATGGAAAACTCATGACCAACAGCCAGCTCAATAGAGATGCAGAAACAGAAAAACAGAAAAAAAAAAAAAGAGGGATGCTTGGGGCAAGAAAAAAGAAAAATGGTAGACAAGAAAGGAAGGACAGAAGGGATGGTGAAAAAATAAGGGCGGAGGGAATTCCAAATTTGAAATTTGAATCTTCCATTACCATTCTCCCTGATTTCCAGCCGAGGATGTAAAGAGCATGCAGAAAGCCCAACATGCAATCCCTCATTTTGTGATGGGAGCCGTCCTGTTCATATGAACAGTACTTGTGAGAGGAGCCGGTTAGAAAATGAGATCAGCTCAGCTCCTTTTATGCTACAGGTATTAAAGTTATGTAGATCTTAACTCCATGAGAGGAGCCGTGCAGCATTTCCAAATGGCTCTGCTGCTACTGTTCATATGAATAGTAATATATAGCATGCATGTTTCAGTTATATAGATATCCAAAAAAATGTTAAACTATTTTTTATATTTTACATCAAGTACAGGAGGAAGTACGTGGCATCTGCTTTTCCTGCCTTTTTTCCCGAATAAACGGGGGAAGCAGTGGAGTTAACTGAGAGAGACCGCCAAGACAGCCGGTCACGACGTAGTTTCGCAGCATAGCGGAGTTGAAGATTCCATATTCATCAGTCAGCCCCTCTCAACCACTCCGTCCAATCGTCGACTGGCCGTTCTTGCCAAGCACCTACTTCCACTTTCAATGGCTTCTCCTCCCGCCGATTCTGTCTTCGCTCATGTTGCCGCTGCTCCTGAAGATCCTATCCTCGGGGTACTCTTTCTCCGTTTCCTTTTCTCATCATTTGGTTTTTGATCCTCTCTTTTCGATCTTCGCCTCTTTTACATGATCTTGTGCTTATACTTATTATGTTACCGAAGCCTTAGGTTCGTTCTATACAAGTACCTCGTATAATATACTTTTCGCGGCCTTTGTCTGACGAGCAAGCTCAGCCTCGCCGCATAATCGCTTCACATGGATTAATCATTTTACATGTTGTGCCGTACAAAGCGATCGTAGTTATCTTCTTCACCCTTTTTTTCTTTTTTGGGAGAATTAGAATAAAGGAGCTGCGGAGAAAAATATTTAGTAAAGAGGATCATAAAACTTAGAATTATTTTAAAAGACTATATGTTAAAATATAACTTTAGAAAGATTAAATTGTCTTTAACTAATCCTCCTTCTATGTTCTCTCTTATTACATCTCAATTATTTGATAGTTCACGAGTTTTCTTTTGTTTTAGCCTGCACCCCATTCCACACGGAATTAAAAAACCTTTGAAACTCACCCATGATAATAAAGGCTTTTATGCATTTTGCGACAAATTTTTATCATCTACTAGTGATTGCTTTTTGATATCTTCAACGCAAGTTTGTTTGTTTTACCCCATTAATATTGTTTTGACCTGTTAAGAAATAAGTAATAAGAATTAGTTTCTCCTTTTGTTTCTACAATTGCAAGTCATGTGTATATTTGTAATTAATTTTACAATCTGACCTTAGGATATTTGCATGTTTTGTAGACATTGATTAATGTATATAAGTTTTAGAAATCAATAGGAAGTGAATAATTTAAAAGCAAAGTCTGTGACGATAGATTTCGGATTACGAGTAACAAATGGGTCTGAATGTTACCTTTTGAAATGATTCTGAATGTCCTATTAATTTTCTTCAAATGCATAAACTATCAAATGAAAACAAAAGCAGAAGAATTGTTAAGAGAATCAGAGAAATAATAAAGAAGGGGACATGTCACATGGGTAATTTGGTATTTAAAATATATATTTTGACATTTAGTCCTCTAAAATAATTCTAATTTTTATGATCTTTTTACTAAATATTTTTCTCTATGGGTACTTTGTTCTAATTCTCCCTTCTTTTTTTTCCGTTTTTCCCGTTAGTTCTTCTGTTTTATCGGACGATGAAAACCTGAATATCTATCACTTGATCATAACTAATTTTTTTAACTTGTAGACTGTTTTCGATTAGTTATTGGAGTATTAATCATCCGAATGCCAAATCAGCAAGGCATCTGATGGTATAGTTCATGCTTTGATAATACAATAATGCACACACCCGCCTCTTTACGCGTTCAACGAATCCAGATCCTATGAAATTGAGAGTATATGAAGTGGGTAAAGTTGAATGCAAAGTACTGGTACATTGGCAATTTTTAGTCTGAATCAAGCAAGTCTTCTTGTGCATCTAGTTCAGGCAGCTTTATTCTGACTGCTTCGAAACTTTCTTCTAACATTTTATCGACCTCACTACTTTGATCGCGATGTTTTTTTTTTACGTAGGTAACTGTTGCTTACAACAAAGACCCAAGCCCATTAAAGCTGAATTTGGGTGTTGGCGCTTACCGTACAGAGGTGAGCCCGTGAGTGTTACTCAGTCACGGTTGTGGTTGTCGATTATATGCAACAGAATGACCAAATGTCTGAAAATGTAACCTAGAATCTTATACTTGGCACATGTTCTTGTTTTTGCAACAAATACAGGAAGGAAAACCTCTTCTTTTGAATGTTGTCAGAAAAGCGGAACAACAAATCTTGAATGACGGGTAAGTAGGTGGCTAACTTTCTTTGTCTTCAGTTTGAAATGAAAGTTATGATAAATTCCCACTCACCATTATTTTCAGGTCTTACAACAAGGAATACCTTCCGACTGCCGAGTTCAATAAATTGAGTGCTAAGCTTATTTTTGGTGCTGACAGGTCAGAAATCTAATACCTTTTGTATGAAGTGATTGTTAGATTCGATAGATTTGTTGCTTAGTAAATGCCTTAGTGGGTCCTTGCTTGCTTTTGTGTCATAGCCCTGCTATTCAAGAGAACAGGGTAACTACTGTTCAAGGCTTGTCCGGTACTGGATCATTAAGAGTTGGAGGTGAATTTTTAGCCAGACATTATCATCAAGTAAGATGCATAACCATTGACTTCACTCTGTATTTTACTATTTTTTCCTTTGAATTATTATTATATGATGGCAGTTAACCAATTTTTGGCTTCCCTTGGCTTTGCAGCGGACTATATACTTGCCTCAGCCTACTTGGGGTAACCACCCTAAAGTTTTTACCCTGGCAGGGTTATCTGTCAAAAATTATCGCTACTATGCTCCAGCGACACGAGGGCTTGATTTTCAAGGTCATAATTGATATCTTTACCTTCAACTTCGTATCCATGTTTGTATGCTTCATAATTAGTAAATACTAGGTTTTTACTTCCTTGAGAGTGTATACCATGATGCTCATTTCTGATAATAACAGGACTCTTAGAAGACCTTGGTTCTGCTCCTTCGGGATCTATTGTCTTGTTACATGCATGTGCACATAACCCAACTGGTGTTGATCCAACCCCGGCGCAATGGGAGCAAATCAGGCAGCTGATAAGATCAAAAGCTTTGTTGCCTTTCTTTGATAGTGCTTATCAGGTGTGGAGGAATTCTAGAACTTGGCATGGTCCATAACCAGGACTTTGTTTTATCATGATTTAAATACCTATGTTCTAATTAAGTGTTATAAAATATAATATTCTATTTTGCATGATAGGGTTTTGCCAGCGGAAGTCTTGATGCAGATGCACAGTCTGTTCGGATGTTTGTTGCTGATGGGGGTGAATTGCTGATAGCTCAGAGTTATGCGCAGAACATGGGACTTTATGCAGAACGTGTTGGTGCCTTGAGCATTGTAAGATTGCTTTGGTCTTAGCTTGGGATCTTTTTCTTCATTTTAGCCCATTAATACGAACTTCTAAAAGAAAGTTTTCTTTTGCAAAAAATTGATGTTTTCTTCTACTGATTAACCTAGGTCTGCAAGTCAGCTGATGTTGCTAGTAGGGTTGAAAGCCAGCTGAAACTAGTGATCAGGCTTATGTATTCAAATCCTCCCACACATGGTGCATCCATTGTAGCTGCCATCCTCAAAGACCGGTAATCAGTCAAGAATTTTTTGGTCATCTTTAAAACGGATGGGCAAAGAAGGATTTTTTGTCGACGATGAACTTTTGTGATAACCTAGTGTTGAATGGGGAAAGTCCGAGTAATGAATTTAGGACCCGTTTGGTAAATTACAAGCATTCTTAATAGTGCAATGCAATGTAATGCATTGCAATGCAATCTTTATTGCTATTAATGTGTTTGCTTTGTTAAAAATAAATCATGCACTAATATTCATTTTTAATTAGAAGAAAAAACAAAAAATGATTAAATTACTCTTTTGACCCCTATAAGAGAAACCTTTCCCTCTACATATCATTCCTGTGGTAGCTTCTTAGTGAGATTAGAGGGAAAATTTCTGCAGATCGAAGATCACATCACTTGTACTTACAGAAATGAGACCCCATGGCAGCCTTGGTAATTAACAACGGTTCCTTCTCTCATCCTCGTAGCGATGTCGCTATGTCATATCTATCGCCATTTTTTGTTAATTCTATTGGGTATAAGCTTTATGTATTTTCCGGACGAGGAAGTGAGTGACATGGTGAAAAAGGAGGAAGAGGGGAGAAAGAGATAGAGGAGGAAAATATGAAGAGGTTGAATGAAACGTTCATGGCTTCCAACTTGGTCGAGGAGATGGTGAGCGACGACGTCAGCAACGGCAAGGTGGAGAAGGAGGGGGAGGGGAGAGAGAGGAGGCAGAGATAAAGAACTTGGAGTGAACATCCATAGCTTCAAACTTGATGGTGGAGGAAGAGGTGGTGAGCGGCGGCATCGACGTCAGTAAGGTGGAGGAGAGGAGAGGAGAGAAAGAGAGGAGGCAGAGATGGAGAAGTTGAAGATAACATTCATAGCTTTAAACTTGATGGAGAAAGAGGTGCTGAGCGACGGCGGCCGGCAAGGTGGAGAGAGAGTGGGGAGCGAGAGGAGGTAGAGATGAAGACATTGAAGGAAAGATGAGGAAGGGATTTGAGTTGGGTTATTTTGTGTCTTTCATGTTTGATTTTAAGGGCAAAAAAGACATTCCAAATAGTGTAATGGGTGGTAATACCTATTCCTATGGGGATGTATGAATGAGAATTACCAAATTTTTGGTACTCTAAATTTTATTATCAAATTAGAAAGCAACCAAATATTATTATTTTGGTAATGTAATCTCGAATGCCATTGTAAACCTGTAATGGAATTGAATTAAACAAGCTCTTAATATTTATTGGATAGCATAAACAACACGTCCAATATAATAGTGATAGCCTTAGAGAGGAGTTCATAATAACCATGGTTTTAATTAGAGTAGATGAATTATGGCTGAGATTGCTTCGTTTTATATATTGGTTCCATATATTCAATACCACTAGTTGATTTTTCTTGTTATGCAGACCTATGTTTCTTGTATTTCAGGGAATTGTACAATGAATGGACTGTTGAGTTGAAGGCAATGGCTGACCGAATTACCAGCATGCGCCAGCAACTTTTTGATGCTTTGCAAGCCAGAGGTGTGCCTTTTCAATGTTCTTTCTCCTTAACATTTCCCTGTTTCTTCTTGGGTGGCCTGTCTCCATACTTGCACGAGTATTTGAGATCGTGTCGTTTAATCATTCTTAGATATGGGGCATGTCCACCTCTTAATTGATACATGAAACTCTTACCGCAGCTGTACTTATTTTCCTTTTGATTGGGTCAGGTACGCCTGGTGATTGGAGTCACATTATCAAGCAGATTGGAATGTTTACTTTCACAGGATTGAATCCAGGGCAAGTTTCCTTCATGACTAAAGAGTATCACATATACATGACATCTGATGGGTAAGAAGCTCTCTTTATGACTTCATCTCTATCTAATTAATATGCGATCAGAAGTAAACTTGATTAAAAATTGCTGTATCAATCATGAGCTATTAAAAAGAATGATAATGATATGAAGTAATATATTAATTGTCAAAAAGTATTGTATCCTAGAAAAGATGTACAAATGCATATGAGAACGATGTAAATTTTTTTTAATAATAAGCTGGAATTTCCGCATGACTCAAATACCATGGCTGATTGTGCAGAAGGATTAGCATGGCCGGTCTGAGCACCGAAACAGTGCCACATCTGGCAGATGCGATACATGCAGCTGTAACGCAAGTCGTCTAAACTATGATGCTGAGGCAGTTGTCAACCTGTACAGGAGATGCATGATTATTAATAGAGTTCTAACTATAAAAATAAGGCAGAAATAAATTTTGGATTACAATCATTTGTATTTGTATCACTGTATATTTTGCATGAACAGTTGCCATTTGTATCAGTATATATAGGCAGAAGGCAAAAAGGATTAGCATAAGTAGTATTGGGCACGTGTTAAAAACGAATCGGATGCTCGGTAAACCATTAGGTTAAAATTTGTACCGCATAATTTAAATGAAAAATGGCAAAAAAATGGATATTAAATTTCAACATGATAAATAGATGATTTCGATATGTCAAAACCAGTATAAAAATAGTCAAAATCATTATAAAAATAATTACTATGACCTATTTGTTTTTTTTTTAAATTTAACAAGTATTTTTAGTCATTTTTCCTAATTTAAAAATAAAAAAAAATCTTGTAGCTTAATGATATTGATGATCTTTTGTGACGGATATTGTGTTTGATTCAGCTTGTAATTTTATGTCCTTAGTACATATCTATTTAATTTTAAAAAAAAGTAGTTTGCGCGTGTTATATATCGTGTATGTTTGTATGCGCCTCGCTAGGCTAGTGTGCACCTGTCAGGGCGACCATGGTCCATGGTTCCCCCAAAATTAAACACATACACAACACACCCTTTTGTACGTTTATTTTTGGTAGAGAATAATGAATTTCAAAAGCTAACTGGCAATATTATTTTCTTTTCAATCACAAATGAAGTCCGATTATCATGAAAGTAAAGAAACAAAATCCATTTTAAAAATACATTCTATATATATAAATGTAAATGTCACAATAATTGCAAACCTAAATCAACCGGAGGCTTTAATATAACAACTAATTAACAAGCAGCTATCTGCACCCTTTCAATAAATATGACGAGGAGCTTGAGAAGGTCACAGCTGAAGATTTGCTGTTCTCCTTTCCTGGTGATCCACACTCACTGAAGTCAAGTACCCGTCGCTCCATCTACAAACATACTTCATTTAGCTAAATGACATATAATTGGCCATGCAAAAAATTCGCCACAGAAAAGTCGCAAGTTGACTAAAATAATATGGCTTTACCAAAGCATTTGTAGAAGCTAACTGACAATGATCGCCTGGCTGATTACGAGGATCTCCTCTTTCCTGGCCCCCATCCCCCGCTTTTCCAGATGCATCTTTTGCTTTTGGAGTGTCGATTTCCAAAATCTCCTCAGCATCGGCATATGCAGCCGCAGTTTGTTCCTTGACCTGCTTCATCCACCCAATTGCATCATAGTTTCTATCACCCGGGCTCATTAAATACCCAAAATCCTGTCGACATGTTATTTAGAGTGTTAGTGGAGCCTGCATTAATACAAAAGACACCCAACAGAACTTGAAGTACCTCAATCGTAATTTCAGCATCAATTCTGGGGCTAGTCAGAAAAGTGTTAATGAACCAAGGGGACTTCCATGCTGAAGGTGATTCAATGCTTCTTCTAAAAGGTGTTCCTCCAAATCTGGCAAACAAAACCTCGCAAACCAGCTAATCAGTGACCAGAAAAGGTACCTCTCATTGGAGGATTTAGGAGCAATGTTTGTCAGTACCGTTCCATAATCAGCCAAAATAAGAGAACGAATGATGAAATATGGAAGGAGTGTGTGATGACACTTCGAAAATAAAATTAACACGTAGTGATGAAAATGAAAATTACATGCTGAATGATTCAAAACCAGCATCATTCCCAGCATGATCACCAGAATTCTCCGCAGGGGCAGATGAACAGTGAGATGGTCGAACTGAAGAAATTTCGTGCTCCTTTACACGAACAGAAGGAGAGCAATCACTTGTGCAGGGATTTCCATTAAATGATTTCGTAGCGATATTCTCATTTGGGGCTGCTTCTAAGCTTCTGTTGCTCAGGCTTTTGGGAGTTCTAGCACTTGAAATGTGAGTTCTATCCGAGCCAAGACGAATTTGATTTGGAGAATACAATAGCAAGTCATTCATATCATGTTCGATTAAGACTCCGGAAGGATGTTGGCCCTGATAAAGGTTTTTTTTTTTGGGGGGGGGGGGTGTTAAGAATCTCGACAAATTACTGGTTTATCACAAGCTTATATCAAATCTAAGAAGGTCATGTGAGAACAGTACTTACAATCTCAGCAGCAGCATCAGGATCGGTCTCCATCTTCGAATCAACGTCCTGAGAGTTATTATTGCCGGTATCTTTTTCTGACTCTTTGCACCTCAAAATGGTAGATTCCTTTTTTCCCTCTACATGCTCTCCTTTCAAAGCTGGCCCACAATTTTCTTTATGATCATCAGAAGCTCCATTTTTATGTTTCTGTATTGACGACGGAGGAAGCATATTCGCAGCCTGAGCTTCATTTTCATCAAACATTACATCCAAATGTGAAAAACGTGTAGTCAACGTGGATGTCATGTCAGTCTCAAGTTTCTTCTCGATTCTCTTATCTGATAATGGTGATAACAAGTCCCGGCGTCGCTTCTTTAAAATGGATGGGGTGCTAGTGAAAGTTTTCGCAGCACTTCTCAACAAAGCATCTGGACTATCATCACGAGAAGGCGAATCCCACAACATCAAAGGAGTTGGACTGTTCACTGATGACATCATAAGCCGGCGGATTCCCAGTGGACTGAAATCTTGCTGCATATCCCCTCCATGTTGTATAAGATCGCAGCTGAAGAAAGGAATATCCAAGCTCGGAAATCGAGGAGGTTCATAACATAGAGATCCCGTGTCCTCCTGCCCTGTTTGCACATCTGCCTTTTCATCCATTGGATTACAAGTTTGCATGGCATCCGATGCACAGGTGAAATTATTTACAGGGACCAATGTTAATGCATCATTCACAATATTGGGGCCATCGTGCATTTCAGCACTATCTATAATATCAATGCAAGGTGAGATGGATGAATCGTTGGGGTACATGAAGCTGTCATGTGCGTTGGAGGCAAAGTGCTCAACTCCATATATTCGTGCGGCTTCACCAGTGTACAATACTCTGCCATCATTAACTGAAAGCAATGAAGGAACGATTGGTAAAGATTGGAAGCATGAAGATTCTATTAAATTATTAGATCTTGTTGGACAAGTTTTGAGTGCACCTGAGGTTCGATCAGCATCAGATATCTGGATATCAGATGATTGGAAAAGATTTGAAGTGCACGCGGGCAAAACCATATCAACACCTTTGTTGTGATCTCCGGATGAAAAGGTTCCATCATTCATTGCATCAGAAAAAAGAACTCTACAACATTCTTCATCAGCCATCAACATGTCCTCTGGTTTAGAAGAATCCATAGAAGTGGGAGCCATAGATGTTGCCATACCCAACCCCATTGAAGTATGAAATTGAGCATTCACAATGTCATGGTTATCATCAGAAACTATACAATCTCCTTGCAAAAGTGAGAATTCCTGACCCAAGTCTAATGATGAAATGCTGGGTAAACCATGTAATTGGAATCTATTATCCATGCCTGCAGAATTTCCAGGCTCGTGTGAGTATTTTTGCTCAGTGAATCGAGAAGAGGAAGCCTCTTCACGAGCAATGTCTGAGTTGGACAGGGTAACATCATCCAGTGGTATGCAATATGGCTCTGAACATGATGCTTGACTAGGACTTTGCTCCTTTCCTCGACTAGAATATTCATTTGGCTTGGTTTCTTCTCTAGCATGTAAAACAACCCTTGTCATTTCTCCGGAAACCGGTAGATGACTAGCACTAGCAGACTCTTGGCTACATTCTGAAACTTCCTCTCCGATTCCCTTCTGACCACTGTCATCTCCACTACAAAGTAACCTCGAAGATGTAGAAACCATGGGCTGATTTGGATGTCCAACATGGGGTATAAGCATACCTGACGCCAAGTAAGAATCCAATTTTTTTTTGACAGAGCTGTTCCAGTGATTTTTTATAGCATTGTCCGTCCTGTTGCCTCAGAAGACAAATATGCCACAATTTCATGTGTTTATGGACAATCACTAGAATAGAGAGAACCAAAAGTGCAAGGATCCGTCTCGAAACAAAAAATATAAAAAGAACTTAAAGAGTAAATAGAAGATATGTTCCCAAATTTAAGTAAAAGCAGTGGTGCTGCCTCCTTATCACTCCATTCAATAATAAAAAGGATTTTATATACCTTCCAGGCAAGAACTTCGTCAATTCGGCCCATCTGTTCCCATAAATTTGATGCGCACGTATTAGAGCCAACTCCTCTTCTTGAGTCCATGCTTCTTTGTTTATAGCGGGATTGAGATGATTATGCCACCTAAGAAGTTATAAATTATATTAGCCACTAAAAAGCACACCGCCCCACATATACGTCAAGACAAAGCCTGCAATATGATTTGCTATGTACAAAGAAACATGGATAAAGGAACTGTAGACACACATACTTTAATGACATACACAAAAGATGAGCCAACAAGCATACCTTTCTCGGCATTGCTTACCAATTCGTCCAGGTAAGTGCTGTGCAATAGTAGACCATTTTTTTGGCCCATATTTGTTCACCAAATCAATTATTATTTCGTCTTCCTGTTTGCATTGAGACTTGATAGGTTAGTTAATAATGAGATATCTTATCTGAAAAGTAGTACATACAATCCAAATAATATTTAACATTGGATAAAGCTCCACCATACAGATATAAAATCAGCATACAAAGTCGGTGGTATAGATCACCTCTTTAGACCATGGACCTTTGACCAGTTCAGGATTTAAGACTTTCTGCCACCTATGTAGACATTGTACATCTGTTCTATCCTTGAAACACTCCGCTATAAATAGATATAATTGCAATTAGAAACAGTTAATAAACACAATGGTGCAGAATGGAGACGCGTTGATTTACAAAAATGCTTAAAATAGTTAGACTGCACAGGAATGAACATACCAGAAATTCAAGAAGGAAAAAATGTGTTTAAACCGGCGGAATATTGGTTTGTTTTATTTCGATCCGCTGAGGTGAGATTTTTTTTTTTTTTTGCCAACTAGAATATACTTTTTAAATTAAGCAAAGAACACTGTCAAGAATAACTTAAAAAATGGATGCTGACAAACACACACTCATGGAATTAAGTCGTCAATGAATTCATCAATTAGTCATCGATACTAAAAGTATACCTATTTTCTTCCAATTCTTTCCTTTAAAGCGTTGTACGGCCTTCCTCAAGATCTCATCCTGCAAAAACCATGTCCGTCACAAACACTTTCTGGCATGTAAAATTTTTCAAGCATAACTGTGACTTGCCCCAGAAAGAAAAAGCACAATCGAAACAACTTGATCAAGCCATAGAAAGATGAAATATGCATGCATAGCAAGCGTTTTACCTCTTCCGGTGTCCATTGTCCTTTTGTAGAACGCCTGGTAGGGCCACTAGTCCGCCTGCAGTTTGAAAACTTTTGGTTAAATGAAAAGCGCTTAATGTCATTGTCGGTTCTCAATAGAAGCAAAAACTTAGTATGGTGACCCGAAAAAGGAAATGGCTTTTATTTATTCATCAATAAAGGCATACAAAGAATCGGCAAGGAATTCAAGGTTTTGCATCCTCGCTACCGTTCGCAAGACCCATAGTTTCAGCTTAATAAGGGAACTCGATTTTAACTAGTCATTAATAAAACATTTTCTCACTTAAGCAAATAACAGTTCCAAAAATAAACATGTCAAATAGTAGGGGTTAAAGGTGCTAGGCGCTAGTAAGAAATACCATCAACCAGGGTGCCCAACTAGCAACCTGTCTGCTACAGTAACCTCTTGTAGGTAAAACTTGAAAGAATCTCAATGGACAAAAGCATAAATGCATTGTAAATAAGCAATATCAGCAAAAGATAACACACACACACATAGGGACGAGTTTGGGCAATTACCCATGCAGGGCCCTAATTTTCTGAACACCGTCAGTGAGTCCATCTGATGGAGCTGGGGTTGTCTTGTCACCTTCCATAGTTTGTTGGAAGACAAGCAAAATAGCATACCCCAAATCCTACTTGAATGCAACTCGGTCCACAATTGGCACTCCAAATCATTATAATTACTCTAACAAGTCTCAGGCACAGGGTTCTGAAATGAGGCATAGGTGAACAGAGAGGAATTAGAAGGCTTTCTTCAACCAAAATAAAATCATAAATTTTTTAAGTGACAAGTCATAACTAATAATGCGGGAAAGGACAATAGATAAATGGGGAAAAAAAAATCTATTTCATCAATGAAGCACGAAATAATGATCCTAATACTTGGACCATGTTCACACCACAAGTCAGTATCCAGAGCCTCATTCTTTGCTCACCGTAATGATCACTTTAAATGAACTGACACCGTAACTCAGTCGCATAGTACATTCTAGGATCTCACTCCATACCATCGAGCACCAGGAATGTTTTGTCCATTTGGCAGAGCTGGGAACAAATCCCTTAAAATAGGATTGAGTGAAATTCAAGTTAAAGAATACATCAGCGAAATTCATATCGATATTTTCACTGCAATGTCGGATTCGGTGAGATTCAAATTGAAGTATCCGGTGCACATTATAGGCAGTAATCTGTTGGCATTATGCTCATTGTAATCAAGGCGAGCACAAATCAACACTAACCAAGTGCAAATACATTCAGTATGATATGCTGTGATATCTCAATTCTCTGTCGAAGCATGACCATGTCCAAGAAACAGTAATTTAGCGGTTTCAAACAAACGCAGGACCTTAAAATGTTATCAGCCCATAAATTTTCCGCACCAGGTCCCACTACCGCACCAACAAGAAGACTGAAATAAAAAATATAAGCATTCAAAGAAAAGTATTTCGCATAAAGAACCATAAGCTGAGATTCTCCATTTCTAAGACTTCCGATTTGAATTGCTGCCTCATCTAAGATCGAAGAAAGGATTCATCACTGATTCGAATTGCAACCTCAACTAAGATGGAAGAAAGGACTCATAACTGATTCAGCTAATTAGATCATTCAAATTCAAATTTACGATATTCAAAGAGTCCTCGGTGAAGTAGCTACCTGTCAATAAGGAGAAGCAAAATGCAAATTAACTACACAAAGTTAAAGACACTCACCGATCTGAGCTTCAGATAAGATGCCAGAATAACATATAAACGATGAAACGACCGAAATGGTGGGCATTTGTAGATCCAGTAAGTACTAAGGAAGACCTACAAATGAAGAGCGATAAGTAAACTGGAGGGTGAGTGAGTAAGACGATCCGGAGCTCTCTATTCAAAGTTCAAACACAAAGGGGCGGACTCAGAAGTTTCAAACCCTATGGTTAAAGGTCGAACACTTCGGCGTATGGACGGTGAGGATACTGACACCTAAGAATTGAGCTGTACTGGTTCTAAACTCTTCTGCCGTCATTTTCAAAGTTCAACGGGAAATTTACTTTTGTCTTCGGTTGTGAGTGGGGCGTGTATAACGTCTTGGGGAAGAAAAAAGGAAGTCTTCAGTTACTATTTATTAAGGGGGGTGAAATCTCTTCAATTATATTCCATTCTCATCCAAATTATAAGATAAAGTTAATTATTTAGAAAAGTAGTAATTTTTTTAAAAAAAATTAATGTTTACAATAAAGTATTATACTAAAATTAAAAGCATCCCAAAATTTTGTTACAAAAGTATAGCCAGTAATATGAATTAATCCGCTGGTTATGAGCTGGTATTTTACTGACTTTTTTTTTAATTTTTTTTACATTTTTTTAATAAAATCTATTCCAACTTCTAAATACTTAAAATGAAACATTAAAAAGAAATTATAATAAATAAAACATGAAATACAAAATTTTAAATATCCCAATATTAAACATACATAATACATCATCCTAAATTATTAAACATACATCTCAAATTAAAACATAAAAAATCCAAATCAACAATAACGCAAACACAATATCACAAATCACTCTTAAATGTACAACCATCAATCATCATTCAATATTAATATAATTCAAAGGATGATCTGAAAATGTGAAATTATTTGGTTGAACTTGAGAATTAGAACCACTTTTCTTTTGCTGAGCTTACCACAAATAAAATTCATAATATAAAATAAAAATATATATTATATTATGATAATTTTACATAATGACAACGAGGTAAAAGACTAAAAAGGTAAATATATTTACACTTGAAGGGAGAAAAAGATTAAAATAAAATAAAACAGGTTGGCTTGCTAAACTCAAAAGATCTGTTTTAAAGTTGATTTTGGTGTTCCTTTGCTTCTGTTCTTGTTTTTTATAGGTTGCATTCTAGGTTTTTGTTTTGCTTTCTTTCTTTTTTTGGTTTCGGCTATTGGTGGCTTGTAACTTGTTTTTTGGTTATTAATAAAATGAACTACTGTTTTCTGGTATAAAAAAAAAAAGTTGATTTGGTCATTGTGGAGTATTTCTTTTGGATGTATGTTGAAGAAATTAAACCCTGGAATTTGGATAAATGTGCTCTCATGAGACAAGATTTTATTTATATTATCATTACTTAAAAATAATAATTATTTTTTATTTTTTTATTCTGTGGCACAACAACATTTTGAACTACAAATTAATTTTTTAAAATCATATACTGTGATAAATTTATCTTCAGTGTTTAAGCATTTGATTAATCTCGGTAATGTATTGTCACACTACCCATGTAAATTTATGAATTTGAACATATGGATTGTACTTGAACATAATTTTTGGTGATTATTTCCCCCGAAGCTCTTATGTTTATCAAAGCTATCTCAAAAAACAAGTTATTCAAACTGACTTTTGAAAGCCAAGGTTACTTTTAAAGAGGCACACCATGATTTTAAACATGCTCTAACTTACTCTTCCCAGTTTATAATATAACATATATTAGTTAAATTTTTTCACAAACTACTCCTCTAATCTTCAATATAAGACCTAATTATTGAGTTAATTTTTGTTCTAAATATAAAACTTATTTCTTATATTTGTTAATTTTTCCTAAAGGATACTACCTTAATTATTATCAAGTAGAAGAGAGAGAAGAGATATTAAGGAAGATAAATATAGTGTTTTAGGGTATGTTTGGTATGAGGGATTTAGAGGGAGGAGAGGGAAGGAAAGGAATTTTAATCATTTCTCCTTATTTGATAACACACAAATTTTAGAAGAGAAAAAAAATTTTCCCTCCCCTCTCCTTCTAAATCTCCCTTCCAAAATTGGGAGGATTTGGAGGAAAAAAGCAATATTTTGCCATATTGTGATCATTATGCCCATATTTTGTCATGTTGTGACTATTATATCTATATTTTGTCATGTTATGACCATTATACCCATATTTGAAATAAAGTAAGAGTAAAATTGTCCACATTAAGATATTTTTCCCTCCCTTCTCCTCTTTTTTTTTTTATAAATTCAAATAAGATAATATTAAAATTCTTCCGCTCTCCTCTCCTTCCCTTCCCTCCATTAAAATCCCTCCCCTCCCCTTTCTCTCATTGAGCCAAACATACCCTTAGAAAAAACATGTCATATTTCTTATGATTAACTAACTTACCTAATTTTCTTAATATAATCAAATTAATTAAATAGATCTTATATTAAGGACCAGAGGAGTAATAAATATTAGTTAAATGATCAAATATATGTTAAATTGATAAAATATTATACCTATTTTACCTTCATTAAAAAATGATTGGAAATTTTTTCAAAAGGAAAAAGATAAAAGTGTAAAATTATCATTAAGTGTCACCTTCTTATACCATGGACCCAAATTTCTTACAGAAAACTTCTTATATTTTGGACGACAAAGCGAAGTGCGCCACAACAATGAACAATGAACAATGAATCCCATTTCTTTCCCTTTCATTCCAACAGCCAAGCCCCCAAAAACCAAATTAAAGTTCGCGTTTGGTTTCAAAGTTGACAAACACCAAAACTAAATCGATGCACCTGAATATACAAATAAATAAACAATAATAATGACAGGACAAGAGGTTCAAACCACAGAAAAATCTGAATCATGTTGAGTCTTCTCATTACGGAAGTTACAGATTAGGAAAATCATAAACCGACAAGCAAGATTATTTTCTTTTACGCCACGAATGATGTCTGATTGCTGTATAAGCAAAGGCCAAAAAATTTCAAAAAAATTACATACTATATATATATATATATATATGTATATATATCATTACAAGAATTGGAAACTCGACCGGGGGCTGTCGCTATGACTATAAACAAGCAGCTATCTACATCCCTTCAACAAATACGACGAAGGGCTTGAGAAGGTCTGAGCAGAGCCTTTGCTGCTGCCCTCCTTCCCTGGTGTTTTACACTCACTGAAATCAAGCATGCGTCGCTCTACCTGCAAACAAATTCCATTAACCCAGGTTTAGACGATGCAAAAATCCTTCAACCAATTAAAACAGAAAAGAAAAATGCGTGCATATATTGTGTGCCGGGAAAGTTTTCAGTTGCCAGGGTGTATTCTCCATTTCTACCACAGTGATAAGGACGCGAAAACTGAATTTTTCAATTCCCTGTTGACCTCTCAGTATATTCTTTTCCCATTTTCCCAATTTATTTCCGTCTTCGTTAAACAGGGGACCAGGGCTGGAGGCAATCAGAAAGTCAGGTAGTCAAGCTTACCAAAGCCATTCGGGGGACCTGAGAACGATTCACGAGCTGATCAAAATTATCCTTGCTTTCCCGGTCCGATTCCGTGACATTTCCGGATGAATCTTTTGCTTTGGGAGTTACACTCTCCAAAATCTCCTGAGCATTAGCATACGCAGCAGCAGTTTGTTCCTTCACCTCTTTCATCAACCCAATCGCATCATAGCTCCTATCGCTGGGGCTCATGAAATACCCAAAATCCTGTAAACACGTTTGGAGTGTTAGTGTGGAAAAATTACCATAAACTCAGACACCCGACGGTACTTGACGTACCTCGATTGTTATTTCAGCATTAAGTCTGGGGCTAGGCAAGAAAGTGTTCATGAACCAGGGAGACTTCCATGCAGAAGGTGATTCAATGCTTCTTCTAAAAGGTGTTCCGCCAAATCTGGTAGCAAACATATACAGTTAGGTTTCTTGCTGAAATTACTCAGGACTCGGCACTATTCAACAATCAGCCAATACCCAAAAAAAAAAACAAAGGAGAAATGGAAATAATCAGCGATAATAGTTAAAAAAAAAAAAAGATAACAAAGTAATTAAATGAATGTTACATGCTAAAAGGGTCAAAACCAGCATCATGTCCAGGATGATCACCAAGAGTCTCGGCAGGTACTGATGAACAAAGAGATGATGCACAAGTAACCGAAAATGAAGAAACGTCATGATTTTTTACACGACCAGAAGGGGAGCTATCGCTTGAGCATGGATTTGAAGAAATGCTCTTATTTAAAGATGCTTCCAAACCTCTGTCGTTCAGGTTTTTGGGAGTTTTAGCACTTGAACATTGAGTTCTGTCCGGTTTAAAACACATTTGATTAGGAGAATATAGTAGCAAATCATTTATATCATGTTCAGCTAAGACTCCAGAAGGTTGTCGCACCTGATAAAGGTAAAGAAAAGAGAGAAAAGTAAGCATATCGGCAAACTGCGAACGTCATTTATTTACTTCAAGAAAAAGGTCATGAACACTACTTACATTCTCAGCAGCCCTATCAACGTCACAATCAACCTTCACCTTCGAATCATCGTAAGAAGGTCGCTGGAAATCCTGAGGATCGCTGTCAGCTGTCTCTTTTTCTGACCTTTTGTTGCTTAGTGTAGATTCATTTCTTCCCTCTGCATGTTCTCCTTTCAAAGATTGTCCATGATTTTCGGTATCCTCAACAGTTGCTCCATATTTCTCTTTCTCCATTAAAGGCTGAGAAATCATATCTGCTTCCTGAGTCTCATTATCATCAAACATGACTTCCAAACGTGAAAAATGCGTAGCCAACGTGGACGTCAAGTCAGTTTCAAGTTTCTTGTCGATTCTCTTATCCGATAGAGGCGACAACAAGTCTCGGTGTCGTTTCTTTAATATGGACGGTGTACCTGTGAAACTTTTAGCAGCACTTTTCAACAAAGCATCGGGGCTATCATCACGACAAGGTGACTCCCACAGCCTCAGGGGAGTTGGACAGTTCATAGATGACATCATAAGCCGGCGGATACCCAGTGGACTAAATTCTTGTTGCATATCCCCTCCTGATTGTATAAGATCACAGCTTAAGAAAGGAATATCCAAACTTGGGAATCGAGGCGGTTCATAGCATAGAGCTCCGGTCTCTAATTGTTCTAATTGCACATCTGTCCTTTCTTCCATTGGACAAAAAGTGCGTTTGGCATCTGATGCGCTGCAAAATGTATTTACAGGCACCAATCTTGAAGCATCATTCACAGTATCTTGTCCCTTGTGTATTTCTCCACTATTTATAGCATCCGTACAGGGAGCAATGGATGAGTTGTTAATATAAATGAAGCTATCCTGAGCTCTGGAGACGAATGGCAGATCATCAACTCCAAATAGATGGTTGGCTTCAGCTGTATACACTAATCTACCGTCATTAGCAGAAAGCACCGGACATTGAGAGCATGAAGATCCTATTAAATCATTAGATTTTACGGGACAAGTCTGGAATGAAGTCGAGGTGCCGCCCGTCTCAGGTATATGGAGGTCAGATGATTGGCCAAATAATGAAATGCATCCGGATGAAACTGTATTAACATTTTGGTTATAATCTTCCGAAGAAAAGCACCCATCATTTATTGCCTCTGAATATAGGACTCTATAACATTCTTCATTAGATAATAACAAGTGGTCTTGCTTCGCAGGATCCATAGACGGGGGTCCCATGGATGTTGAAATACCTGATCCCACTGACGTATGCAATGGAACACTTGCAATATTATGGCTTTCAACGCAATCCGCGCTGTCCCTTCGCAGAAGTGAACATTCTTGATCCAAGTCTGATGAAGAAATGTTAGGGACGGCATGAAAAGTAAACTGAGCATCCCTGCTTGCAGAATTTCCAGGATCATGTGAGTATGTTTGCTCAATGAAATCAGAACAAGAAGCATCTTCATGAGCAACGTCCGGAATGGATATTGTGACGTCATCCAGAGATATGCAATATGGCTCTAGACAAGATGCCTGACTAGGACTGTGCTCCTTTCCCAGACTGATATCTTCACCTGGCTTTAGTTCCTCTGTAGTATTTAATACAACATTGGTCATATCTCTAGCAGATGGGAAGCAACTAACATTGGCTGACTCTTGGCTACACTCAGAAACTTCCTCTCCTTCAGGGCCCTTATAACCATTATCATCTCCGCTACACTGCCGCCTCAAAGAGGTAGAAACTACCGGTTGATTTGACTGTCCAACAAGGGGTACATCTTGGAATTGAGCAAGCAAACCTGATGCCAAGTATGAATCCAATTTCTTTTTTACTGAGCTGTTCCAGTGATTTTTTATAGCATTGTCCGTCCTGTTGCCTCACAAGACAAGTAAGCCACAACGTCAGATGCTAATGAGCGATCAGCACAAACAAAGAAAAAAAAACTAGAAAATTTTTTATGACATCAGATATATAACAAAAAAAAAGAGAAAAAACTATCGCAAATTGAAGAGTCTGGCCACTTGCCTTCTTCTCACTGGCGTCAGAACAAAATAAACAAGGAAAGGAAACTATGTACCTTCCAGGCAAGAACTTTGTCAATTCTGCCCATCTGTTCCCATAAATCTGATGAGCACGTACTAGAGCCAGCTCCTCTTCATAAGTCCACGCTTCCTTGTTTATAGCAGGATTAAGATGATTATGCCACCTGAAAAGTTGCATTAAATTAAATTAGCCAAAACGAAGTACATCACTTCAACAATACTTCAGGCAATGAAGATAAAGCCTGTGTTTACTGTGATCTATGTATTAGACCATAAACATAAAGGAAATACAAATTAATTTTAAAAAAAAAATTCTAGACACAAGCTGGAAGTGAAGTTCAAAAAGAGCACCTTTCTCGGCATTGTTTACCGATGCGTCCAGGTAGGTGCCGTGCGATGGTTGACCACTTTTTTGGCCCATATTTATTCACTAAATCAATTATGATTTCATCTTCCTGCTTGCATTCAAGATTAGAAAAGTAAGAACGTGTTTTATCCAGAAATGAAGTCTATAAAATGCCGAACATCAGCGATAAATCCACTATGAGAGATAAAACCAACAGAAGCAAGAAATTGGATACACACACACACACACAAATATTACCTCTTTGGACCATGGACCTTTGACCAGTTCAGGATTCAAGACTTTTTGCCACCTATGAAGGCATTGTACATCTGTTCTATCCTTAAAGCATTCCGCTATAACAGAGAAAAATCTGACAATTAGAAGTAGTAACTTAACCAAAATGATGCAAAATGAATTGTTTGATTACATCTAAAAAATACTTGAGATGGTCAGATAGTCCACAAAGTAAACATCCTAGAAGGCAGCCCAAGCAGGCTGAAGTAATTTCACAGATAGGGAGACTACTAAATTGGTTTCAGTGAGCTTGACAAAAGAACTACTTTTGCAGCTGGAAATTCAAAAGGGAAAAATAGACTATTACGCCAACAGCACATAAGATTATATTACTGACATTTACGCCAATGAAACTATTTTTGTCAAATTCAAGGAAAGTACCCTTTCACTTATATAACTTGCTGGGAAACGATCGAACAAAAGACACGCTAAAGCCCGTACTGGATGCTAGTGAAAAAAAGCCATGGGTAACTTAATTAAGATATTCTCATTGATACTGAAATGATACCTATTTTTTTCCAGTTCTTTCCTTTAAAACGCTGAACAGCCATCCGCAAAATCTCATCCTACAGAAACAAATAATATAGTCATACATTTTTTTTTGGTATATTCTCAACAATTCACTATCTTGTTCAAAAAAAGAAAAACAGGATAAAGGTAAAATCCTAAATGCCTGTGTTGATAAATTAATATCAAGAGAGTAAGTTGGAGTAACTGAAATTAAAAACAAACACGTGCTTGTGTCTGCGCGGGCAAAAGAAAACAGTAAATATGAAGTATGTAAGAGCATTCATAAATTTCACCTCTTCAGGCGTCCACTGTCCTTTGGTAGAACGCCTTGTAGGGCCAGTAGTCCGCCTACAGAGAGAAATCTTTTAGTCGGGCAGTTATCCGGGGGGGAACACACGTGAATGTTACTGATACGACATATAGGGAATATCCAGATAGAGCAAACAAGAAATAGATAGGCTAATTTTCTAGGAATTACCCATGCAGTGCTCTTATTTTCTGGGCACCATCACTGAGCCCGTCGGATGAAGCATGAGTTGTCCTGTCACTTTCCATAGTTTGTTGTTAAACAAGTAAAATAGTATACCCCAATTCCGACTTGAATGCAATTCTGTCCACAATTGGCACTCCAAATCATAATTTAAAGAAGTCCCTGGGCACAAAGTTCTGAGACAAGGCAGTGGTAAAAAGAGGGTAGCGTGAGATTCTTTTCAAAAAAAAGAACGTTGAAATGGGCAAAAGATTGATCCCAACACTCGGACCATACCACAAAGGCACAAATCAACATCTGCTATCACATTCCTAGTTCGCACAATCATCTAGGGAGGTACTAGAATCGCACAGTTGTCATCTAACACCAAGTGTTTCATTCATTAGGCAGAGAATAGGGAACAAGCCCATCCCAGTTCCTATTAAAATGTATGCGCGTGTATGTGATGTATCGTCATATCAAGGCGTGCAAAACTCATTTAAACTATTACAGTCAGTAATATACCAACATGTTAATCTTAAGATTTAGCGGTTTCAAACAAACGCAAGACCTGAAAAGCGTGTGCGGCAAGTTGTGCGCTCCTCCCCTTGCTCCATCACACAACGAATAACAGAAAAAACAAAATAATGGAATATAAGTATTCGGTTTCCAAAAACACAAAAGCTGGGGTTCTTCATTTCTAAGAATTTGAAGATGGAACCAAGGATTTCCAGCACTCACTTGTCTAAATTGTAAAAGTACAAAACAAAGAGCCCAATTGACATTCCAATTGTTTCTTGATAAATTAGTCCAATTATTCACAGAGGAAAAAGCAAATTAAATTCATGAATAATGAGGAAGACTCACCGAACTGAGCTTTAGGATGTGAACGGTCGAAGAGCCCCAGTAAATGAGAAACAAAGAAACGAACGAAGTTATGCATACGGATTCGAAGATCCAAACAATTGCAAGAAGGATCTGCAAATGAACAGTGATGAGCAGCGTTGGGAGGGAGAAAGAGCGACGATGGGAGGGTGAGTTAGATGATCCGAAGCTCTCTCTATTCAAACATGGAGAGGCGGACTCTAATTTCAAAAGCCAAGATTAAAAAGTGGAACGGGAACGTGTTGGGATATGGACGGTGAAGATGTTGACACGTTGGTTCGGGGCCCTGCCAGTTCTAAACGTTGATGCCGTATTTTTCAAATGTTCAACGGCCAACTTCTATGTTTTTTTTTTTTGGGCCAGAACTTTCATGATTTTATTTTTTTGCCAGCTTCATGATCTTTTTTTTGAGTAGGATATGATCGCTGCCTCAGGGTATCCCAGCACAACGTGCCAGACTAATCCCAGGGTGCCTCGCAGGTATCGAGCCTAGGACCTGGCGGGTACGCGGCGCCTTGCCTTCCCCTTATCAACCAGTCGGACCCGACCCTTGCAGGCAGCTTCATGATCTTTTAAATATTCATTTTTTCGCAGAACATTTCTGTTCTAAGGCTCTTTTGTTTTTTTTTCCTTTCGGAATCTTTGGATATGGAAAATCAAAAGAAATGACCGAACCGACAAGGAAAAAAAACAGGAGAGAGCTCTTTTTGTTTTTGGGGGGCCGAAGTTGAGGCTCCACTAATTCAAGAATTTTTTTTTCTACTCTTCACGCCAATATGAAATAGGCAAAATTAGTTTTAAAACCAATATATTTATATATAAGATAAAAAGTTGGCTATCTTTTGAACCCTACACAAAGCGCGTATTAGTTTTATTTACACCAATAAATTTTATTAAATAAAACTGAATAGTTGCTTTACAAAATAATATAGCATGTTGAGGAGTACATGGATGAAACTAATTTTGTCGAAGTCATTTAATACTTGGCACCTCTTAAATTTTTATTTAATTGTAAGGTTACATGTTCAACTGCTTGTGAAGAAAATAATATATATATATATATATATTCTCATGAGAATGAGATTGAGGCACCGTTTGAATGTACTTGCAAATCATGGTTTAGAAGCCCAAACCATGATTTGCACAAAATGCTATCCAAACACCCCTCTCAAAAACTAAAACCATGGTTCATGGTTTGGCCCAAAACCACGGTTTTGGAAAAAGCAAAAAAATTTTGCTTTTGGAGAAAAAAGAGAGAGTGTGAGAGCCTATAGGATATGTATCTTGTTATTTTTTTATAAACATATTTAATCTTATATTTTATAAATATATATACATATTAATTATTTATTAATTATATTATCTTATGTATTATTAATTATGTTAATAAAAAATATATTATTAACAATTTTATTTCTCTAAATTAAAATATATCATAAAATCTATTTTTTCTGTAATTATCATATTAACTTATTTCTTTTTTTTAGTAATTTGTATATATAAAAAGTGCTTCTGATAACAACTATCCAAACACTCTCACTTCTCAAAATCACTTTTTCATAAAATCTATTCTTCCCAGAATCTATTATCGAGAATCACTTTTTCAAACCACGGTTTGGTTTCATCCAAATACACCCTGAATTTCAGGAGATGCCTTGTATCTTGCTATAAGGGTGGTAAGGATTAAAATGTGAAACTATCTTCACTTTCCCATGCCCATACAAAATAAGGCACATCATAAATAAATTTAAAAAATCATGCACTGAAAACAGTACACCTTATAAATTCTATTAAAAAAGTGTTTAGATAGAGTCAAAACTATAGTTAAAAATACTTTTATGATGTACAAAATAAATATGTAGAAAAATTTACCTTATTTTGCAGAAAAATGCTTCTAAAAAACAATTTTGGATGCTTTCAAACACCCCCTAAATGTCATTGTTTCAAAATAAATAGTCACATGAAACAAAATACAATACTCCATTAATATTAGTCCTACTTATAAGACATATTTTATATATTTATTAATTTTTTTTAAATTAACCATACTAATATTTCACAACAATAATAATCAAATAGAATTACAAAAAAACTTAAAAGTGCTTTAAAAAAATATCACATTAACTAATTTACCTAATATTCTTAATCTACTCAGATTAGTTAATTAGATCTTATATTAAATGATGTCAAAATGACACATAAATTACATTCACTATATATTCTAAAGGAAATTTTTATTAAATGAAAGTACTATTTCTGGTCCTACTTATAAGAGCTAGTTGACTAATTTGAAAAGATTAAAGAAAGAAGTTAAATTAGTTATTTGTAATAAATAGATGTTGTCTTTCCTAAAATGTTCTTACTAAACAAGTGTATTAATTAAAACTATCATTGTTAGAAAGACTATCTTGAAAAAAATACATAAATATAAAACAAAATGAATTGAAATCTTATATTTAAGACCAAATTACAAGTCAAACAAAGTCTTATATTAAGGTCCAGAGGTAGTACAAAAAAACAAATCAGTTCATACATAAAACAGATAATATTTATTTAATATATATGAGCTATAAAAAAATACTGTATTATCGATGATTAGTAATAAAATTATCAGTAACGTGCCTCAAGTTAGACTCTGCAATAGAAAGAAAACATACCAAATTTAAAAAACATCTCTAATTGAATATTAAAGAAAATCTAAGAAAAGGTACGGTCCGCATATAATAAAATTGCACGGCAAAATTGCAACTGGGAGCTAAATTAACGTAGTAAAACTAACAGTTAAATACAGGGAAATACATCAAGCAACCAGGCAAATTAAAACGACATCTTAAATAGTACGAAGTTTAGGCGGCCCTAACTCTCTGCGCTTTATTTGGGCGACCCATTGCGGATTCCTTATCTCTAGAACGGGCGTGTTTCCCCGCTCTACCGTGCCTTCCTCCTCCCCTGAGAAGAAATGATACACTTTAATATTTTTCAATTTTTCACAAGAAAATCTAAGAAAACAGAAGAGGAAAACAGCTTATTCATATGAAATCCAAGACACTGGTTAGGACACCCACTTACCTTCCTCGGGTGTTCTTATTGTCTCGGTGCTCTTTTTGATTACCACGGAGAAGGCTCCAGTATTCCCTTTCAGCATCGCCTGTGGAAGCATCAAACAAATAGATCTCAGCTTGGTTGTTAAGTTTGTAAACCGAAAAAAAGGGGTAAATCACGGGTTAGGGGAATAATTAAACGTGAAACTACCAGACACTGGGTCTAGAGTAGCAATAAAATTCTTCACAACCAAACCCCCCCTATCAGCAAGAACTGCAGCTGCACGAGCTTTTTGAGCAGCTTCAGGTTCTTCAAACCGGATGTATCCTGAATCTGCTCCAATCTTGAAATCAACGTACTGAATGGCCAGACAAGAATACCAGATTAATAGACCAGTCTCAATTCAAATCTTGAAGATGAATCATTTGTGGAATAATTTTACACATGCTCAATATATTTTCATCCAATCAAATCAGAACACGTGGATTCTAAAAGATTAATAACGAGAATTTGTTATAGAATAAATAATATACATAAAAAATACGCATCTTGATTTGATTGGAAACAAGCACATTAAGCGTATAAGGCTAAGTATATAAGTTTTTTCCCATCACTTATTTAGGAGCAGAACCTGCGTAGACAGTTATGAACTGTCATTCGAACTAATGATGCCATAAATCTTCCCAAACAATTTGAAGAGAAACCAGAAGTACCTTCACAGAACCAAACTTCTCAAAGACACCCTTCAAATCCTCACGTAGCACAACATCCATGTTGTCCTTGTAAGCAGTGGCCGGAACTTTTACTTCACTTTCTTGAATCTTTTCTTCACCTTTAGCTTCATTTCCTTCACTGACCTCTTGGTGTTCTTTATCATTGCCCATATCATCTGACACTTTTTGTTCATTAACCTCAACAACACCTTCTGAGGGATTTTGTTCATCTTTGTCAGAGACACTACTGTTGCCATTGGCTCCTTGATGAGCACCATTTTGTCCCAGAGGAACATCATCTGAAATGCGCTTGAGCTTGAAGGAAATAATTAAGCCCTTGGGGTAGCTGCAATCAACATGAATGAATACAAACAGCTTAGGAATCATTTAATTTACTAGGGATCAGGAGGGTTAGATGAAATTGACAACTTCTTACCCTCCATCAGCATTTGGGTTATTCTGGTGATTTGAACCCATATGTGCACCAGATTTTTCATACTCTTCTAATTCCTTTTCTCTCTCTGCATCGAAGTCTTTCCTGAATCAGATATGATCAACATCAAACAAGCATCAATAGATGCTTCACGTTAATGCATCCGTCTCATACTGTGAGCTACATCACATATGATAGACACCCTTCAACATGGAATAGCAAAAGCATCATTGACTCAAACTCAACTTTCAAAACAAGTTTTTCCTCCTTCACAGACATGGAATTCGCACTCCCATCTCAGAACCTAATTTCATTTCATACTGTTATTGTTAACAAGAGGAGTTAACAGAAAATTTGGTCGCCTACATCCCATACTTCTATTTCAAAGATAGTTCCAATGTAAGGGGAATTTAAGAAATGCAAAAGGGGAAACAGAGGAAGTTTTGTATTCATTCATTCAAAGTAATGGTATAGAACAGCTATTGGCTTTCTTACTTTAACTTCAACTCTAACTCAGCTCCTGCATAGACCAATTTTTGGCCCAGAACTTTCCCGACATCTTGTTCTGCTGCAAACTCAATAAGAGCAGTGCCACAGAAGAACCTTTTGTCACCAACATGACGAGGAAGCCTGACGCTATTAACCTGAAATAAGAAAAGCAACAGGTTCTTATGTTTTTGATTATGGAAATGATGTTACGTATCAAATCTATCTATGCATGTATGTATATTACTTTGTCGTACAGTCTGCCAAAGAGTTTGTCATAAAATAATGGTGGCAGCAGCAGCAGCGGAAACAACAATAGCAATAATCTGACATATTTAAAGACTAACATTAAATGAATACACACTGGATTTTTAACCAGCATTCAAAGTATTCTCTTAAATCCTCGACAAGGGACTTAATCAACTTCATTATGCTCATTTTGCACGCCAGCTTACCCAAGCTATGCATCAGAAATCATGATAAGCAGAAGGAATATGTTTTATAGCTTAAGTGCAGGAATCTAAGTAATCTAGATGCTGTTGTAACCTTGGCAGATTGACCAAAGAATGCCTCTATATCTTCTCGCTTCACATCATATTCAAATGGTGATGCAGCTATTGTTCTGATGTCCACCTGCTCAATTACCTCTTCTGGTTTCAGAAGTTCGGTTGTCCGGCCAACTTTTTTCCCTGAAACATGAAAGTAGAATAAATAGATCGACAGGAAAGAGATTACTCAAAATAGATTTAGCAACAGCAGCGCACTTCCATGGAGTACCCTGAACGCCCTCCCCAAAAAGGAGAAATCATCTAGAGTGGTGCAGAACAAACAGAGAGAGGTGTGATTTATTTGCTCATCTCATGACCGTAAGAAATAAAGGAGAAAGAAAACCAATAATGTTTTGCAGCTTTTAGTAACAAATAAGGGCAGCTGCAATCTGATGCCTTAAAGTAGCAAGAATAGCGATCTCAATCAAGTAAGCCAAGCACCTCCATCAAGTTCGTGTCAACAGGTATCGTATTAATCAAGATTCTTCACTTACAGGAGAAAAGCAAAAACAATACAAACATCAATGAACACAAAGTTCACCAGAACTCACCATCCTCGGAGATCTTAAGTGATTCTGATTTCCTCAAAGTTTCAGCAACAGCTTTCACAGTATCTCCGGGGACTTCATCCGGCTTTACATCGTCCAGATTAAGATGTTTTCTCATCCGAGTAAAAGAACAAATCAAAGCCAAACTAACCACTTTTTAATCAGAGTCAAGACGAACAATGAAAAACGGAAATCCATTCAGACACCCACAGGTAAATTGCAGCATCAAATGTCAATCCTCAACTACGTTTGGGCCAAAAAAACAAAAATAACATATGCGATTACGTTGCCGGCAAAATAACCAATAGGCAACTAACTTGGGGTCATAGGTCATGGTTCAGAACTACGCAGAAAAGAGCAACAATAACAGGCAACAAGCACGATAATCGAATAGAAACAAGGATACTGCCATCTTCACTTTCGCCTATACATTTTTTGAGAAAATTGTCCCTGGGAAGGTTGCTGTCACTGAAGTAGAACTCAACCTAAACACAACGGTGTAGGCGCAAATTACGACGAAAAAAAGAACTAGGATGATGATAGTTCGCCAAGAATGAATTGAATAAGTGTAAAGGTGAAGTATATTGCGTACTTGTCGTATCACTTTCTGAGCGGCTTCTTCGTCCAACGAGGGGGTCGCCATTGCTGTTCGGATGAGGGTAGAAAGAGTAATCAAAGGAGCGGTGAAGAGGCGATTGCTTCTGTATGATTAGGGTTTCTGAGGGTTTACGCGTCCTTTGCAGCTGTTTTAAAACAGGAGTTTTTTGTAAACTAAAATAGGCTTACGAGTCCACCCGCGACTGCAATCCGCGCGCGCCCCGTTCCTCGCCCCGCCTTAACGTGGCATCGTGGCATCGTGCCGCAAACGGAATTCTCGAAAACAAAGAGAAATTACCAAGTTAGACATGACATTGTTTTGACCGAAGTCAGATAAGAGTCTTTGGCCCAAAGAAAAAAAAAGAAGAAGAAGAAGGCAGATAAGAGCCTTTGGCCAAAAACATTAAAAAAAAAAAAGTCAGATGAGAGTCATGCTCATAAGACATCTAATCTGTATCTTCTGACTTTCTGTCAATCGTATGTTAATTAAACTAGTATTCTGGTTGGGGAAAAAATAAAATATTCTGATTACTACCATTATTTTCATTTGGACTAAATTGTATATTATTCTCCTAAATTGTGAGTTATGTATGTAATTTCTTTAATTTTTAAAACTTCACAATAAATTCTTAACTTTTAATACTTATGCAAATAACTGCTGCAATTAATTAGTTTGTTATTTCACTGAGATGATATAATATTTCAATTAAGTTTACCCGCACAGCACATAATTCAAAGTTAAAGATAGTTATCGGCTCCCAAAAAAAAAAAACAGTTAAAGAGATTTATTATCAATAATATAGTACTGTCTTGGGTCCTTAATATAAAAGTTAATTGACTAATTTTAATAAATTAAAAAAACTAGTTAAATTAGTTATTTGTAATAAATAGATGTCGTCTTTCTTTTAAAAAAATTCATTATTAATCAAGTGTATTGGCTAGAACTATTATTATTCCAAGGACTAAGTTGAGAAAAAAATAGATAAATATAAAAAACAAAGTGGATTGAGATCTTATATTTATGACCAAAATAAAAATCAAACAAGTTTTTATATTAAAAAAAATAGTATATTCTTGATAAAATAGTAGGATAATTAGATGGCAAAAAAGGTAGAATAATTAATCTTGTAGAAGTTATCTGTACAAAATTAAAAGTTTAGGGATTCCTTATCATGTTTTAGAAATCAAGGGGATACAATTTATGTAAAGATTAAAATTTAAGGAAGCTTCATATGATTTAGCATTTTATTTTTATTTTTTAAATTAACTATCCTTTTTATTGGCTCAAATTAATGACTTCCTATTGAAAGGAATTCCGTTTAAGGTACCATTAAATATTAAATGTGAGCTTACTTACATTATGCCGTGAGTGTGAAAATGAGCCAACATGTATATATACCTCTTTTTCCATCACGTTTATTACCTATTGCCGATAAATATGGAGCTCAACCCCAGGCCTATATCAGGGTTTTAAAAAATGGAAAAACGGGCCTCTCTATCCTCTCACATGTCCTCTTATTATCGCTTTCTCATCTGCAGTCGGCTTGAATTATATTGTTCACCTGCGTCCAGACCCTTGCTTATTTTCCCAGCTTCTTCTGTCATCCTTCCTTCTTTCTTGGTAATCATCTATTATAAAGGCAGCTACTGATCAAGCGGTGGTCAGCAAAGATTTGTTTGGAGCTTCTTAGTTTTTCTGAGGTTTTGCGTAAGAGTTAACAATGCCCCGACCAACGTGTGCTTTTAAAACCATCCTCTTAACTTGACATCCCTGGTTTTAGTGATATTATGTCCCCTTCTTAACATAACGGCGGTTAGTTGGAGTGATTCTAAATATAATACCTTAATATACTCTATTTTTTATCTTTTCTTAAAATATTTTTATTGATTGCAAAAAATTTCTAATAGAAGATAATTCTAATTACCCAATGCACATGATTAAAAAAAATAGTTTAAAGAGATTAACATACATTTGTGATAAATAACCTTGTAATAACTAACTAATTTAACTAATTTTTTTAATATTTTAAATAAAATATCTAATTTTTATATTAATAATTAGAATTTTAGTAATATTAGTTTGGAAAGGAGAAAAAAAGAGAGCAACATTTTCAAGTCAAACAAAAAGTTGAAACACGGAGAGAGAAAAGTTTCATGTCAACTGGACTTCTCCTGCCAAGACCTCTCTTGTTTGATTAGACGCTGGGGATTGATGGATTATACAAGAGTAATTAATCATCAAACATTTCTTGTTCCCCATCGATTATTGTTATTTGTTGTTACACTTTTACTGCTATTTAATCTACTTTTCTTTTCTCTCCTGTAATCTACATTTTACTAATGATATATTTGGTTCTTTCTATATTGCTTGTGATATCTAGAATAAAATCACAGCATCATATCTGTAATATGTTAAGTTGTTAACTTCTTCACTTTGAACCATAAAAGAGTCTTCATTAAAAATAAATTAAAGAGACTTGGTACTCCTTACATATCTGAATGACCCAGAAAGCTGGTGGTATTCTTTGCTTTTCCTTTCCCTTCCAATCGTGAAGTATCTTCTGTAACGTAATTAAGGAATGCTCGCACAATTTGCTAAAGGAGCATCTGATGATTTAATTTATGTTGTTTGACTGGAAATTAATAAACTTACAAAAACATAAATAAACTTACAGACAAGCACAACAGAGACCATTGCAATAAATTATGGCTACTAAAGTTTGGTTTCTAACTTGGACAGGGACAACTTAGAAACCCTTTACCTAAGCAGGGTTAACCAGGCGAAATTTCTTTCCATCAATGGGTATAAAAACTATTAACCATATCCATCATTTTTTTTTTTTTTCATTTCTTCAATTTCTTCATCCCACCGCAGACCACACTACATTTACAGAGGGCTTATTTTTTCTGAGTATGAACTCAAAATAGTGCAGATTTAACTTCCAGGAACAGAGTAATTCCAAGCGTGCAGCAACTTAGCTCGCGGCTCACCAATCATCGAACTAGAGCCGCAAAATCAATGCTTACATAAAATCCTCCTCTATTTCATGCAGTGATTTGCTTTCTGATGCAATCTGCTTATTGGATGTCATGTTTTCCGATACCATTAAATCCTTGTAGCTCCTCGTCTCTGCCTGTTTCTCCCGTTCAAGTCTTTCTAATTCTTGACGACGTTTCTACACATAAAAATATGAGATAGCGTACGATATACATAAAACAATTGTTTAATTGACAAGTTTGCAGCAACACAAGAAATGAAGTAGAAGACAATTCACCAATTAAACGCATATAAATGAAGAATCCGAAAGGACAATCCAGTCTCAAACCTACCTGTTCTCTCATTTGTTGTTTTCTCTCTGCTCTTTCTGCTGCATCCACAGCTTCTCGTTCGGCTGCAACAAGCATTTGCATTTACATGTCAGATGACTGTTTTGCAGCACAACAATGGCATTACAGCGGGACCATATGATAATTTTCATACACAGAATATACAAGTGATATCAAAATTTTACATCCATGTATGAATCAGATACGAACCATAATGGTAGAAAGTTGATGTAATTTACGTAGTTTGACTTGACAATGAAATAAATTAAGAAAGATGTCTCCCTTACTATAAAAAGGCATATTTTGTTTTTGTAGAGCTCATGTGCAGGGTAAATGATATGACAAAGATTTACACCCAAAAAACGTTAGAGGATAATAAATAAAAAACAACTTGTTAACTACCCTTCAAATCTGGTTTACGTTCCACTTTTGTCCGGTTCAACCTGTTAACAATTTCATTTATTCGCTTCTCCACTCTCGTAGTTCGAACCTATAAATAAAGAGTTAAAGCTACGTAAGGATACGCTGAAAAGGCGTTAGTAATCCGAGAAAAATCACCACAAAATCTCTATATGAAAAAAAAAAAATCACCATTTTTGAGTCGTGAAAGCTAACTTGACCAACATCCATCGAAGCAGTTTTCTTTAAATTGGACCACGGAGTGTAAACAACATCAACATTGTTCACCTTATTTCCTGCCATTAAGAGAAAGAAAGGAAAGAAGGAAGAAAAACCCAAAGAAGTGCTAAGCATCTGTAATTTGAAGGGCAAAAACAATCCAAAAAAATGTTCAAAAAAGCATATAGATTGGAAGAACCATCAGCATGAGATCATTTCCCATAAATCTGGCCGATCAGAAAATCCCAAGTCATTGTATACCCAAATTCTAGCTTGAATGAGTACATTCAATAAATTAGACTAATATCCTATAGCGATAATCTCTCGGGATTGTACCCTGGATCGAATTTGCTTTGACCAGCTGAGCACAGTCTTCCAGTAAACCTTCGCTAATATCATCAATAGTCTGACCTTTATGCAGTCTGAGATAAACATGTGCCGAAGACATTTTATCCACATGGAACCTGAAAATGCAAAGAAGTTATCAAAAGATACCCCAACAAAAGCTCAAGCAATGATAATTGTTGCCTCTAAGGCACCATTTTGATTCCCACAAAAAAAAAAAAGGCCAGAAAATCCAGACCTTAAAGCAACAGTCAAAATGCGATTCAGTAACAACTTTCAAGCAAACAACTGTGTACCCCGTCTTAAAGTGACTTCGACTGGAAAGTAGGGAACAGAAACAAGACATCCATAACGGCGTTCTCCAACTATAGATTTGATATTGATATAGTTTCAGTGTTCTCATGACATACTGGATAATCTGAAGGGACCTCACTCTCAACAACAGATATAGCATAAAAGATTAAAAAAAAAAATACTATGAACTGACGTAGAAGATTTATCTCTGTTATGTGTTGATCTGCAACGAATTTCTGAAAATCAACTAGAATTTGAGCAGCAAGGGCCAGAAGAACCATTAAATCTAAAAATCATGTGCCCATCAGACATTGGACCCTTGAACAGTGACCGTTTAAGTTCAGCATTCAAGATGCATACCTATGTGATGTTTACGAATCAAACATAAAGATATAATTGTCAAAGTATTCTTAAGCATGATTTTCCACAAATTCAGCTAAAAAGACAGGATGCAAGGGAGGTTACCAGATGTCTTCAGGAAAACCATGCTTGATCAGCTCCTCATTCTCGTGTTTGTCAAGGCCCATGAAGATGGTGTAATCGCCAGCTTCAGGGCGTGCTTTGAAGTAGAACACCATGAAGTTGCCCTACTTTTACGCAAATTAAAGTATTAAGAGGGAGGAACTTACTTAGGGTTCTTATTTCGAGACAAAGTCGAGACTTGAGAGCCCGGTTAGAGATTGCTGTCAAAATAGCAAAAGAAAATGATTCCACCAGCCTATCCCTTCAACTACATCAGAGCCCCTCCACAAGAAACGCTATTGGCTGAGGGAAATTTTTTGCTTTTTGGTTTTTTCCCGTCAAACTAATGCCGAGCGAGTTCCTAGTAGCGCGCGCGTGAATTGTTGTTTGTTAATCGGTTGTTTATGAAATAGATTATAAATAAATTTTTAATTATAATTTATAAAATATAAAATACATATATAAAAAAAAATTTTATCTTGATTTATATAAAACACACTTATAAGTGTTTTTAAACTTTATCTCAGACGGGCCTCTGGATGACTTTGAAATTAGAGAATTCTATGCAACAACCAATATGAAAAATTATTAATTTTTCTGTGGCCGGTGTCGCATGACAGACTGCATACGGCAAAATTACTATGGAACGTGCTATTTATCTAGCTTCGTGTGTTGGGCGATATGGACCAACAGATGCAAAGTACTGTTTGAAGAGACAGAGGAGGCATGTGCAGAGACAGTTAGGTCAACCTTATCAGACAATTATGGAAGTAAAGGACAACATAACTAGTTCAAATTTATATTGTCAATGGAGTTTTCATAAAGTGGAAGTTCAAATTGATTGCATCCAAGCGATACACCTCTTACTAGAGCTTCAAATGCTGGACATCGTTGGGTTTGTTTAAAATGCAATACAAGCTAAGTAGAAGGTAAATATGTGATTGTAGGGAGAGTTTGTTTCGACTTACTTACGTAAAAATATTTATAAATCAGAGACATAAACAAGCCCTTTCTCAACGAGTAATTGATCAAGCCTGGTTAAATTTTTTTAGTAAGAATCAGATTAATTATTGCCAAGAGCTGAAGAGTTGGTCTGAATTTTTTGTACTGGGAATTCATTAGTAATTCTCATAAGCTTGCCAATAATGCTCATAACTTGAATCAGGGGTTTTGTACCTTTACCTGCTTATCCACCATCTCGCTTAGAGGGGTGGTTGATAACGAAGGTTCTGGTTGTATTTGGTTATTGTTAATATATTTTCTCTTTTTCATAAAAAAGATAAAAAGCTATTTATTGAAAATATAATGAAAATAAGTTTTATACTACCTCAGGTTCTTAATACAGAATCTTGTTTGATTTTTATTTTGGTTCTAAATATAAAACCCCAATTTACTTTGTCTCTCATATTTATGTACTTTTTTCTAAGATAGTCCTTCTAACAATGGTAGTTTTAGCCAATATACTTTATTAGTAAAAGATATTTTAAGAAAGACAACACCTATTTATGACAAATAATTAACTTAACTTCTTTCTTTAGTCTCTTCAAATTAGTCAACTAGTTCTTATAATTAGGACCAGAAGTAGTAGCTCATAAATATTAGTCTCTGTTATGGACATCTACTCTTCATATCATAGAAAAAACAATAATAAACAATGCAAATAGAATAATTTTTGCATGTTATGGAATGTCAATACTTTTACTTACTTTTTATTATCTTCAATCTCTCTTTGGAAGGATTTGTTGACCTGAATCTGTTAATTTATAAAAAAATCGGATACTAGGCTGCAATAAGAGGGAGATTCATGTTTTGCTCAAGTAATAAGCATAATGTTTTTAGGTACAATTTTCTTTTCAAGTGCCTAAAGAAATCCAACAACAACTATAAAATTGTGAATGATACAACAACAGCCATCCTTGTATTCCCGCGGGGAAAATTTCAGGGATGGTGGAACCAATGTCAAAATCTCTTCCAAGAAGCTGCAATGAACCACACTTGTAGAGGATTTTGTTTTTTTTGCCCCTACTAGTACTTGCAGAGGTTCTCAAATCCCATATATTCATGGCTCTCAATCTTTTGGATCATATTTGCTATGCCGACTCCACCTAACGAATGAGAGAAAAACGTTTCAGAATGCTGCGTGTGTGTGTGTGTGTGTGTGTGTGTGTGTAACCATAGCAAGGGAGTAGTGTGACACCCACCTAGAGAAATGGCACTAACAAATATTGTAGAAGCTAGAATGAAGATGATAAGTGACGCTCTCCCACATAACATGATTAGCCTTCTCACAATATGCTGCCCTACCAAGGCAGCAAAGGTGGCCACGGCTGTAAAATAAAGAGCTGCAATACAAAAAAGTTGCACAAGAAGTGCGAGTTACTAGACAGTACAAATCCATCTTACAGGGCAAGTCTTTCAAGTTCAGTGGTGTCTAGTAATCCAAATTCTTTATACTCCCTAAGATAAAAGCATTCATTATATTCAGAGATGGTGAATGAAAAATGGGATGTAGTAATGTAGGCCTCACAATCACTTTCAAAATTAGTGCAATATTGCTATTGTTTAACATTCAGCGTTGGGTAAAAGAAGTTCTCCGCTTGATTTTATTGAATGTTAAAAAAGAGCAACACTGCATTATATGTTTAGGGCGGCGCACTTTAACCCATTAAAAAAATTCAATTCAGATGGGGTCTAGCATCCACGTGAATGTTCATACATCTTAGATGAAGAGAGTTATAAAGCATCTCAGAAGTACTAACCGTAAGGAACTGGAAAACGGTGAAGAAGATAGTATTCTACCACAGACATGGAAGAGGAAAAGGTCATAGCAAAAGTGGCCGTGGCACTTGAGACCTGCATAGAAGTTGAAGGAGGCATATTTATTTAAAGTGGGAAAAAGAAAATGCAGGTTGCTGATGATTCTAAAAACTTGAATACCTGAGGTGGGATTCCTAGCTCCAAGAACAGGGGACCCATAATGAATCCTCCTCCTAGACCGAGCAAGCCACCAACTACTCCCGCTAGTACACCGAAGAAACAATAGATAATCAGTTGGTGAACTTTCCAATCTGTCCTTGGATCTCCCTGGGAAGCAATTTTCCTCTTTCCTCTGTATAAACCAACTGCCTCATACGTAGATACCCCAACTGAAACTGGAACCTGCATAATAACATACATGCTAAGTATGTTTTAACTTCTAGATGTTGACAAAATAGATATCAGATTGCGCCAACATAGCAGCTAATAGTCCATTAGCCTTCATTCAAGAAAAGCAAACAGACTTGTTAAAGGGGGTGAAATGCATTAGCATTACCTGTAGCAAGTTCAGCACCCAATATGATACTGAACAATTGGATGTATGATTCTGCAGTCAAGAGGAGATTATTGGGTCTTACGTTAGATAAATTGCATGGCATGAATCGCTTTATTATATACGATTAGAAAGAGAAAACCTTGGCTATCTGCAGTGCAAGGAATGCAACCCAAACAAAAACAAGGAGTCCAAACTCCTTCCAGTATACATTTCCAATAATGGTCACCTGCAACACATATGCATGCACATTAATTACATACGGAAATCGCCGTACTCTGAGATATTCCTTGAGTATAATCTGACCTCAGGTTCCTTGGTGTCCTTTTCGATGGCAACAGTCGGTCCGCTAGGAAGAGGTTTGTATTCTACTTCAGCCCCTGGACCTACCAAAAGGAAAAACCAATACCCCTTAATTTCATAAAGAGAAAAAAACAAAAGAGCGAAATTTGCATTATGTATATGTTTTGGCGCCGTACTCACCATTTGACTCTTGTCGCCTGGCAGCTTCCTGAATGAAATGAAAGATTCAGACAGTCAAACAGCAATAGACATGTGTGAAGTACACCAGTAACAGTGTGCTCATTAGAAGTTTGTGTGAAGGAGACGAAGAGTGTTTAAAATAAAAAATAAAAAAAGAATTGTAAGGCATTCGGATTCATTTTCAAGTTGAACGCAGCCTGAACTAGAGATACAGAGCAAGTAAACGTAAAATTTTCCCTTCATACAAAAAACGCGGCTTCTTTGTTTAGAATATCAGGGGAAAGTATGCGGTAAGACTAATAAAAAAAGGGGCAAGGTAGGGTAACAAGGATTACCTTTTTCATCAAGGTTTCCTTTTTCCATGTTTCAACACCCTTACAGAATGCTTTTGTGGAAGTTCCTGAAAATCAAGAGGATAAGGCAAAGGATGTTACAAAAGCACGAAATGGAACAGTAAGAGTCATACTTGACCAAAATGTTACCTAGAAAGAGAATAATAAGCAACACAGTAACCATCCAATCAGCAAATACAACGTTGAAGGCCACCCCTATGCTGATTCCGAGCATAAGCATCGGTTGAATGAGCAGTGCCAAATCATAGTCAATGATGGGCATATTCAACGTAGGATGTCTTAGTTTAAGGTTATAGTAAACAGTTGACGCGGCAGCTCCCATGATCATGCCTGATCCCAAAGAAAAACCACGATGAATCAATTTCTAAGGTTATTTCTAACCTCGGGCCGGGAAAAAAAAAATATCTCTAGCCAATGAAACTATAGCGTTGATTTTTCGTCACCAAAAAATTGTAGCTAATTAAAAGTAGATTGAGAGTGGAATTATGTGGATTATCGCCTCTTAAAAAAGGGAGTAACGTAAAAAGTCACTTTGCTGATTAAAAAATAATTCAAGTCCTCAAAAGCACCCCAGTATCTTCAAAAGGTGCAGGAATCACATAATCTGTCTTCTCTTACATTTTGAGATGGCAGTTGATGATTTTGGATCAAACCCGATGATTAGACTAAGCATGGGGACGAAAATGCCTCCACCCCCAACGCCACCAACGCTTCCAAATGCAGCTCCGCAGAAGCCAATCATGGAACCAAGGACAATTTGCCATCCAAATTTCATATCCTGTACAGTGGACAGCCAGGGTATATTGCTTCTCTCAGTCATAATTTCATTCAATTATGAACACTAGAACAATACAAATAAGCATGATTCCAAAAGGAACAAGCCAACTAACTACTTTTTTTTTCCTCCTGCAGCTTCAGTATGAAATTTTTTTCCCCCCCTCAACCAATGGGGAAAAATAAATCAGAAACTCAATCAACAGAAAACAATCTGAAAATTCTGCGGTTATGATTTAAGGCAAGCACAAATAATACGACGTCTACCACCGTATGAACGGCTTACCGGCCACACGTGCTGATAACCAGATTCCTCTGATCGCCATAAGAAATTAACAGCTCGGTGAAGGAAATCGGTTTGAAGCCCTTCGGTTGCATTAAACCGTGACGCTGCTTCCAGTTTCAAGCCTCTTTCGGCCGAAACAAACACGAAGGCCGATAGAAGTATTAACACCACCACCGTCACCCATGTTGGTCTCACACTTTCAGCCATCAAGTTTGTTTTCGTTTTAATACACCCACGCGTTATGAGCGTCCCTGAGTGTTGAGGACCTAAGCAGTATTGCTGAGAAATGTACGATCCAAAATCTCTATCCCTCTAAGAACATGAACGTTCACGTTGCAATGATCAAATCTCCCGGGGATAACGAGCGCTGGAAGAAAAGCAAGAGATGAGCTGTGCAGCAAAGGGGGAAATGAAAACGCCAAACAAGAGGGGGTATTAATGCATTGATTGGTCCGAATGGGAGCTCATTTGCGCAAAAAAGGGGCGTTGTATCGTGCAAGAGGCAACTTTACTTTCGTGGAAAAGAAATCGAGTGACCCCACAGAGGCACAGAAGAATAAAAGGAGAAAAATTGCAATTGGGCGGTAGGAACAGAAAACAACGACGAGATGATTGCAAAACAAGCAGGTTGGTGGGATTGAGGGTGGCATAAAAATCTGGAAGGGAATGCACCAGAATCACGATTCCTTGTTTATCTCTGTGGGTTTTCTGGTTTGTGCATGAGAATTTCTGGAATACAGCATTAAATTAAATAGGATAAATTGAAAGCCGCGAGCTGCATGGACAGATTTATAGAGACAGATTTAGAGTTTTCCGTGAGAGCAGAGCATGACAACCAAATATTTTTAGGTTTTGTTACTTTCACCATAAGAAGAGGCGATGGTCAATGGACCATTATTACTCATCTACTGTCCCTGTCAAAATTGTCGATTTCTTTGAGTAATATGGCACCAGTAAGCAAAATTAGACGCTTGCGCTCTTGTGGACCAGAGTTCATGGATATCTAAGATTCATTCATCAATCATACGAATACAATGAGGTATTTTAGAGCATGAATTTAAATTTTTAATATTATATTTTTATTATAAAAGCACGTATAAAATTCAATTGATGTTAAAAAGATCAATAAAATACCTTCCATGATGAATATTAGTAAACTTCACTATTTTAACTAAATGCACAGAAAATATAACTTTTAATCCTGATCTAAACCGTTGAGGAGTTCAGCTAATCTGGCCGTTGATTTAAATATTAAATTATCTATAAAGGCCACTTGATAAAGTGTTGTATTAAACAATTATCACGACAAAATACACATTGGACATTCAGTTTTTAGAGATAAATAACTCGGTTAGTATCTTTGTAATCTAATAACATGAAAACTCTATTATAAATAGAAGATTAAGAGTTTAATTTCATTTATGATTTTAAGTTGTTAGTGTGAAGAACTTGATTAATAATTTTGTATTGTAATGACATAAAAATTCTTTTATAAATGGTAGCTTACAAATTTGATCCCATTTATAATTTTAAATCGTTGATGTGAAGAAGGAGGTCACCTTCCCTCCATTTTTTTTAACCAAGCAAGGGAAGATAGGCAAAATCTCCCTCGTCTCCTCTCTTTCCACTAAACAAGTTAAAGATGGAAAACATGATTCAAAATAAATGTAAGCAGATTTAACTTAACATTAGGAGTAATATATAATAAATCTTATTAATCTCTCCTTAATTTTAGCTTATTAATCATAAAAGTTGCATCCTCCTTGACATAAGTTAATTTATGATATGAGATTTACTTTTTTTCCCCTTTAATTTAATGATAAATATAATTAAATGATTTTATTTTAAACGCATACATAATATCTGAAAAGTAATGGCTAGCAAAAATCAATCAAAAACGATTCTGACACCTTTCAACTTCATTATTTTTTTTCCTTTTTCCCTTTTCCCCAACCGATCCGCATATACATATATGCAAAATATCCCCCCCCCCAAAACCAAAAAAAAAAAAATTGGCCTTTACCCGATCGGTGGCGTGTTTCATGTGGAAAACAAATTTTGATATTTATTCTCATGTGAAGAGATACTTTTTTGTCTAAATATGAACAAATCAAAGTTCAACAACTACTTTAAATGTTGAATCTAAAACATGAAAGAAACACACAGGCAACTGTTTCCAAGCAGTGTGGCTCCCGGTGGCATCAATAATCAACCTTTGAAATTAAACAAGAATATTATAATGTCGGCCCAAGAAAAAAATGTTAAATAATACTCCTCCGGTCCTAATTATAAAACCCAATTGACTTATTTGAGGAAATTAAGGAAGTAAGTTAAGTTGGTTATTTATAATAAATAAGTGTTGTTATTCCTAAAATATCCTTGCTAATTAAGTATATTGGCTAAAACTATCATTATTAGAAGGATTATCTTGGAAAAAAATGCATAAATATAAGAGACAAAATGGATTGGGTCTTATAATTAGGACCAAATAAAAAGTCAAATTAAGTCTTATAATAAGGACCGGAAGAGTATAGTATAAGCAAGTCCGAGAGCAATAAAACATTGACTTGAATAAGATAAAGATGGAAGACGAATAGACAATAAATATTTTTTCGCGTTCAACGAAGGTGTGATGATTTTGCCCAAAAAACAAGGTGTGATGATACAAACATGTTCACAGATCCAGAAAACAAAAAAAAAGGCCCAGCCCCATAATAATTTGCCCCCGCGTGTGGCTCATAATTTACTACCTCAAGTTTTTAATATAAAATTGATTTGACTTTTTAATCTGAAATCAATCTCATTACTCATTATTTTGATAAACACCTTAAACTTATTAGGCCTAGATCATCCGTGTCTCATTTTAATAGTTTGGATTTGATTTTTTTTATTTTTACTTGTTCAAAATAATTATCTTAATATGTGTATAATCTAAAATAGAGATAATCTCTTAAGTATCATTCTTTCAAAAAAAAAAAGTTTTTTCTTATTTAAAAATAACTAATTAAAAAATTTTAAATATGAATTGTTTAACCCAGATATAGATGATCCAGATTTAATGAGTTTAAAGTGTTTATCAAGGTGATAAGTATTGAAATTGGTTTTTTTTTATCTTGATTATAAATATAAGACTTCAATTTATTTTGCCTCTTATATTAATCTATTTTTCCAAGGTAGTAAACACACTTGATTATAAAGGATATTTTAGAAAAGAGAACACATATTTATTACAAATAACTAATTTAACTAATTTTTTTAATCTACTCAAATTAATTAACTAGTTCCCGGTAAGAGATAGTCCACGAGGGCAAATTAGGTGCATTTCACGTGAGCAATTTGATGAACAAATATATGTTTTTCTCTTGGCTGTCGTTAAATTATGATATTTTATTGTTTAGGTTAGGCATGAGTCAAGAGGCAATGAGAACAATAAAGAGAGAAAAAATTACTACCTTCGGTACAAGACCTCGTTTGACTTTTATTTTGGTCCTAATTATAAAACTTCAATCCACTTTGTCTTTCATATTTATATATATTTTTTAAGATAGTCATTCTAATAAATGATAGTTTTAGCCAATAAATTTGATTAGCAATGATATTTTAGGAAAGATGGCACTTATTTATTATAAATAACTAACTTAATTTATTTTTTTAATCTCTTTAAATTAGTTAACCAGCTTTTATAATTAAGACCGGGGTAATATATGACAAAATAGATAGACGAAATTCAAGGGTAAAATTGAAATACAAATAAGAAGCAATACAGGAAGGTCCTCATGCACTGTATGGGTATAATAATACTCCTCCGGTCCTAATTATAAGACCCAATTGACTTATTTGAGGAGATTAAGGAAGTAAGTTAAGTTGGTTATTTATAATAAATAAGTGTTGTCATTCCTAAAATATCCTTGCTAATTAAGTATATTGGCTAAAAATATTATTATTAGAAGGATTATCTTGGAAAAAAATGCATAAATATAAGAGACAAAATGGATTGGGTCTTATAATTAGGACCAAATAAAAAGTCAAATTGGGTCTTATAATAAAGATCGGAGGAGTACTTTTTTTTTTTGGGGGGGGGGAGCAATGATGATATTTTTAAGACGGGGACGTATAGAGAAATTTTGTTCACCACGCTACATAATTTTAATTGCTTTAATTTGAATAACAAAATTTTAATTAGCTTAATCGCTCGGTAATAACACAGAAACCATGATGATTTACACGTGGAGATAGTTAACGATGGTGTGTCCCGGTGAAAATGGCAGGTTGTCCTGTCAAAACTTTTCCTATTATCCCCTTTCAATTCTAGCTTGAGAACTACTTAAATTAATTTAAATAAATTATAATACACCTGATTTAATATCTTTAAAATATTTTTTATAACATTATATTATATATCCGCAATAGAAGAGCATAATACGTTTAATATTAGGAGAATTACAATGAGATCCTAAACAAGAAAAACAATTAAAAAATAAATTCTAAAGATTGTTATTCTCACTATGAGACTTGTTATTATAAGCTATTAAAACTGTTATTAGAATCTTTTGGTAATTACTTCTCTTCTGTGAGATTTGATTGTAATTGCCCCTTTAATATTCAGAATATTAGAATGCAAAAATATGGGGTAAAACGAGTTTAGAGCATTGATTAAAAAATAATAACAGGTATCAAGTTATAATAAGAATAGGCTTTAGATCACTAAATTGATAACAATATTTTAATAAGTTTTAGCAACGGCAACTTGCAAATAATAACACTAGATTTAGAAACAACAACACATTTTTGTAATTTTTTTAAATTTATAATATTTTTAATATTTTTTCTTAGAATAAAGGCGGTATTCACGCGGAACATTATTAAATATTGAAGGAAAAAGCTTGTGTGGCTATCGTATGCCATTCCAAATCTTTAGGCTTTTGGGTGAGATGAAACATCACAGATGTCTACTAAATATTTGAAAAGTCGTCAACGTTGCAATTAGTATGACTGGGACAAAACACAGCAGTTATGGCAGCTTAATTAGTACGAGCGACGGGGAGAATGACGTTTCAAGTGATGTCAAAGGCTGTGTCTTTGATTTGCATGGGTTTGTGTATGTGGAAAAGTCAAGGGATGGATAACAATTTGAGCCCAAAAAAAAAAAAAAATCTTACGTTGATTCTTATAATTCGGGTCTGTTTGGGTGCTCCAAAACTGTGGTTTCAGAAGTATTTTTCCGTAAAACGAGATAATCTCCTCCACATATTTACTTCGTAATCCGTAAAAGCACTTCTGAAACTATGGTTTGGTTTCTATCCAAACACTCCCGTAGTGTTTTAGATTTTTCGATACGAGTAAATTTAAAAGTTACAAGAAACTTGATGAAGTGCAATTTTAGATCCTGCCTTCAAATAATTTTATCTGATTTTGCATAACAAAGCTATGTTGGAACGCAGAACTTATTAGTTTTGTTGGCTTGTTGTTGGTAAGACTTGGTTTTGGAATCTCATATTAACGGGTGTTTCTTATACTCTTTTTTGCCCCCAAAAAAAGACATCTACAAATTTCCAACAGGACATCGACACGAGAAAAGTTGCCCTTTTTTGCAAGAAAAACAAACAACTAGGCACAGTAAAGCTGCCTTTATTTTGTTCGTAAATATAAAGATTTATTTTATTTTATTTTATTTTTGAAACTCATAATAAGCTTAAAATCTTTTAATTGCTCAAAAAAACTTATATTTAATAATAAGATAAATATTATATTTATAACTAAATTAA